CAGAGCACGCCAGGCACTCCTGTCTTCCACTGCCTCCCACAGTTTGGTCAAACTCATGCTGGTAGCTTCAAGAACACTATCCAACCATCTCGTCCTCTGTCGTCCCCTTCTCCTTGTGCCCTCCATCTTTCCCAACATCAGGGTCTTTTCCAGGGAGTCTTCTCTTCTCATGAGGTGGCCAAAGTCTTGGAGCCTCAGCTTCAGGATCTGTCCTTCCAGTGAGCACTCAGGGCTGACTTCCTTCAGAATGGAGAGGTTTGATCTTCTTGCAGCCCATGGGACTCTCAAGAGTCTCCTCCAGCACCAGAATTCAAAAGCATCCATTCTTCGGCGATCAGCCTTCTTTATGGTCCAGCTCTCACTTCCATACATCACTACTGGGAAAACCATAGCTTTAACTATACGGACCTTTGTTGGCAAGGTGATGTCTCTGCTTTTAAGATGCTGTCTAGGTTTGTCATTGCTTTTCTCCCAAGAAGCAGGCGTCTTTTAATTTCGTGGCTGCTGTCACCATCTGCAGTGATCATGGAGCCCAAGAAAGTAAAATCTCTCACTGCCTCCATTTCTTCCCCTTCTCAGCAGGTACCCATATAAATATATGCACTATGTCACATGAAGGCTGGCAACATCAACCCCGCCATGTGTGGGAATCCCTTGCAGATGACCAAAGGCCAGGAGAGAGACAGTCAGGTTGTGCATCCATAGCAGTGACCAGAGGAGGAATGACCGCTGGGAGAAGAAGAAAAAGAAGAGTTTGGATTTGATATCCCGCCTTTCACTCCCCTTCAGGAGTCTCAAAGCAGGTAACATTCTCCTTTCCCTTCCTCCCCCACAACAAACACTCTGTGAGGTGAGTGGGGCTAAGAGACTTCAAAGAAGTGTGACTGGCCCAAGGTCACCCAGCAGCTGCATGTGGAGGAGCGGAGACGCGAACCCGGTTCCCCAGATTACGAGACTACCGCTCTCAACCACTGGCTGAGAGAAGACCACACTGAGAGAAGAAACGCCATCATGCATCTTCAGCAGCACAACCGGACGCCTTCATCTGCCCCAGCTGCAACAAAACATGTCTCTCCTGTATCGGTCTCTACAGCTACAACAGACCCCATGACTCTCCAAAAGTTTGACTTGATCCCCAAAGGTGCACTCCTCCATTGTCTCCCAAGACAGGTGGATGCTAACAAGGCATTGAAAAATCCTGCAAACACCCCATTCTGCACTACCCTGTTCCGCCCTTTTCTGTGATGTTTTTGGATCACTTCCTGGTTCAGCACAATGCATGGTCACGGCTGAACACATATCAGACGTGCCTAAAACGGCAGACCCTCCAAGTGTCCCTATTTTCCAGGGAAATCCCTGATTTAGAGAAGCTGTCCCAGTTTCTGATTTAATCCCAGAATGTCCCACTTTTCACTGGAGAAATGTTGGAGGATATGGTGATTTCTGACCCCCAAGCCATTTGAAGGCAATCCTGTATAGGAATTATGTTATGTACTAAGCTTGGATCCTAGAAGAATAGGCAAGTAGGATCCTAGAATGCAAGAACTGATTGGCTTGCAGGAAAAGACCAATCAGGCTCCAGGATAGAAGCAGAATCAGCCAATCAGATGGGACTCATTGTGTAAATAACATACGTATATAAAAGCCTGACGTTTGGGGAGCAATTCAATCACTGTTTTACAAGCTGCCAGAAAGAGCATGAAACCACTACAGGACTCCGAATATATTTCATGTTTAATGTTTTATTATTATTTTTATATATGTTGGAAGCTGCCCAGAGTGGCTGGGGCAACCCAGTAAGATGTGTGGGGTATAAAGCGTAAAATTATCATTATGGAATGGGACATCCCAGTTTTCACTGGAGGAGTGTTGGAGGGTATGAAATGGTTGCTGCCTGTACATTTCACCATAGTGCATGAGCTGGCTGTGACCAGTACAGGTACTGCTAACTGCAGATGGGACAATCTCCTCCTTCTTCATTGTAGGATTCCCTGTGTTTCATGGGACTTGGCCTGACGGAGAGCTTTTCTAACAGAGGAATATCCTCTGTGGAGTAGGATATCCTAGAACTATGTGATCATAGGGTGTCCAGCTAATTTGTAATTTTGCATTTATACATTAAATGCAGAATGCCTCAGCAGGTTCATTCTCCATTTTAAAAAATTACATAGGTACTGAGAATGACCCTTCTTTGCCTAAGATCGTGGAGAGCTGCTGCCAGTCGAGGTAGACAATACTGGGTTAGACGGACTGAAAGAAAAATAATCTGGTCTGGTATAAGGCAGCTTCTTGGAAAGTTTTATACTATGTGTTTTGTGTCAGACAGGTTGCAGTGTAGATGGGGAGGGGTTTGGAGATGATTCTGCTACAGCAGGCATGTCCAAAGTCTCTTTTGGGGGCCTAATCCGGCCCGCTCGTCGGTTTAATCCTGCCCCTGTGGCAGTTTATTTCTTTGGTTGGCCCTTTCGTTGGTCCTCACGGCCCTTCACTTCATCAAATACAGGAATACCCTTATTGGTTTCAGTAAGGCACATAAGCATATAAATTGACCCTATTCACCATACAGCTTTACATGTGCAGTTTGTCCAGTGAACATAGTCTTTTAAATATGGGCTACTAGCCGTGCGGATTTCCTGGGCAGAGAGTTCAGCAGCTTCCGAGGCCATGGCCTCCTCAATGGCTTTCTGCTGCGTTAGGTCTGGCTTGGCAAGGAGACGCCGTTGCAGACGGATGTCCCGGACCCCGCAGACGATTCAGTCCATCAGGGCATCGTCTAAGTCTCGGAACTCGCAGCGCACTGCAGCCTGTCGGAGGGCGGCGGTGTAGTTGTTAATTGACTCCCCCTCTGCCTGGTTCCGGTGGTAGAACGCATGGCGGGCAGCAATCTTGGACGGCTTTGGCGAGTAGTGGTTGCGGAGCTTCTCTTGAATCGTGTCCCACGGTGTTGCCTGGACTGCTACAGGCGCAACCAATGCTCGGGCCGTCTCGAACACCTCAGGCCCGCAGAGGCTGAGGAATAGGCCCCGCTTACGCTCCTGTGATACTTCCGTCAGCTCGTTGGCTTGGAGGTAGCAGTCGAACCGAGCGAGGTAGGAGTCCCATGATTCAGAGGCTGACGCAAACGGCGGTAGAAGCACAAGTGAAGCCATGGTTCTGATGCCGATGTGGAGGCGATGGATGGAACTCAGTGCTCTAGCCAGAACGGTCAGCTCTGAATTGGTACTGTTCAGTGATTTCGCTCGGTGTTTCAGCTCAGCTCAGAGGGTGGCCGCATCTGGCTGCGCTCTGTTGTCCACCATCCCATCCTCGTCACCAGTGTTAAGTTCATAGAATCATAGAACCATAGAATTGGAAGAGACCACAAGGGCCATCGAGTCCAACCCCCTGCCAAGCAGGAAACACCATCAGAGCACTCCTGACATATGGTTGTCAAGCCTCTGCTTAAAGACCTCCAAAGAAGGAGACTCCACCACACTCCTTGGCAGCAAATTCCACTGTCGAACAGCTCTTACTGTCAGGAAGTTCTTCCTAATGTTTAGGTGGAATCTTCTTTCTTGTAGTTTGGATCCATAGTTGTGGGTGAACATATCAGACGACACAGCGATTCTTCAAACAGCTCTTGTTTATTCACAGGACAGGACAGGACAGAACTGAACTGAAGGGTTCAGCCAGCCTTCTTATATAGAGCTCCACTACAATGCAACAGTAACCATTTTCTGTAACTATCCAATCACTGAACGTCACTTTCGATCCCCTATTTGCATATGTGGATCTGAGTGAAAACTATCTACAGTATCCCCCTGCTGGCCCAGGGTGAGAACTTCAGTACATAACAATAGGTACTGAGAATGACCCTTCTTTGCCTTCTTTGTTTTTATACTATGCTATGTGTTTTGTGTCAAACAGGTTGCAGTGTAGATAGGGAGGGGTTTGGAGATGATTCTGCTACAGCAGGCATGTCCAAAGTCTCTTTTGGAGGCCTAATCCGGCCCGCCAGTCAGTTTAATCCTAACCTCAACGACTAAAAAAAGGTCAACAACTTTGGCCGGCCCTTTGGCCAGCCCTCGTGGCCCTTCGCTTCATCAAATTTGGCCCTCTCTGAAAAAAGTTTGGACACCAGTGTGCTACAGGATTTAATGTCTAGTGAGGTCCCTGCTCCTAGTGAGATTTGTAGGCTGGGTGCCCAGGGCTGGGCTTTTCTGTGGTGGCCCCTTGCCTTTGGAATAAAACCTCCCTCTGAAATAAAGGCGTACCTCTTTGCCCAGTCTTCTGGGAGGCATATTGGGCATCTGAATTTGTTGATCTTGCTGGTTTTATTTGTCATTAAAATTTGAATATGTTTTTCGCTCTTTTGGCTTGGGTCGTCTCTATTTCTGCCCTGAACCTTTGGCTGCATGATAAACAAACACCTTTAATAAATAAAAAATGGAATCAGGGTTTCCTACTGAATTTCAAAGGTATTTAAAGTATCATAAATTTTCCATTTTGTGGCGCCAATTAAAAACATACATTTTTTCAAAGGCTTCTGACAAATTCGAATGATGTTGTTTGCTGCTCATGTTTGTGATACTGAGGTTTTTTGCTTGTTATCCAGAGTTTTTTTTTTTTAAATGAATTGGGCATGTTTCTGCGTAAGTGTTTCTTTTAAAATATATATGATGTGTTTTTATTTGTGCTTAAATTTTGCAAGTTGCTTGCGAAAATTTCTATGTAACAAGTATCCACCATGTACTGTTTTTGTTTGAAACTTTGGTCTCCGAATTTTATTTGAACATGACATAAAAATAAACATAGGCTTTAGCTGACATTCCTGAATTGCAGGGGGTTGGACTAGATGACCCCAAGATCCCTTCCAACCCTTAATATTCTATCATTCTATAATCCTGCCTTAAAGGCGAAACCTAACCTTCCCCATGGCAACCAAATCGAGCTTGGGCGGGCCTAGCTGCGCCTCTGATTGGTCCGCCGGCGACGGAGGCGCTCTGTCATTGGCCGGCGACCCCCGTGTCACATGACCGACCATCATGGCGGCGCCCATGAGGCTGTGCCGGGGTCTGGGATTTCGCCCGCGGTTGCTGCGCCGGGGGCTTCCGCTGCTGTTCTCGAGGGCGCGGAGCGGCCGCCCGGCGGCGGCAGCTGCCGGGAGAAGCCGGCTGTACGAGCACGCGCGGGGCGGCTGGACGGCGCGCCCGCAGCTGAACTTGGAGGCGCTGAGCGCGCAGCTGGGCGAGGCCGAGCGGGAGCTGGAGACGCGCAAGGGGCCCCTCGGGCCGCGGGACCTGCGCGAGATTGTAAGCGCGGGCCGTGGGTGGGCTCGGCTGGGCGCGCAAGTGCTGTTGCTCCCGCTCTCCTAGCGCTAGGGCTTAGCCCCAGAAGGTGCTTTAAGCGCCAGGGGTTTAACCCAGCCTTCACCAGCTAGCGTTTATTACTGAAATTTTATTGATGTTAGCCGCCCTGAGCCCGGCTCTGGCCGGGGAGGGCGGGGTATAAATAAAAAAATATTATTATTATTATTATAGCCGCCCTCTTAGGTGGCTAACATTGTGTATGCAAGCCGCTTTGCCCTGGCTTTAAAAATGATGCATTCAAGTTTCAGGTTCCACCTGGCTGTCAAGATTAGTAACAGCCTGGTCATGAGTGTCTAAATAAAAGCTGTGAAGCCATGCCAGGGTAAAAGGTAACAGTTCTATGGCTCTCAAGCATCTGGGTGTCAAGGGAACTGTTTCCAGGTTCTTGCATTAGCAGCTTAACGTAGCTGAAGCTCCATACATTTTCCTTCCATTGTTTTTCACTCTCCACTTCCAGTACTACCTTCTTCTGTGCATACGATCTGTCACAAGAGACCAGGGCCCTGCGGGACTTGACATCTTTCCGCAGGGCCTGCAAGACAGAGCTGTTCCACCAGGCCTTTGGCCAGGGCACAGCCTGACTCCCTCCCTCGGCAATCTTCGCGGAGCTCTGGCCCAATGGTTGCCAGTGGCTTGAATTAATTAATTTTATAACGAATGATTTTAGACTGTTGTTTATGCTGTACTTTTGTACTGTTTTATTGTTGTTAGCCGCCCTGAGCCCGGCTTCGGCTGGGGAGGGCGGGATATAAATAAAATTTATTATTATTATTATTATTATTTTGAATAATCTTATTAAACTGCTGTTAGGCTGTATCATATTTTTCTTCTTTTTTCCTGATGCCTACTAGGTTGCCACTTGGCAGAGATTAGTCGAGGTGCAAGAAGAAATTGCAGTACTTGAAGCTGAGAAAGAGAAGGTGGCTGAAGAAGTGGGGAATATTGTGGTGAGTCCACATTATAGCAACTATTATGGAGCAACTAAAAGGGACGCGGGTGGCGCTGTGGTCTGAACCACAGAGCCTAGGACTTGCCGATCAGAAGGTCGGCGGTTCGGATCCCCGCGACGGGGTGAGCTCCCGTTGCTCGGTCCCAGCTCCTGCCAACCTAGCAGTTTTTTTTTTTTTTTTTTTTTTTAAATTAAATATTTTATTAAGGATTTTCTTGTTTTACAGAAGTAAGTGTACTGCCTCGTATATATATTTTTTTCATGTAACATTTTTACAAATCCATTTCATTTGTTGAGGCATTAGGGGGGAGAAGAAGAAAAAAAAGGAAAAAAGAAAGGGGTGGTGGAGAGAGGGAAGATGGATGGGGGTGGGGTCGGGTGGCGGTGTTTCTATTATGTTTAATGTATGTAGAGTTTGGTGTCAGCGTTGCTTGTGTTGTTCACTTGTGTTCCTTTCGTGGTGAGAGAGGTTGGGGTTGGCCTAGGGTGTGATTGTCTGCTTGTGATTGGCTGTGGTGATCTTTGTTTTCGTGTGTGAGTGAGGTGGGTGGGTGTTTTGGATCAGGTTAGCCATATTGATTTGTATGCTGTTGGTGGATTATTGTCATTGTCCTGTTGGGCTGTGTATGTGATAAAGGGGAGCCATACCAGGGTGAAGACGTCTTCTTCTGTTTGTCCCGTGTCAGTTTCAGTTTATTAGTTAATTTTTCTAGTAGGGCTGTTTCCCATACTATTTGGTACCATTGGTCCATGTTTACTCCTGACAGGTCTCTCCAGTGTCTGGTTATGGTGTTTCTGGCTGCTGAAAGTAGGTGGGTTATGAGTTCTTTGTGGTGTAAATGGGCATTGTTGTCTTGGAAGATGTTTAGTAGGGCCAATTCTGGGGTGATGTCTATTACTTGCTTAGTTATTTTACATATTTCTTGTATGGCTGTTGTCCAGAATAGTTGGATTTTGGGACACTCCCACCACATGTGGAGGTATGTGCCTGTGGAGGTGCACCCTCTCCAGCATTTTGGTGAGGTTCCTGGGTGTATTAGCGCTAGTTTCCTTGGTGTTAGGTACCACCTGTAGGTGAGTTTCAGTGTGAGTTCTTTTCTTTTCGTTGATATGGATTTAAAGGGGGGTTTAGACCACATTCTGGTCCATTGAGTGGGGTTAATCTCATAGCCTATGTCATTCTCCCATTGTTTTTTGATTGCATCTAGGGGATTTGCGGGATTTTGGAGTAGTATTTTGTATATTGCGGATACCGTCCCTTTACCGTTTCCTTTTGTTGTTAGGAGGAGGTTTTCGAAGGTTGTCAGGGGCCTAGTTGCTGCTGATTTTACTGTTGGGTTGTTTAAGAGGGCATGTAGTTGGTGTTGTGTTAACCAGGGCATTTGGGTGTCTTCTAGTTTGTCTTGTATTTCTTGTGTTGACAAGGGTTTGTTATTTTTATAAAAGTCTATTAGGCGATATAAGCCTTTGGTTTGCCAGGTTTTTATCTGGAGGTTTTGTGCTGCATGGTGGAATAATGGGTGGTACGCCAGAGGATTAGTGGGGATGGGGTTGGGGATAGTTTGCCTATTTGTGTTTTCCATGCTTTGAGCATGGTCTGTGTGTACCTGTTAAGTGTTGTGGGAATTTTCTTTAGTTTGTTTGGGAGGAATGGGTATGTTGTGGTGCAGGTATTTTCAATTGTGTCCCTCTCTAGGTGTACCCATTGTTTTGTCTCATCTTCTAGTATATATGGGATTATATGGCGTATTTGGTTGGCATTGTAATATGCTTCTATGTTGGGGATTCCCCATCCTCCTTCTGAGGTGGGGAGGTGCAGGTATTTGAGGCTTATTCTTGGTTGTTTATGTGAGAAGATGAAAGAGTGTAGTTTTCTCTGCCAACTGCGAAGTTGGGTTGAGGGGATCCAGATTGGGAGGGTTTGGAATAGGTAGGTTAGTTTTGGGAGTGTGATCATTTTGATCATGGCTATTTTGTCTGAGAGAGTGAAATTCATGTTATTCCATCTCTTTAGGTCTTTGTTAATTTGTCGCCACAGGGGCTTGTAGTTGTGGAGGTACAATTTATTGAGGTTTCTGGTTATTTGTACCCCTAGGTATCTGAACTTGGTGTGGCAAAGTTTTATTTTGGTGACCTTCGTGAGTTCTTTTTGGGTGTGAGGAGGGGTGTTGAAGCACATAGCTTCTGACTTTGTAAAATTTACCTGTAGGCCCGACACCATTGCAAATGTGTTGAGTTCTCTGATTAGGGAGGTTGCTGTGCTTATGGGGTCTGGTGTTGTGACCATTAGGTCATCTGCAAAGAGCCCTAATTTATAGGTTCTGCCTTTTATTTCCACTCCCTTGATGTCTGTGGCTGCTCGGATGCTGATTGCTAAGGGTTCCAGAGCCAGGATAAATAAGAAGGGAGACAGTGGGCATCCTTGTTTCGTGCCTCTTTGGATAGCTATAGTATTAGAATCCATATTGTTAGTTCTGCATTTTGCTGAGGCTTGGGAGTATATTTGTTTGAGAATTTGTAGGAAGTTGGGGCCAAATTTCATGTTAGTTAGTACTGCTAATATGTATTTCCACTCTAAGCAATCAAAGGCTTTGAGGATGTCTAGGGACATAATTGTCAATGGGAGTTTGGTTGCCTTGCTGTGTTCGATCAGGTTCAGTAGTTTCCTGATGGGGTCTGTTATATTGCGGCCAGGGACAAAGCCAGTCTGGTCTGGGGCTACTAACTTGTGTAGGAAGGTTTTTAGGCGGTTGGCCAAGATTGATGTGAATATCTTGTAGTCTTGGTTTATTAATGAGATTGGGCGGTATGATTCTACTTTGAGGCTGTCTTTTAGTGGTTTTGGGATGGAGACTATTTTGGAGTGGGTCCAGGTTTTGGGGATGGGGCCCCCTTTTATGATGTCGTTGAATAGGCGGGTCATGTAGGGCATCAAGGGTTCTTTGAATTTCCTATAGAATTCTGCTGTGAAGCCGTCTGGGCCTGGGGCTTTGTGTGGTTTCAGGTTTTTGAGGACCGCATCTATTTCCTCTGGGGTGATAGGGCTGTCCATGAATTCCTGTTCCTCATCAGTTAGGGTAGGCATGGACAGTCCTGCTAGAAATTTTTTGATTTCCTTCTCTGGTGGGTTATGGGAGGTGTATAGGTTGGAGTAGAATTCTGCAAATTCTGAGTTTATTTCTTCGGGGGAGAATGTTATGTTGCCGTCTTTTTTTGGTGATGCAGTGTATTCTTGTTTTGAGTGCTTTTTTCCTGCATCTATTTGCTAGTAATCTGGAGTTTTTCCCTCCATATTCGTAGAAACGTTGTTTAGAGTATAGAATGTTGATCATTGTTTTGTTAATTTCTAGGAGTCTAGTTCTCTCCTTTTTGTTCCATAAGTTTGAGGAGTTTTTAGATCCTGTTTGTTTGTAGCGTGATGAGAGGGCGGTGATGACTTGTTCTATTTTGCTAATTTTTGAGGAGGTGTGTTTGGTTATGGATTGTTTTCTCTTTTATGCAAGCTCCTCTGGTGACCGCTTTCATTGCGTCCCATAGGAGGGGGGTTGTTATATTGTTTACATCGTTTTCCTTGAAGTAGTTTTGGAGGGTTTTTGTGAGACTCTCTCTAATTTGTTTGTTTGTAGTTAGGATGGGACTGAAGGACCATGATGGGGTGGTTTGTGTTCCTTCTCCTATTTTAACGATGACTTCTACTGGGGCGTGATCTGTGATTTTAATGTTACCTATGTTTGTTGATTCCACTGAGGGGATCAGACCCTGTGTGAGTAGAATGCTGTCCAGTCTGGATACTGTATCATGGCGTCCCGATTGGAATGTATGGCTGATGTCTCCCGGGTTTTGCTCACCCCAAATGTCATAGAGACCCCTGCTTTTAGCATTTTTAGTAACTTGTAAGGGTTCCTAGTTGGGGGTTTCCTTCGGAGGAAGGTTGCCCATGGGGTTGTAGGGTGGATATCTTTCAGGGCTATGCCTTTCATATTTAGATTGAGGTCCCCTCCTAGGATTGCTTCCCCTTCAGAGAAGGAGAGGAATTCCAACCTAGCAGTTCGAAAGCATGTCAGAGTACAAGTAGATAAATAGGTACCGCTCCGGCGGGAAGGTGAATGGCGTTTCCGTGCGCTGCTCTGGTTCGCCAGAAGTGGCTTAGTCATGCTGGCCACATGACGTGGAAGCTGTACCCCGGCTCCCTCGGCCTATAAAGCGAGATGAGCGCCACAACCCCAGAGTCGGTCACGACTGGACTTAATGGTCAGGGGTCCCTTTACCTATGGAACAACTCAGAACCACTGTAGAAGATATGTTTCAATAAATAAAAGAGGAGGAAGGAAAAGCCAGATGCTCAGGGCTGCCTACCACAAATTCTGGTTTTGTGTTTCCTTTCTTGTTGTTGTGTTACAGCTAGAAATTGGGGGGTGGGGGGGGAGAGAGAGAGAGAGAATATGTGTATATGTATTTTGAGAATCTCCTGCCAACCTAGCAGTTCGAAAGTACATCAAAGTGCAAGTAGATAAATAGGTACCGCTCCGGCGGGAAGGTAAACGGCGTTTCCGTGTGCTGCTCTGGTTCGCCAGAAACGGCTTAGTCATGCTGGCCACATGACCTGGAAGCTGTATGCTGGCTCCCTCGGCCAGTAAAGCGAGATGAGTGCCGCAACACCAGAGTCGGTCACGACTGGACCTAATGGTCAGGTCCCTTTACCTTTACCTATCTTGAGAATAATTCTAACTCACTCTTTCATCTTCCCTTTCCAGAAAAGCCAAGACAGAAGTACTTTGCAGTCGGTAAGAAAGTTCTTTATCCTTTCCTGCTACCTTAACAATTTAACACCTGTAGCTTTAAAACAGAGAGCAAGTGCTTTCTGGTATGGCGAAGGGAGAAGAATCACTTCTGGGATTTCTTTGCCTACAGATTTGACAACTCTCTCCCAAACTTTTGGCTCGTATAATCTTGTCAGGTCTGTGCCACATTCCTTCTAGTATTGGGGAAATTTACTTTCCTTTTTTGGGGAGCTCACAACGGTGCAAGAGATATGACTGCAGTGGTGTAAACACTAACCAAGCTTCCAACCCATTTATTGTTTCCTACCCATGGCAGCTGTGTTTCAGTTCCACTGCCAGAGACAGTATGCCCTGAATACCAGTTGAGCAATTTCATCTTCCAGTAAATAATATAAACCCCCAAGGCATGGCAAAACTCCTGCACAGACAGCTTTGATGGAATTTAAGCAAGCCCCAATCTTGCTTCCAGTGTTGGCTTCAAACTCTGTTTTTCCCCATTTTGTAGCGCCTTTTTATCACATCTCAAACTTGAGCAGGAAGCAAACCAGCAAAGCAACTGTGTGCACCGTTCTTAAATAGACGGGTACAACTTCTGAACTCTAAATTGGAGCAGAACCATTGCGACACGTTAGCCAAATCTGAGAACTCTTTCGTAGGCTTGAAGTCTGTGTTTGGGACCACTTCACAGCCTAGAACCCTTGTACCTACGGGACCGCCCTGCGGAGGACCTTAAGGTCCATAAATAGCAACACCCTAGAGGTCCCAGGCCCTAAGGAAGTCAGATTAGCCTCAACCAGAGCCAGGGCCTTTTCAACACTGGCTCTGGCCTGGTGGAACGCTCTGCCTCATGAGACCAGGGCCCTGCAGGATCTGATTTCTTTCCACAGGGCCTGTAAGACAGAGTTGTTCCGCCTGGCCTTTGGCTTGGAATCAACTTGATCCCCTCTCCCTCTTTCCTTTTTCCTTTCTCCTTCTCTGATGGAACTCCTCTTAGGGGACTTCCTTGGCTTTTTTCTGGCCCACTTAGGACCAGTCTGGATAGTCGGCCTTGGTGAAGATTTGACGTTTTCATCCCCAAAAAGTTTTTGATTTGAGTTTCTACTGAAATGAGGCTGCATTTTAATGTTGTATTTTAGTCTTGTTTTTAAGTTGTATTTTAATCAATTGTTTTTATCCCTAGTGTTAGCCGCCCTGAGCCCGGTCTTGGCTGGGGAAGGTATAAATAAAATTTATTATTATTATTATTATCACTTGCATTTGGAACTGCATTTGGAACCTCTCTTGCCCACGTGGAAATGAGGCAAAGGGCTTTTCCTGTCCAGTTGGCCTGGAAGCTTTTTAGAATCACTAAAATCAAAGCCTTTTGAGGAATCATGCCAAATTCTCTTGAGGGAGTTCCCTGTTAACATGTATTTCCTTCTTTTTCTCATTGCTGTTGAAAGACCGGACCTGCGATCCAAATAGCAACAAATACCCTGCTTCTTATTCCCTTCCTGCTTGGGTCTGACGGCATCCTTCTCCTCCTCTCCTTCCCTTTCAGCACCCTGCCTACAATGCGTTGCGGAAGCAGGGAAGGGACCTCCGCCTTCGTCTCAATGCTTTGCGCCAGCAGGAGCAGGAGCTGGATGAGAAATACTACCTGCGAGCCCTCAGGCTGCCCAACAGGACCCATCCAGATGTGGTAAAAGAGTGTGACGCAAGAGGAGCAACCTAGAACACCCGGGGACTCAAATTGAGCATGGCTGGGGGCCACTGCCAGGAAGGCCCTGCAGTGCTCTCCAGCTGAGTAGACTTCCCGGGTCAAGGATATATGCAGCTGTCAGGGAACTGACATCGGAGCGAGAGGCGAAGGGGAGGCTCCTAGATGATGCTGGCGAAGGACCCAGCAGCAGAGGGAGAAACAGCTTGGTAGAGGGGGAAGCAAATCATCGCAACACCAGAGATAAAGGGGGGCAGATGGGGGAATCGGAGAGAGGGCTCCAGGACTCTTCACTGGACCTCAGTGAGGAGGGGACAGGTCCTCCGCTACCCACGCCCTCCCTGCGCAGAAGACTCCCGCGCAGTGAGAGGAGGAGGAGACTGGGTGTCAAACAACTCTTATGTTGGAAGAGGTTCAAGAAACGCCCACTGACGGATTCTGCCAGCGACTGAGGCAGCCACGATGAGAAAGGGCTGTGCAGTCAGAAAGGTTTAACAAGGCAAATTAGCCTAGAGAGGCACCAGTTTACGCACGAGTAACTCATACTCATTACAGCAGCCAAGGGTTCTTCTGCAGATAAAAGGAAGGGGGGTGCTTGGATAATTGAGTAACATTTTACTCCATTCCTTTCCTTGCTTGTGGGTGGGGGTGCACACAGAACAGTTCGCACCTTCGTGAGTTTCCCTAGTCACCTTTCACCTGATAGCCGTGGCTGAGTGACTGGCCAGTGCCCAGTCGAGAGGAGGTGCTGGGAAGGAGCTTGAGACCTCCAGCTGGCTAAATGTGTGAGGCTTCAGGCTATGCCCACCCAGTACTCCAGCAAGGAGCTGCTGGAGGATATTCCCTGGGGGAAGAGCATTTGCCGCCGCCTCCTTTTTGTGCCCCATCGCCGAGAGCTCCGGAGGGTGGCAACATGAGAACAGGGCCTTTTCTGCAGTGGCTCCCCAACTATAGAATGCTCTCCCCAGGGAAGTTCGCCTGGCGCCTTCATTAGACACCTTTAGGCGCCAGGCAAAAACATTCCTTTCTATGCAGGCCTTTGGTTGATCTGATCTGCATCCTATGCCCTTTTAAAATGTGGTTTTTTCGAGGGGGGGAGGGCTGCTGTTGGGTTGTTGTTTTTATTTTTATTATGTATTTGTGGTTTTATATCTGGATTTTATTCTGTGAACTGCCCTGAGACCCATGGGTATAGAGCTGTATATAAATTCAATAAATAAAATAAAAAATAAATAAAAGGAAGAGCGGGTGGTGTGGCACCCAACAACGGTAAACTGAATAATATTAGTAGTAGTAGTTGTAATAAAAATAAATAATAATAATAATTTATTTATACCCTGCCCATCTGGCTGGGCTTCCCCAGCCACTCTGGGCGGCTTCCAACAAAATATTAAAATACAGTAATGCATCAAACATTAAAAGTTTCCCTAAACAGGGCTGCCTTCAGATGTCTTCTAAAAGTCTGGTAGTTGTTCTCTTTGACATCTGCTGGGAGATCGTTCCACAGGGTGGGTGCCACCACCGAGAAGGCCCTCTGCCTGGTTCCCTGTAACTTCACTTCTCGCAATGAGGGAACCGCCAGAAGGCCCTCAGAGCTGGATCTCAGTGTCCGGGCTGAACGATGGGGGTGGAGACACTCCTTCAGATATACTGGACCGAGGCCGTATATAGTCCTTTGGTCATGGCAATATGTGTGCAGGAAGAGAGGGATGTGGGGGTATGGGCACCAAGTCTTTTGACGTACCCCTGCCCATGGAAGTTTCATAGAAGCATAGAATTTTAGAGTTGGAAGGGACCCTGGGGGTCATCTAGTCCAACCCCCCCTTCCATGCAGGAATATGCAGCTGTCCCTTACGGGGATCAAACCAGCAACCTTGACATTATCAGCACCAGGCTCTAACCAACTCATGGCCCCTTCAAGCTCCTTTGCCTGAAACCAGTAAACCAGTTCCATGTAAAAGACCCTGGTGGTTAGCTCCTCAGAGCTAGTGTGGTGTAATGGTTAGAGTCAGACTAGGACCTGGGAGGGGAAAAGGAAAGGGACCCCTGACCATTAGGTCCAGTCGTGGCCAACTCTGGGGTTGCGGTGCTCATCTCGCTTTACTGGCCAAGGGAGCCGGCGTACAGCTTCCGGGTCATGTGGCCAGCATGACTAAGCCGCTTCTGGCGCACCAGAGCAGCGCACGGAAACGCCGTTTACCGGAGCGGTACCTATTTATCTACTTGCACTTTGACGTGCTTTTGAACTGCTAGGTTGGCAGGAGCAGGGACCAAGCAACGGGCGCTCACCCCGTTGCGGGGATTCGAACCGCCAACCTTCTGATCGGCAAGCCCAAGAGGCTCAGTGGTTTAACCCACAACGCCATCCACGTCCCACAGGACCTAGGAGACCAGGGTTCAAATCCTTATCTAGGCCATGAAGCTCTCTGGGGAGGGAAAAAACCTTAGGAGCTTAACCTACCCCACAGGGTTGTTGTGTGAGAATAAAACAGGGAGGAAAGGAGCTCTGGGCACCACTTTGAGCTCCTTGGAGGAAAACGTGGGCTAGAAAATGCAATGGATAATAAGTAAATAATAGGGAGCTGAACTACCTCTGACGCTTCCATGCCTTTAACCTCTGACCTCTTCCTTTCCCCAGCCAGTTGGAGATGAGAGCCAAGCACGGGTGTTGGAGGTTATTGGTGAAAAGCCAGGTGAGAAAGGATTCCTTTTATCACCACTAGGGGGTGTTACTTGCTTCTTTCCAGGCTGTGCTTGCGTTGCCTTTTTAAATAATACCTGGATCTATTAAATTCTTCCTTATTCCTGGTTTAATCTTCATATCCCCCTGTGTTTTTCTTTTTCTTTTTTTAAACAGCATTTGACTTCAAGGTGAAAGGGCACCTGGAAATTGGGGAAGACCTGGATATCATAAGGCAAAGGTGTGTATGAGAAATTGGCGGTCTCGTCCCTTCCCATGCAAGGCTTTCTGCTTAAAAGGGACCATTTGGGAAAAAAGGAGACAGTCCTGAATCCCTTTCAAGCACAGAGAAATGAAGCAACAGCTCCACTTGCTGGTAGAGAATGAGAGAGTGCCGTTTACCGTATTTTTCACTCCATAGGGCGCCCCGAACCATAGGGCGCACCTAGTTTTAAGGGGGGGAAATCAAAGGGGGGAAAAAGTGCGTCCTATAGAGCGAAAAATACGGTACTTTCAATACAGTCTGGAAAAAATTAAGTTTCCCCCTTCTTCCCTTAGTCAGTGCCACTAATATTCACTAGGCAGCTGCCTCTTCCTAGGGAGAAGTTCATGGCTCAATGGTAGAGGATCTGCCTAGCATGCAGAAGGTCTCAGGTTCAATCCCAGTGGCATCTGGGAAAGGTAGAACTGGAAATGTGTCTAATCTGTCACCTCAGAGATCTGCTTAATAATAATAATAATAAATTTTAATTATACCCCGCCCTCCCCAGCCAGAGCCGGGCTCAGGGCGGCTAACACCAATAAAATCACAGTAAAAACATAATAGGGGGGAAAGGGGGAGGGGAGAGAAAAAAACAATTTAAAATACAGGTTAAAATGCAATTTAAAATGCAGCCTCATTTTAAAGTAGCTGATAAATCAAGACCATAAGGGGAGGGAAACATAAGGGTCAGACCGAGTCCAAGCCAAAGGCCAGGCGGAACAGCTCTGTCTTGCAGGCCCTGCGGAAAGATGTCAAGTCCCACAGGACCCTAGTCTCTTGTGACAGAGCGTTCCACCACGTCGGGGCCAGTGCTGAAAAGACCCTGGCCCTAGTTGATACTAATCTAACTTCCTTGTGACTTGGGACCTCCAAAGTGTTGTTATTTGTGGACCTTAAGGTCCTCTGCGGGGCATGCCAGGAGAGACGGTTCCGTAGGTACGTGGGTCCTAGGCTTGCTTCCTGTCTATTCTGACTGCTGACCCAGAAGTGATTGGCTTGCAATGTAAAGGGGAAATGATGGTTTCAAAGTTGCCCCGTAATTTGCAAACACATACGCAAATCATACACTTCTCAATTATATAAGTTCCTCCTCCGAGAGCCCTGCTCTCTACCATATTGTTTGCCCTTCTCTCTCAGTTTGTGTGCGTTGAGCGAAATTTCCAAAGCATGCACACACACACTGAAATCCCATCACCATCAGTAATGTGCACAAAGTTGTTTGGGGCGGGGGGAATCAAAGTTTGGCCTTGCACAGGGCACCATATTACCAAGGTCTGCCCCTGATTGAACCTGCAACCTCCTGCTTGCAAGGCAGACACCCTGACACTGAGCTGTGGCTGTTTAAAATATAAAAATTATCTACATGGTGCCTAGGGAACAACTTGCACCTTAAGATCAGCAAGACAAAGGAGATGGTGTTGGACATTCGGAGGAAGAGAGGAGAACTAGCCCCGCTGTACATCGGGGAGGGCTGTGTGGAGAGAGCCTCTTCCTTTAAATTCCTAGGAGTTTATCTCAGTGAAGACCTTACTTGGAAAATCAATACAGTGGTACCTCGCAAGACGAATGCCTCGCAAGACAAAAAACTCGCTAGACGAAAGGGTTTTTTGTTTTTTGAGCTGCTTCGCAAGACGATTTTCCCTATGGGCTTGCTTCGCAAGACGGAAACGTCTTGCAAGTTTGTTTCCTTTTTCTTAACACCATTAATACAGTTGCGACTTGACTTCGAGGAGCAACTCATAGAACGCGGTGTGGTAGCCTTTTTTGAGGTTTTTAAAGACTTTGGTGATTTTTGAAGCTTTTCCAAAACTTTCCCGACACCGTGCTTCGCAAGACGAAAAAATCGCAAGACAACAAAACTCGCGGAACGAATTAATTTCGTCTTGCGAGGCACCACTGTACAACCCAGGTGGTTAAGAAAGCCCAACAGAGACTCCATCTTCTCAGAGTATTACGGAAGAACGATGTCAGTCAACATTTGATGATCTCCTTCTACTGGTCCACAACAGAAAGTGTCCTTTCATACTGCATCACGGTGTGGTACGCTGGTTTGACATCATCTGATAGGAAGTGCCTACAGAGGGTGGCGAATACAGCACAAGATATTATGGGCTGTCCCGTGAATCCGCTGAATGAAATAGAGGAAGAACGTTGCCTCAGGAGAGTGAGGAAAATTCTCAGGGACGATTCACACCCTGGCCGGCACTTTCTTGATCTCCTGCCCTCGGGCAGAAGATATAGAAGCATGAATAGTCGCGCCAACAGGGTAAAGAACAGCTTTTATCCGTGGGCTGTTAGGCTGCTGAATGAAAAGATAACAACAGGGCAACAGACTTTCGGGTTTGGTGGGTGTGCGTCAGTAAACGAGGGGAATTAAGACTAAGAGAGCTGAGTGGAGGGTGCTCGTGTAATCTCACTGTATACAAGTTGTACAAGTGACAATAAAGTATTTCAGTTTAGCTGGATACAACCCCACGTAAACAGGCTCTGAGGCCTGGAATAAATTGCCCCATTGTTGCAGCCACCAGCTCCCTGAAAAAGCGTTGGAGGAAGTGCGCTTGTGCGAAGGCAAGCAGAGGAGCGAGGGAGCAAACAAGACTTAGACAAATTGCCTAATGCTCTGATGGAGGGAGAGGGTGCTAAATATGATTCCGCCAGGACAAAGGGTGCCTTTGGTCTCTGAGCGGATATTTCCAGAATTTGCAGGCACCCATTAGCTGATTGGAAGCCCTTCTCCTTCCTGAACAGGGATGAATATTTGATGGGTGGCCTTTGAGATGAACTGTTTGGCCCCAGGGCCTTTTCCAGTAGCAGGCTGCTTCCCACCCACCACCCACCCCCGTGATCTGTTTCACAAAGCTCCCTCTGAGCCTCGGGCCAAAGCTGAGAGCCTCTCCTGTCACGAAAGGAAGCCTGCCATTGACTAAATGCGTTCGTCATGGAATTGGCACTCTTAACGTGGCCGTGGGGCCATGTTTCCTGGAGAGTGTTGTCCTCCTTGGTGCAAATGGATATTGGGCACATGGCAGGGAAAGGACCACAATTCAAGGGTCGAGCATTTGCCTTGCAAGCAGAGAGTTCAATCCCCAGTACCTCCAGGGAAGAGCTCCAAAGAGACATTTGTTGCAACAGGGCTCTTTAATCCAGTTTGTGCAAACCTAAGTTTCTCTTTTTTTTAATTTTAATTTTTATTGAATTTTGCAAGAAAAGAAAAAGAAACAAAAAACAATACATAACACTGTAAGGTAAAGGTAAAGGGACCCCTGACCATTAGGTCCAGTCGTGGCCGACTCTGGGGTTGCTGCGCTCATCTCGCTTTATTGGCCGAGGGAGCTGGCGTAAAGCTTCCGGGTCATGTGGACAGCATGACTAAGCCGCTTCTGGTGAACCAGAGCAGCGCACAGAAACGGCGTTTACCTTTCCGCTGGAGCGGTACCTATTTATCTACTTGCACTTTGATGTGCTTTCGAACTGCTAGGTTGGCAGGAGCAGGGACCGAGCAATGAGAGCTCACCCCGTCGCGGGGATTCGAACCGCCGACCTTCTGATCGGCAAGTCCTAGGCTCTGTGGTTTAACCCACAGCGCCACTCGCATCCCTACATAACACTGTAAACACATCTATATACATGCTTTCCAAAATGCAAACTAAAAAAGAAAATACTTTTCATAACCAATAATATAACCCTAACCCAAATTCATGCTTCAAACATTACAATAGATGAATCTTAGTTAAAATATTATAAAAGGCTTCCACCGCATTCACCGCACATTTCTTAGTTATCTTGCTCGCCTTCACATCTGTTCTTCAATCATTTCCCTTCCTTAGATTCTTTCATAATCAGTCAAATCTTTATGTTCTCTATATTCTTCACAAAGTTAGTCTAGGCACAACCAAACTTTCATATTTGAGCCCGGCTTGTATAAATATTCATTTAAGCATTCCCATTGTTTCTGAATTCTAATTTTTGATTTATGTGTTATTAAATCCTTCAGTTTTGCTAACTCCAGGTACTCACATAGTTTACTTAAACATTCCCCTTTTGTTGGGATATAATTTCCTTTCCAATGACTGGCTACCAACGTTCTCGCTGTTGTTGCTGCATCCAGAAAGATGTTGATTTTGTCTTTGGGGATATCCTTACCAAGATTCCTAATAAATATGCTTCTGCCTTTTTGATATATGATACTTTAATCAATTTTTTAATCTCTTCATGAATCATCTCCCAAAGTTCTTTGATCTCTGGACATGTGGTGGACATGTCCAGTTTGCACAAACCTAAGTTTCTGGTGATGAAATGGCTCCCTGCAAAATAGTGACAGTCTGATAACTTAAATAGAATTACTTGTGAGTATCAGATTGGCCTAGGATTTAAATATGTGATGCCATAGAATACTATGGTAAAAGTTAAAATGAAAAGAAAGAAAGATGTTAATCGACCAAGTAAATTTTATGTGAAAATAGTTTTGGAAAACTGCTAAAATGATTTACCGTATTTTCTGCTCTATAAGACTCACTTTCTCCCTCTGAAAAAGTAAGGGGAAATGTGTGTGCGTCTTATGGAGTGGATGCAGGCTGCGCAGCTATCCCAGAAGCCAGAACAGCAAGAGGGATTGCTGCTTTCACTGCACAGCGATCCCCCTTGCTGTTCTGGCTTCTGGGATTCAGAATATTTTTTTCCTTGTTTTCCTCCTCCAAAAACTAGGTGCGTCTTATAGAGCGAAAAATACAGTATATGGAAACTCAGCCAGGGGGAATTGAGGAAGTCACCCAACAAAGTTAACAAAAGGGGAATTATTACAGTTAGGATAAATGTACGTTTGTTTTTTGACGTTTTCTTTTTATGTTTGTGGATTTGTTTGTTATAAATTTGGAAAACTAATTAAAAAAAAAGGAAAACAAATAATAGTTACAGTCTGGGAGTAGCTAGTGACTCCTGAAGCTCTTGGCTGTTGACAGGGCTTCAAAGGCCAGCTAGCCCAGCCTTCCCTCCCAGGAGCCAGCGTGGTGTAGTGGTTAAGAGCAGTAGTCTCGTAATCTGGGGAACCGGGTTCGCGTCTCCGCTCCTCCACATGCAGCTGCTGGGTGACCTTGGGCCAGTCACACTTCTCTGAAGTCTCTCAGCCCCACTCACCTCACAGAGCGTTTGTTGTGGGGGAGGAAGGGAAAGGAGAATGTTAGCCGCTTTGAGACTCCTTCGGGTAGTGATAAAGCGGGATATCAAATCCAAACTCTTCTTCTTCCCCCAAGCAGGGTGACCCACATGAGCAGATCAAGCCCCACATCCCTGGGAAGCTCCTCAATGCCTTCTTCTTTCCTCCCCTCTGTTCCGCAGGCGCCTGTCCCACATCTCGGGCTACCGGTCATTCTACCTCCGTGGGGCTGGAACAATGTTGCAGCAAGCCTTGGTGCAGTTCACTTTCAACAAGCTGCTGAAAAAGGTACCGAACGGTCTTTTTTGGGGGGGGTACCCTGTGGAGCGGATGTGGGTGGCGCTGTGGTCTAAACCACAGAGCCTAGGGCTTGCCGATCAGAAGGTTGGCGGTTCGAATCCCCGCGACGGGGGGGGGGGATAATTGCTGACTTAACTAATTGAACTGGAATACAAAAAAGGGAGGTATGAGGAGGTCAGGGAAACAAGGATATGAATGTAAGATTTGGAAAGATTGATCCATTTTCCTTCTTCTTCTTTTTCTTTTTAAGTGTCTTTTACTCTTTTTCTGTATTTTGTATTTCCTATTTTTTTGTATTTTTACTTTTTGTTTTTGTGTAATTCTTGTATTTTGTGAAATGTTAATAAATATCATTAAAAAAAAAAAAAGACCTCCAAAGAAGGAGACTCCACCACACTCCTTGGCAGCAAATTCCACTGTCGAACATGTCAGGAAGTTCTTCCTAATGTTTAGGTGAAATCTTCTTTCTTGTAGTTTGGATCCATTGCTCCGTGTCTGCTTCTCTGGAGCAGCAGAAAACAACCTTTCTCCCTCCTCTATGTGACATCCTTTTATATATTTGAACATGGCTATCATATCACCCCTTAACCTCCTCTTCTCCAGGCTAAACATGCCCAGCTCTCTTAGCCGTTCCTCATAAGGCATCGTTTCCAGGCCTTTGACCATTTTGGTTGCCCTCCTCTGGACACGTTCCAGTTTGTCAGTGTCCTTCTTGAACTGTGGTGCCCAGAACTGGACACAGTACTCCAGGTGAGGTCTGACCAGAGCAGAATACAGTGGCACTATTACTTCCCTTGATCTAGCTGAACATAAGTCAGCAGTGTAATGCAGCTGCAAAAAAAGTGAATGCTATTCTAGGCTGCATCAACAGAGGTTGTGTCCAGATCAAGGGAAGTAATAGGACCACTCTATTCCGCCTTGGTCAGAGCACACTTGGAATACTGTGTCCAGTTCTGGACACCACAATTTAAGAAGAATATTGACAAGCTGGAAGGTGCGCAGAGGAGGGTGACCAAGATGATCAAGGGTCTGGAAACCAAGCCTGATGAGGAATGGTTGAAGGAGCTGGGTATGTTTAGCCTGGAGAAGACTGAGAGGGCATAAGATAGCCATCTTCAAATATCTCAAGGGCTGTCACATGGAAGAGGGAACAAGCTTGTTATCCCCTGCTCCGGAGAGTAAAACTTGAACCAATGGCTTCAGGTTGCAAGAAAGGAGATTCCGACCAAACATCTCTTGCATGACTCCTCTGTTCAAGGACAGAATATGTGAGAACCAGGCATGGGGCAGTGTCCTGTTCTTGACCTTCCCCTTGTCTTTCTCTCTCTCTTTAGGGCAATTCCTCCTTTTGCCGATACCTTCTTAGGGGGTGCCTGGATGGTTCCTGCAGCTCTTCATCCTCTTCCTTTCCCCCTACAGGGCTTTATTCCCATGACTGTTCCAGATCTGCTGAAAGGAGCCGTCTTTGTAAGTAGCCTCACCCCCACAAAAAAAATATTCATGGTAAGGTTACCAGATTTTTTCCAGTGAATCCGGGGACACTTTTCAACTTCAGTAGGAATGATAGCATTTTGTCAGGGGACTGATTTGTAAATCCGGGGACTGTCCCTGGGAAACGGGGATGTCTGGTAACCTTAGAGCCTGCTTCATATGGAGGCAGATCTTTGGTCCATCTAGTTCAGTATTGTCTACACTGATTGGCAGTCATGCTCCAGGATTTCAGGCTGGGGTGTGTGTGTGTGTGTGTGTGTGTGTGTGTGTGTGTGTGTTTGTGTTTGTCTTCCAGCCCTACCTTGAGATGCTACTGGAGCCTTCTGTATGGAAAGCAGAAGCTCTGCCTCTGAGCTTCCAGAGCGTCCTCTCTGGCACCCCCACCGTGTGTGTGGTTCTTGTGGCACACAATAATAATAATAATAGTAATAATAATTTATTATTTATACCCCGCCCATCTGGCTGGGTTTCCCCAGCCACTCTGGGCGGCTTCCAACAGAACACTAAAATACAGTAACCTATTAAACATTAAGGGACGCGGGTGGCGCTGTGGGTTAAACCACTGAGCCTAGGGCTTGCCGATCAGAAGGTCGGCGGTTCGAATCCTCGCGACGGGGTGAGCTCCCGTTGCTCAGTCCCTGCTCCTGCCAACCTAGCAGTTCGAAAGCACATCAAAGTGCAAGTAGATAAGTAGGTACCACTCTGGTGGGAAGGTAAACGGCATTTCCGTGCACTGTTCTGGTTCGCCAGAAGCGGCTTAGTCATGTTGCCCACATGACCTGGAAGCTGTATGCCGGCTCCCTCGGCCAAGAAAGCGAGATGAGCGCCGTAACCCCAGAGTCGGTCACGACCGGACCTAATGGTCAGGGGTCCCTTTACCTTCACCTTTATTAAACATTAAAAGCTTCCCTGAACAGCCTTCAGATGTCTTCCAAAAGTCTGGAAGTTGTTTTCCTCTTTGACATCTGATGGGAGGGCATTCCACAGGGAGGGCGCCACCACCGAGAAGGCCCTCTGTCTGGTTCCCTGTAACTTGGCTTCTCGCAGAGAGGGAACTGCCAGAAGGCCCTCGGTGCTGGACCTCAGTGTCCAGGCTGAACAATGGGGGTGGAGACGCTCCTTTTTTTTTTTTTTTTTTGAAATAATTTTTATTAAAGTTTTAAACAAAGACGCTCCTTCAGGTATACTGGACCGAGGCTGTTTTCAACACAGTGTTGCTCACAAAGCCAGGAGTCTGGTTGCCCTCTGAAGACGGGGGTTGGCACATGGCCCTTTTTAGCCTGGAGGCCACATACCCTTCTGAGCAGTCTTCCGAGGGCCACACAATAGTTGTGGGCGGTGCCAGAGGCAAAAGTGGGTGGCGCAACGGATGTAGTTCCTGCTCTCTCTCTCTGACTCTCTCGTTTATTTGGTTTTTCAGATTAAATTTTTACAGTCATACAATGGTGTGGTACCTTAGTTCTCAAACTTAATCCGTTCCAGGAGTCCGTTGAACTCCTGAAACCCTTCAAAAACCAAGGTGTGGCTTCCGATTAGCTGCCCTCCATCGGAAGCCGCGGAAGATATTTGGCTTTCGAAAAATGTTCACAAACCGGAACACTCGCTTCTGGGTTTGCGGCGTTTGGGAGGCGATTTGTTCGACAACTAAGCCGTTCGAGAACCAAGGTACCGCTGTATATCAAACACAGATCATAAAAAACAAGATTCCAAGGAATCTCGTGGACTTCCATCCTCCCCTTAGTCAGTCCTATTATTAATCTTTTCCTCCTGCATCTTTGATGGTGATCCAAATCTTTGGCATCTCCACTGTGTCCAGAATTCACCATTGAACTACAGTTTTTTCTTGCTTGTCTGGAGACGGAGGAGACTCCTCTTCTGAATAAGAGTCCAGAAGGGACCTGCAACTAATTAGAAAGGTCAAAATATCCCCTCGGTATCTACTCTTGAGAACAGGGCATTTTAGAGCTAGTTTTCTGACCAAACTCTGAGCATCACCTTTGCTGAGCTGTGTTTTTAGGTGATGCCCCGCTGCAAGCAGGCCTCAGCTTTCAACCTGGCACCTTCCCGTTGTTGCTGGATTACAGCTGCTATCATCTCTGACCACTGGGCATGCTGGCTGGAGCTGATGGGAGCCCTGTAGACTCACCCACCCACCCACCTGTGTCACACCTCTCTCCTCTTGCTTCCCAGGAAGGTTGTGGCATGCCCCCAGAAGCCAGCTCCTCTCTGCTGTACAACATAGACCCTTCTCGCTTTGAAGACCTGAGCCTGGCAGGCACGTCCGAGGTTGGCATTGCAGGTATGGCAAAAGGGTGGAACTCTGTGGACTTGTAAAAGGGTAAAAGAGCATTGGGAAATGATCCATAATTAAAGTTGCTGTTTAGTCATTTAGTCATGTCCGACTCTTCATGACCCCCTGGACCAGAGCACGCCAGGCACTCCTGTCTTCCAGTGCCTCCCGCAGTTTGGTCAAACTCATGCTGGTAGCTTCGAGAACACTGTCCCACCATCTCGTCCTCTGGCGTCCCCTTCTCCTTGTGCCCTCCATCTTTCCCAACATCTTTTCCAGGGAGTCTTCTCATGAGGTGGCCAAAGTCTTGGAGCCTCAGCTTCAGGATCTGTCCTTCCAGTGAGCACTCAGGGCTGATTTCCTTCAGAATGGATCAGTTTGATCTTCTTGCAGTCCATGGGACTCTCAAGAGTCTCCTCCAGCACCATAATTCAAAAGGATAAATCCTTCGGCAATCAGCCTTCTTTATGGTCCAGCTCTCACTTCCATACATCACTACTGGGAAAAACATAGCTTTGACTATACGGACCTTTGTTGGCAAGGTGATGTCTCTGCTTTTTAAGATGCTGTCTAGGTTTGTCATTGCTTTTCTCCCAAGAAGCAGGCGTCTTTTAATTTCGTGGCTGCTGTCACCATCTGCAGTGATCATGGAACCCAAGAAAGTAAAATCTCTCACTGCCTCCATTTCTTCCCCTTCTATTTGTCAGGAGGTGATGGGCCCAGTGGCCATGATCTTCGTTTTTTGATGTTGAGCTTCAGACCATATTTTGTGCTCTCCTCTTTAACCCTCATTAAAAGATTCTTTAATTCCTCCTCACTCTTTAAAAGTACTTCCCCACAAAACCCCAGAGTCCTTCCTGTTGGGGATAATTCAGACTGAAATTCCCAGGGGTCAAAAACGGTTATTTAGGTATTCTACTACTGTGGCTCGTGTTTTGTTAGCCCAAAAATGGAAAATGAGCGAGGTCCCAGCCAAAGAAGAATGGCAACTTAAGTTGACAGAATATGCACAGCTTGCAGACTTAACATCTAGAATAAGAGAACAAGAAGAACAGAAGTTTAAAGAAGATTGGAAAACGTTTACTGAATATACAGGAAATAATTGTGTACAGCTGAAAACACTAACAGCATTAAGATAAATTCAGCGGTGTAAATAAGTTTAGATGGATGCAATAATGGAATACTGAATGGTATATGGAGTCCTGGGAGAGAACTTCCTTAGGCTCCAGAGAAGCCTCATCGGCCTGCCCCATCTTTATGTCCCAAGATGTTTTCGAATTCCCACCGTTTCTGGCTGTGCTTGTTCCTTTATTGTTCATGACACTTTTCACTCATACGAATCACAAGAAAAAAGAATTACCGTATTTTTTGCTCTATAAGATGCACCAGGCCATAAGACGCACCTAGTTTTTGGAAGTGGAAAACAAGAAAAAATATATTCTGAATCCCAGAAGCCAGAACAGCAAGAGGGATTGCTGCGCAGTGAAAGCAGTGATCCCTCTTGCTGTTCTGGCTTCTGGGATAGCCGCGTGCAGCCTCTCCCGGGCAAGGGGAGCCAGGCAAGGCTCCCCCAAGAGCCACGCTCCCTTTAAAGAGAGAGTGTGGAGTGTGTGTGCAGCTCTTGGGGGCTTTTCCCCGAGGAGGGAGAAGAGCTACCCTTCTCCCTCCTCAGGGAGAAGCCCCCAAGAGCCACACACACGCTCCAAGTGGCTCATTAAAGGGAGCGGTGAGCAGAGCCTCCCACCTGCGTTTGCTCCATAAGACGCACACACATTTCCCCTTAATTTTTAGGAGGGCAAAAGTGTGTCTTATAGAACGAAAAATACGGTAGCAATAATGTACTAGAACGTCCCAATTACAGCATGAGCTATATAGAATAATTAACAAATCGTCAGCAAAACAAATACAAATCATCGGTAAAACGGCCACCTTCTATGAAACACCATAGCTAACTCCACTGTGACACGAGGGTTATGTTCCCGGGTACTGTGCATAACTGTGAATCACGTACCGCGGGGAACACCCTCTAGCCCATGGAAATTCTTGAAAAACCCTTTAAAAAACAAAAAAACTCGCCAAATTCCATCCCAATTGCTGCCTCCAAACCTCCTTTCTCAAGCTCCCAACTCTCCACAGGCCTCAAAGGTTGGCGCAAAGGCTGTTTTCCAACTCTTTTTGTGCCATTTTTGCAGATTTCCTGCTCTTTCCAGGCCTTTAAAATTGATTAAATCAATTTATTTAATTATTTGCTGGCACTGTGTGTATACGCAGTCATGTGTAAAAGTGGGGAGTAGGGCTGGGCGATGTATCGATACACCTTCCAAGACTGGTTATAAGTCCATATTGTGATATTGGCTTTATAGTTTTTGACCTGGCGAAATCATGTTGTGAATCATGGTGTGTGTGTGTGTGTGTGTGTGTGTGTGTGTGTGCTATGCAAAATTACAATGTGGGAAAAACTGTGAAGCCAGCCAGTGCCGTTGCAAAGCTCCATCCTTCTTTCAGACATCATGATATCTCATTCTATCACAATGTTTAGCTGGTGATATATCGTGATGTTGAAAACCAGATATCGCCCAGCCCTAGTGGGGAGACACTTGTATTAACAAAACTCTGCTCTTATCTCCAAAAGAAAGAGAGAGGCAGGCTGCACATAAAATGTAGAAACAAAACTCTTTTGAAAAGTTATTGATAGTTCCTTCTTCATCCCTGGTTGAAAAATGTACATTAGCAAGACAGGGTTGGCGAGAGCAACCGGGGCAAAGGAATTAAGGAATTGTGCCCCAATTTCTTCCCTCAAATCCATTCCCACCGCCTTCTCTTCCTACTAGGGTACTTCATGGATCATGCGGTGAATCTGAAAGACACCCCCGTCAGGTGAGAAACTTTCTTCCCACCTTGTGGATGCATTCAGGTGCCGCTGCGCACATGTTCAGAACGTTAAAGGTAAAGGGACCCCTGACCGTTAGGTCCAGTCATGGCAGACTCTGGGGTTGCGGCGCTCATCTCGCTTTATTGGCCGAGGGAGCTGGCGTACAGCTTCCAGGTCATGTGGCCAGCATGACTAAGCCACTTCTGGCGAACCAGAGCAGCGCACGGAAACGCCGTTTACCTTCCCGCCGGAGCGGTACCTATTTATCTACTTGCGCTGGTGTGCTTTCGAACTGTTAGGTTGGCAGGAGCAGGGACCGAGCAATGGGAGCTCACCCCGTCGCGGGGATTCGAACCGTCGACCTTCTGATCGGCAAGTCCTAGGTTCTGTGGTTTAACCCACAGCACCACCCGCGTCCCGTTCAGAACGTTACACATGATGAAATACGGGCTGTGGGATTCTAGAGTCTAACGTTAGTAATTCTTGGGGTCCGTGCGTCTGCTCTGAGCCTGGATACACCCCACCCCCTCAATTCCAGAGAGGGCCGCAGCTTTTGTTTACGGCATTAGAAAACAACTGGTCGGCCCCTGTGAGAACAGGACTCTAGACTAAATGGGCCATTGGCCTCATTCTGATGTTCTCCTTTACATCATAGGGTTTTCTGCAGGGGGAATGGGCTGCTTCAAACATCAGCTGCTCCCTGGCTGCGTGCTTTAGAAGTCTTAAGGCTGCACATCTTCACAGCCTTGAAAGCTATGGAAAGATCACGAGGCTCCAAAAATAACAGATTGGCAAATCAAATTACAGGAATTGGTGGAGACGGCCCAATTGACTAGTAAACTCAGAGGAAACTCAAAGCAAAAATTTGCGGGGAAATGGGATGGTTATAGAAGATATGTTCAAAAATACAGTAATAGTTTTGACTATGTGCTAGCATTTGAGTGATAAAGGAACTAAAATGAGGTGGATAACAATTAAGGATTTATTATGTTTTCAGAATGTATTAGAAAAATTATATAGAAAGGGTTATTGTTTTGTGTACATTCAAATGTAAGATAAAATATATGCAAAGGGACTTGACAGGAAGTCAAAGTTGAAGAAAAGATTTTGGAAGATAAAAGGGGGAAAATATTTACTTTCATTATCATCATTTTGTGTGTGGGTGTGGGTGTGTGGGTGTCTGCACATATGTGTGTTGTTGTATGCAACGTTTGGGAGGAAATAAGACGGTAAATAACAAATAACAAACTAAATATCGATGTATGTAATTTTTATTTCTTAATTATATTTAGTGGTAGTATGGTTGTATTGTTTTTTGTAACATAAAATCATTCAATAAAAATTATTTTTCAAAAAAAAGAAAAGAAAGCTACAATCTGAGGTGTTCCCAAAGTAAAGGAAGGATTGAACTCTGATTAATAAGAATACACACAGAGGCTTGAACCAGCAAGACTCTGGGAAGGGTGCATATAATAGTCTGTCTCCACCCTCCGGCCCAGGTCCTTTTATTCACAAAAGAACTTTTTACAGAGTGTTAGTAAGAACCAATCAGATTTCTTCTGAGCATTTCAACAAACCCCACGTGGGGACAAAGTTAAACTACCCAAACTAATTAAGCACGCATATTTCTGGGGTAAGCAAAACAGAACTACAAAGGAGTTCATTTGGCAACCCCAAGCAATATACATGATAAGAAGGATGGCCAGGAAGACAGCGATCATTATCTCCTTCAGGTGAGATCTGTTTCCTGGCCCTAAGATTAACATCCTAAGAGTAACATATCAGAAAAGCTACATCAAAGAAACTGCCCACTGTCTTTGATGACCCAGGATGCCTGCCTGGCAAAGCAACTGGGCTGCGTACGTGACTTGTCAAGAAAGAGAAATGGAACAGGGATGCAGAGGTGTGGATTGATCAAGAATCAAAATAGTTTAAACCCAGTCAACGCAATGCTTTCATTGCTGACACAGGTGGCTTACTCTATATTTGTTATAATTCCTCATAGCAATCCCACCTGATCACTACAACAATCTGAATCATTTAAAAGAAAGTTGAGGGGTTCGCGCCCCCCCCCATTAGGGAGCCAACTATTCGTTCCATCCTTGTAAGGTTTTCTGCCCTCCCGTGGAATTGCGATGTGCACCCACCCACAGACCCCTCTGCCCTCCTCTGCCCAATTCCTCTTGACCACTGACCTCACCAGCCCTTCTGTCTCTTCTTCCAACTCGACCAGGACACTGTGTGTCAGCACGTGCTACAGGGCGGAAACAGAAACTCGCCATGAGTCGTGGGGACTGTATCGAGTGCACCAGTTCACCAAGGTGAGGATGACGTGCGCCCGAGGTGTGGCGCCGTTGGAGGTGGGCAGAAGGAGCAGGGTCTGCAGCATAGGCCCCGGTCCTGTATACCTGAAGGAGCATCTCCATCCCCACTGTTCGGCCTGAGGTCCAGCTCTGAGGGCCTTTTGGCAGTTCCCTCCCTGCGAGAAGTGAGGTTACAGGGAACCAGGCAGAGGGCCTTCTTGGTGGTGGCGCCCGCCCTGTGGAACGCCCTCCCTTCAGATGTGAAGGAAATAAGCAGCTATCCTATTTTTAAAAGACATCTGAAGGAAGCCTTGTTTAGGGAAGTTTTTAATATTTAATGCTGTATTGTTTTTAACACTCGATTGGAAGCCGCCCAGAGTGGCTGGGGAAACTCAGCCAGATGGGCGGGGTATAAATTATTATTATTATTATTATTATTATTATTATTATTTAGGCACTGACCCGGGCCTCAGCAAGCTGAGGGTCCCAGGTGCCTTCAGACCATCCTCTTAGACCCAGGTTCCACCTGCCATTGTCTCTCTGGCTCCACCTAATGTTGGGCTCCCTGTCTTCTGCCTTCCCAGTCCCAATCAGAACCACCCATCATGGGCAATAGCTGGGTTACTGTTGTAAGACAACCTATCCGACTTTTAAAAGATATCTGAAGGCTATCTGAAAGCTCTGTACAGTGAAGTTTTTAATGTTTAAAGCTGTATTGTGTTTTTAATATTCGGTTGGGAGCTGCCCAGAGTGGCTGGGGAAACCCAGGCAGATGGGCGGGGTATAAAGGAAGTAATAGTGCCACTGTATTCTGCTCTGGTCAGACCTCACCTGGAGTACTGTGTCCAGTTCTGGGCACCACAGTTCAAGAAGGACACTGACAAACTGGAACGTGTCCAGAGGAGGGCAACCAAAATGGTCAAAGGCCTGGAAACGATGCCTTATGAGGAACGGCTAAGGCAGCTGGGCATGTTTAGCCTGGAGAAGAGGAGGTTAAGGGGTGATGTGATAGCCATGTTCAAATATATAAAAGGATGTCACATAGAGAAGGGAGAAAGGTTGTTTTCTGCTGCTCCAGAGAAGCGGACACGGAGCAATGGATCCAAACTACAAGAAAGAAGATTCCACCTAAACATTAGGAAGAACTTCCTGACAGTAAGAGCTGTTCGACAGTGGAATTTGCTGCCAAGGAGTGTGGTGGAGTCTCCTTCTTTGGAGGTCTTTAAGCAGAGGCTTGACAACCATATGTCAGGAGTGCTCTGATGGTGTTTCCTGCTTGGCAGGGGGTTGGACTCGATGGCCCTTGTGGTCTCTTCCAACTCTATGATTCTATGAGTAAATAATAATAATTTTATTATTATTATTATTATTATTATTATTATTATTGGTGCATCCTGAGATTTTTTGGGTTGGGGTGGAGCAGGATGGAGCTCAGTGAGAAATTTGATACCTTAACAGATGCTAATGGCACATCAAGCGTGTTGTTCAGTTCGACGCAAGCACAGCAAATGCATGGGATCGGTTAATCGGACTCATCCCAAGGCTCTCTTGCTTTTCGCTTCAAACGATGCAAGTTTCTAGTCCTCAGCGCTGCAAAGATAGCCCGTTCTCATTGAAAAAGCAGAAAGCCAGAGGGCCCAGGTGATGTTAGCTTTCCTGCTGGGATGTGTGTTGTTCAGAGCTGGCGTTCATAAGAGGTGCATTGTAAGAGGCCTGCAAAGTTTACATGGGGCCTTGGAATGCTGGGAGAGACCCGAGTTCAAATCCCCACTTGCCCTGGAGCTCTGTGGGTGAGACCTTGGGCCAATCAGTCACTCTCAGCCTAACCTACCTCTCAGGATTGTCGTGGGGATTAATTGGGGAGGGGGAGAACCGTGTCTTCCTTTTCTTCTCCCTTCCCTCTTCTCCCGCAGTTACTCTTTCCTCTCCCTTTGGCTAACAGATCTCTATTAGATAGATAGATAGATAGATAGATAGATAGATAGATAGATAGATAGATAATTTATTACTGTCGGAGACCAGCTTATAAAACACAATTGGGGGTACAGTCACAGAAGGAAAACAAACAATTAAAACAATGTACAACAATAAATTTAAAAACAATGTACAGCAATAAACTACCGCAGGGAGCTGACCCAGAGTCACTCATAGAACAGAGTTTGGGGATTTTCTTAACGAACTAGTTTGAGTTGGGAGATGGTCTGCGCCTACAGATCTGTACACAGAATCTGGCGACCATCCGGGTCGTCTTCTGATCTTTGCCTAATAGGAAAAGGTCGAATTTTTGTTTTTCCGGGAGGTCAGCGAGCCTCACCAGCAGGGGATCAATGGTCTCACTACGTGCCTCTTCATAAGAGGGACGTCTCTATAATCATACACTCTCTCCCCACAATCCAGGTGGAAATGTTTGGGGTCACTGCCAACGAGACTGGGTTCGAAAGCGAGGCCTTGCTGGACGAATTCCTGGCCGTGCAGAAAGAGATCTTCTCTGAGCTGGGACTGCACTACAAGTAGGGAGTCGCGCAAGAGCTGGGGGGGGCAGCTGAGGGACCCCCGCCCGCCGTTGGCTGCTGGGAACGTGGGTGTGTGATCACTGAGAGGGAAGAAGGGCTGCTAGCCCAGCCAGCAGAGACATGTCTGGTTGCATCCTGAACCCACCTTAGAGGGTATACTTAGGCATGTTTAAAATACAGTACTAACAGAGCAAAGCAACGTCCAGGGAACATCAGAATGCTGCAGCGCAATTGCTGACAGGAGTGAGAACTCGCCAGCCTATCACGCCCGTGCTCAGAGACTTGCACTGGCTGCTGATTTGCTGCCAGGCCCAATTCAAGGTGTTACTATTAGCGCATAAAGCTTTTAACAGCTCAGTACAGTTTACAGTGGTACCTCGGGTTACAGACGCTTCAGTTTACAGACCCCGCTAACCCAGAAATAGTACCTCGGGTTAAGAACTTTGCTTCAGGATGAGAACAGAAATTGTGCTCCGGCGGCACGGCAGCAGCAGGAGGCCCCATTAGCTAAAGTGGTGCTTCAGGTTAAGAACAGTTTCAGGTTAAGAATGGACCTCCAGAACGAATTAAGTTCTTAACCCGAGGTACCACTGTACCTACAAGATGCTCAGAAAGTTGAGGTCATTTTAATCTGTTTCTGTACAGTGGTACCTCGGGTTAAGTACTTAATTCGTTCCGGAGGTCCGTGCTTAACCTGAAACTGTTCTTAACCTGAAGCACCACTTTAGCTAATGGGGCCTCCTGCTGCTGCCGCGCCGCCAGAGCACGATTTCTGTTCTCATCCTGAAGCAAAGTTCTTAACCTGAAGCAATATTTCTGGGTTAGCGGAGTCTGTAACCTGAAGCGTATGTAACCTGAAGCGTATGTAACCCGAGGTACCACTGTATTTTAACTTTTCTGTGCTTTAAACTATTGCAACTTTTTCTTGAGTTTGCTGTTTTATCTTTTGTAAATGGCTTTGAGGGTTTGCTTGCTTGTTTTCAGTCCAGCGGTGTATGAGTTCTACAAAATAAGGCCCAAAAAGGTAATCTCACTTATTTACTTAGCAATCCTCAGGCAGCAAGACCTGGATAGAGAAGGCCAATCAGGTTCCTGAGCCTATGCCTTCCGGCCAAGGTGGCAGCAGGGCATGCCCAACTTTCATGGCCGCCGTTACGCATCTGATCCCGGTTTCTCTTTACCGATAGGGTCCTGGATATGCCCACACAGGAACTGGGCCTACCTGCATACAGGAAATTCGACATTGAGGCCTGGATGCCCGGCCGGGACAAGTATGGAGAGGTGAGTGGGGGAAGAGTCCGCTCGCTCCTGAATCTCTAGCCCAAGGGCCAACCCAACCCCAAGGTGGAAGAAGCCCTGGGGAGAGTCCGATAGATTCTTCTCAATCTCCTTCTGCAGAGAAGTGGCGCAGAAGGATAAGAAGAACACGGGAATGTAGGAAATCGGACTGTGGATCCTTCTAGCTTAGTATTGTCGTCACAGTCTAGAGACTTCCCCTCCCTCCCTCTCCTGCAAAACTCTCCCCCTTTAATTCTGAGAGTGGTGGGTCCACCAAGAGGGTCCTATCCCCCCTTTGACCATACCAAAATCCGACTCTCTCTTTTTTTAGTTTTTTACTTATACTTTTCAAATTTTATACATTTCATTAATTTTACAATCCATTTCACATTTCAAAACTTCCCACTCTTTTCTGCGGTTCCTTAAATTTACTTTTTCATATCTTTTCTGCATATCCAAATTCATTTCACTTACAAATTTAATTATCTACTGTAAACATATACGCTTATAAAGCTGCAGGTTATCGCAATAACCCTGCTAATGTTTTTTATCTGTTTACAATTTATCTGTAAATATTCAATGAACCATTTCCATTCTTTTATAAAAAGTTTGTTATCTTGATTTCTTATTCTTCTGGTAAGTGTTGCCATTTCTGCATATTCCATGTTTTTGTATCCATTCTTCCTTTGCTGGGACTTCTGCTTCTTTCCATTTTTGGGCGAGTAACGTTCTTGCCACTGTAGTAGCATACATAAATAAATTTCTATACAATTTAGGTAGTTCTGGCCCTATAATTACCAAAAGAGAAGCTTCTGGGTTGTTGTTTGTTATAAAAGTTGTTTTGAACATCCTTTTCAATTCATTGTACCGTATTTTTCGCTCCATAGGACGCACTTTTTTCCCTTCAAAAATGAAGGGAAAATGTGTGTGCGTCCTATGGAGCGAAGACGCCATAGCCCCGCGACCCTCTCCCGGCTGGAGAGGTGACGCGCGGCTATTGAGGCTCTTGCCATAGCCGCCTGTCACCTCTCCAGCCGGGAGAGCGCGTGCGGGGCTAAAGCAGCCATAGCCCCGCGACCCTCTCCCGGCTGGAGAGGTGACGCACGGCTATGGCAGGAGCCTCTCCGCTGCTCCCTGAACTGCTCTTTGGGGCTGGTGGTGGGCTTCCCCCCGCCAGCCCCAAAGAGCAGGTCGAGGAACCTGAAGCCTGGAGAGCGAGAGGGTCAGTGCACACCGACCCCTCTCGCTCTCCAGGCTTCCAAGCTAGCCGCCTGAACGCACCTTAAACGGCACCTTGTTTTAGAGCGGGAAAACAAGAGGGGGAAAGTTCTCCCCCTCTCTGCACAGCGCCTCCTGCCACTTTGCTGAAGGGGCGCTGGGCAGAGAGGGGGAGAATTTTTTTTTCTTGTTCTCCCCCCTCTAAAACAAAGTGCGTCCTATTGTCCGGTGCGTCCTATGGTGCGAAAAATACGGCATATCATTTGATGATGACAAAATCTGACTCTCATATCTACAATCATTTCTGAGATCTGCCCCAAGGACTTCCAACGCAACTTCTGCCTTGGCCATTTATGTAACAACAAACCCCTGAGCAGTGGTTACATATCCTTATGACCACTGCTCCTTGTGCATTTTACTAATCTAGGGGTTGTGCTGAAGAAGATTCCAGCAAAACAGTCAGATTATCCGGGATCACTGTCCTACGTTGTTATTCACTTACTACTTCGGCACCATGAACGCCTAAAAAGTTTTACCGCTTAGCCTGCAGGATAGCATCTATTACTTTGTTTCAACCATAGACTTATTATACTTCTACGGACTTTCAAAGATTGACAGACGTGTGTTCATTTGATTTCAAATATATAATAATAATAATGATAATGATAATAATTTATTATTTATACCCCGCCCATCTGGCTGGGCTTCCCCAGCCACTCTGGGCGGCTTCCAAAAAAATATTAAAATACTGTAATACATCAAACATTAAAAGCTTCCCCAAACAGGGCTGCCTTCAGATGTCTTCTAAAAGTCTGGTAGTTGTTGTTCTCTTTGACATCTGGTGGGAGGGCGTTCCACAGGGCAGGTGCCACTACCGAGAAGGCCCTCTGCCTGGTTCCCTGTAACTTGGCTTCTCGCAGTGAGGGAACTGCCAGAAGGCCCTCGGTGCTGGACCTCAGTGGCTGGGTAGAACGATGGGGGTGGAGACGCTCCTTCAGGTATACTGGGCCTTTGAGGCCGTTTAGGGCTTTAAAGGTCAGCACCAACACTTTGAATTGTGCTCGGAAACGTACTGGGAGCCAATGTAGGTCTTTCAAGACCAGTGTTATATGGTCTCTGCGGCCACTCCCAGTCACCAGTCTGGCTGCCGCGTTCTGGATTAGTTGTAGTTTCTGGGTCACCTTCAAAGGTAGCCTCACATAGAGCGCATTGCAGTAGTCCAAGCGGGAGATAACTAGAGAATGCACCACTCTGGCGAGACAGTCCGCGGGCAGATAGGGTCTCAGCTGCATACCAGATGGAGCTGGTATATTAGAGAATTTACAAGTGTACACATTTTGTTTTTGTTGTACTAAATTATGTGTATTATGCAATAAGAATTGCATGCTATCTAGTATACTGGTCATCGTGTTGCTTGTGTTGTTTGTTTTGTTTTGTTGCTTGTTGGCCAGTTATGTGACTGCCCTTCGTTTCCCCTGCTAGATCTCCAGTGCCTCTAACTGCACAGACTACCAGAGCCGCCGGCTGAATATCATGTACTACAACCAGGAAGGCCGCCTGTCTTATGCGCACACGGTAAGCTGGGCCCTGGGCCTGTGGCCTGAGATACAGGGATGGGTGGGGAGAAGGAGAGGCCAGGTGTCGATAACCTGTGCTCTTTTTGCTCCTTAACCCGATGCCACACTGGGGGCCTCCAGCGTCTCAGCACAACTGTCTGTTCTTTGCAGGTCAACGGCACAGCCTGCGCTGTTCCCCGGATGCTCATTGCCCTCCTGGAATCCAACCAGCGCAAGGTTCGTTGCCAGCATAATCATCATTGTCATCATCATCTGTTATTTATACCCCGCCCATCTGGCTGGGTTCCCCAGCCACTCTGGGCGGCTCCCAACAGAATATTAAAAACACGATAAAACATCAAACATTAAAAACTTCCCTAAACAGGGCTGCCTTCAGATGTCTTCTAAAAGCCAGAGAGTTGTTTATCTCCTTGACATCTGATGGGAGGGCGTTCCACAGGGCGGGCGCCAGCACCCAGAAGGCCCTCTGCCTGGTTCCCTGCACACTCACTTCTTGCAGGGAGGGAACGGCCAGAAGACCCTCAGAGCTGGCCCTCAGTGTCCGGGCTGGACGATGTGGGTGGAGACGCTCCTTCAGGTATACTGGGCCTTTGAGGCCGTTTAGGGCTTTAAAGGTCAGCACCAACACTTTGAATTGTGCTCTGAAACGTACTGGGAGCCATTACAGATCTCTCAGGACCGGTGTTATATGGTCTCAGCGCCCACTCCCAGTCCCCAGTCTAGCTGCCGCATTTTTTATTAATTGTAGTTTCCAGGTCACCTTCAAAGGCAGCCCCACATAGAGCGTGTTGCAGTAGTCCAAGTGGGAGATAACTAGAGCATGCTCCACTTTAGGCTGGGCTCTGTGCACGGCAGCGGGGCCCCACCTCCAGCCCAGAGGCAGTGTCCATCTGCTTTGTGGGGAGGAGGCGGACCCCTCAAATATTTTATTGCAGGGGCCAGAGGAACCTCAGCCCCTAAGAGTTGGCTTCTGTGGATTGATCCAAGAGGTCTATAGTTCCCATCCACTCCAGGGCTGATGGGGATTTTAGGGGCTGGGAGCTGGCATACCCTGTTAGAAACAGGTTTGGTGTGGGTTTCATTTGACGCTGTGTTGTTACAGTCATACCTTGGGTTACAGACACTTCAGGTTGCGTTTTTTTGGGTTACAGACCAGAACGGGTTACTTCTGGGTTTCGGCGGTCACGCATGTGCAGAAGTGCTAAACCGCGCTTTGCACATGCGCAGAAGCGCCGAATCGCAACCCGCGCTTGCGCAGACACGCCGCTGCAGGTTGAGAACGTGCATCCCGCACAGATCACGTTCGCAACCCGAACATCCACTGTATTCTTGTTATTTATTGAATTTATAGACCGCCCTATACCCGGAGGTCTCAGGGCGGTTCACAGAATAACCAGGGCGGTTCGCAGAATGTTGCGCAGAGGGCAGAAGTTGGCCGACACAGGATCCTCAAACCCTCTCCTCTGCCTTTGTCCCTCCTCTGTAGGATGGCAGCGTTCGGGTACCAGACGTCCTCCAGCCGCTGATGGGCACAGAGATCATCGGCAAGCCTAGCTACACTCCGTTGAAATACATCGGCCCAAACCAGCCCAAAAGACAATGAACACCCCCCCACCCCAAATCCTGGGGTGCCTTGGAAAATCTGAGATGATCAAGAAGTCCAGAGACCCAGGAGAGGAAGGAAGGATGAGCGCTTGTATAGTGACGCAGCCTTGTGGGTGGGGTGGGTGACTTTGGGTTGGGGGGGCCTGAAATGCCAGCGAGGTGACCTTTACCCCCAATTGGGCACTGTGGAGAGAGAGAGAGCTCACCTCTTCAGGGTAGAGGGGAATATGAGCTGTCCTTCCCAAGGTGATCTTCATGGACCCAGAGCGCTTCCAGAAAAGGCTGGCTGTGAAGTCCCAACATGTAACTTGGGATGGGAATCCCTTGTGACCTTCCCTGGAGATCTTGCCATTTCCCCATCAGCCAGACTCCAGTTCGCAGCTTCCTCTCTTGTCTTAACCTCTATTGTATTTCGTTGGTGGGGAAGCAGGGTACATTGATCAGAACCGTCGACGGAGCAGAGAAGACATTCGCCCAATAAAAATCACTAACCAAAACGTCTGTTTGCTTCTAGCAGTGATGGTTTTTGCATGCTGCGTCCCCTGGGATGTGGGTGGCACTGTGGGTTAAAACCACAGAGCCTAGGACTTGCCGATCAGAAGGTCGGCGGTTCGAATCCCCGCGATGGGGTGAGCTCCTGTTGCTCGGTCCCTGCTCCTGCCAACCTAGCAGTTCGGAAGCACATCAAAAGTGCAAGTAGATAAATAGGTACGGCTCCAGTGGGAAGGTAAACGGCATTTCCGTGCGCTGCTCTGGTTCGCCAGAAGCGACTTAGTCATGCTGGCCACATGATCTGAAAGCTGTACGCCAGCTCCCTCGGCCAATAAAGCAAGATGAGCGCCGCAACCCCAGAGTTGTTTGCAACTGGACCTAATGGTCAGGGGTCCCTTTACCTTTAGTTTAGACAAAAAGCAAGAGGTGATACAATAGGCGATTATGAAACGATGCATGGCATGTAGGAAAATGGATAGAAATAAGTTTTTCTCCCTCTTATAACTCTTAGAACATGTGGACGCCTTGTGAAGATTCAGGGCAGATAGAATTGTAGAACTGTAGTGTGGGGAGGGACCCTCAAGGGTCATCCAGTCCAACCCCCTGCAATGCAGGAAACTCCGCTAAAGCATTCCTGACAGATGGTCACCCAACCTCTGCTTAAAAACCTCCAAGGAAGGAGAGTTAATCACCTCCGAAGCGAGACCAGTCCACTGTCGAACAGCTCTTACTGTCAGAAAGGTTCTTCTCTTGATGTTTAGTTGGAATGTCATTTATTGTAACCAGATGGGTGGGGTATAAATAAATTATTATTATTATTATTATTATTATTGAGTATTTCACACAACACACAGTTCAGCTATGGAACTCGTTCCCATGGGAGATGGTGACGGCCCCCAATTAATTTGGTGGTTTTTTTTAAAAAAAAATATTTTTATTAGGAATTTCAACATAACATTTTATCAAAAAAATATCATCCTTAATTCCCCCCTTATTTCCCCCCTCCCCAAACTATAACCCCCCTCCCTTCCCTCCCCAGACCTCCCTCAGCTCCTTTCTCTGGTTTATCAACATATGTTATTCTCTGCAAGTTACCAAATTGTATAGGTCCTTAATTGATCCAAATATTGTCTATAAAAAGTTTGTGAATGTTTATTCAACACCTGCCAAGGAATCCAATTCACTTTGTTGTTTCTTTCAATACTTTGTAAAGGGTTCCCATTCATCTTTAAAGTCACAGTTATCCTTGTCACGTAATTTAGGTGTCAGTTTTGCCAATTCTGCATAGTCCATTAGTTTCTCTTGCCACAGTTCTTTGCGACGGCCCCCAATTTGGATGGCTCTAAAATGGTATTGTGGAGCTTTAGCTACAAAGTGTGGCTTTGCGTCTTGGCCTAGCGCAGTCTCCCAGGTAGACTCTGGATTCAATGCCTGAAACCATTGCCCGACTTGGAGAGTTTAAATAAATAAATACTGTCGCTAGGGTGGCGGTGAGAGCGGTTTGATATGGAGTGGGGACCCGAAAGGGAGTCAAGTGTGTTTGAGAGAGCATCCTTTTGTGATTTGACCCAGCTCCACCCTCCTCCCCAAAAGCTCTTTATAGGACTCGGACGCACCTGCCTCACAGCTGCTGTCTCTGCAAAGTGGCCGCAAACCACAATGGCTCCCTCGGGTGTGGCTTTGAGAAATTGTCTTCGCACAAAAGCTGAGCCCACAGGGGAAAAGGAAGGGCGTCGGAGGCAGCAGCTGGAGTTAGGCCTAACCCGTCTTGCTGCGCAAACTCTCTTCCCATGCCAGATCCTACAGAACAAGAAGTGAGGCGACACATTGAAGGGTGGACCAGCTGCTGCAAAGAGTTGCGGGCTTCGGACGTCACGCGTGGTTAAATTTTTCTCTCCTTTTCTTTTATTGGTTTGTTAACAGACGTAGCAAAGAGGAAGAAAACAAAGAATAAAACAAATCAAAACCGTAAAGCGTCACGGCCTGGAAGGACTAAAGTACCAAGATACGTACGACGTATTAACTCATATTTGTGAAATGTTCCCTTACAAATAATAAAAATTGGTTCAATTAAAAGCATTCTCCACCTAAGTTCCATCGTTCTTGAGAGGAAAGGTCCTTCAATGAGCCAGACATTTGCATATACCAGTGACATGGAATGAGCATGTGTCTCAATATTTGTATAAGAAATAAAATCATGCCATATATATATATATTTATATTTTAAACGGTCGTTCAAGCTCTGCCCTTTATATACTTCCTGTTAACTTTTCTATATAGAGCAGTTTCCAAAGCTAGTTGTATTCCAGGTTGACCCACTGAAATTAACCTGATTAATTGCAGTGAGTCTACATAAGAATTTGGTTGGGCGCAACCTGCAATTTCTATAGCGCTGTCATCATGAATCTGTGGCATAAAAACGCACTATCACTGAGGTATCTCAGCTGTACTGAAACGAAGAGCTCATAGCAACCGGAAAGCACAGGCCCCTGCCCTGCAGAACTTACAACTGAAAGATGGATGGTGAGGAGTCTTGGTTGACCACAAACTTGACATGAGCCAACAGTGTGACGCGGCAGCTAAAAAAGCCAATGCAATTCTGGGCTGCATCAATAGGAGTATAGCATCTAGATCAAGGGAAGTAATAGTGCCACTGTATTCTGCTCTGGTCAGACCTCACCTGGAGTACTGCGTCCAGTTCTGGGCACCACAGTTCAAGAAGGACACTGACAAACTGGAACGTGTCCAGAGGAGGGCAACCAAAATGCTCAAAGGCCTGGAAACGATGCCTTATGAGGAACGGCTAAGGGAGCTGGGCATGTTTAGCCTGGAGAAGAGGAGGTTAAGGGGTGATATGATAGCCATGTTCAAATATATAAAAGGATGTCATATAGAGGAGGGAGAAAGGTTGTTTTCTCCTGCTCCAGAGAAGCGGACACGGAGCAATGGATCCAAACTACAAGAAAGAAGATTCCACCTAAACATTAGGAAGAACTTCCTGACAGCAAGAGCTGTTTGACAGTGGAATTTGCTGCCAAGGAGTGTGGTGGAGTCTCCTTCTTTGGAGGTCTTTAAGCAGAGGCTTGACAACCATATGTCAGGAGTGCTCTGATGGTGTTTCCTGCTTGGCAGGGGGTTGGACTCGATGGCCCTTGTGGTCTCTTCCAACTCTATGATTCTAGGATATAGCAAGAGGAGAAAGCCAGGGTTGCGCAGTGGTTAGAGTGCTGGACTCTGACCTGGGAGAACAGGGTTTGAATCCCCACTCAAGCCAAGAAGCTCACTGGGTAATAGATTCGCTTGGCAGTTAAGCTCCTTTTGAGCTAAGTGTCAGGTCAATTCTGTGTCCAGGGCAGCTGTCTACCAGCTCCATCTGGTACGCAGGCTGAGACCCTACCTGCCAGCAGACTGTCTCACCAGAGTGGTGCATGCTCTGGTTATCTCCTGCTTGGACTACTGCAATGTGCTCTACGTGGGGCTACCTTTGAAGGTGATCCAGAAACTACAACTAATCCAGAATGTGGCAGCAAGACTGGTGGCTGGGAGCGGCCGCCGAGACCACATAACACCGGTCTTGAAAGACCTACACTGGCTCCCAGTACGTTTCCGAGCCCAATTCAAAGTGTTGGTGCTGACCTTTAAAGCCCTCAACGGCCTCAAAGGCCCAGTATACCTGAAGGAGCGTCTCCACCTCCATCATTCAGCCCGGACACTGAGAACCAGCTCTGAGGGCCTTCTGGCGGTTCCCTCACTGCAAGAAGCCAAGTTACAGGGAACCAGGCAGAGGGCCTTCTCGGTAGTGGCGCCTGCCCTGTGGAACGCCCTCCCACCAGATGTCAAGGGAACAACAACTACCAGACTTTTAGAAGACATCTGAAGGCAGCCCTGTTCAGGGAAGTTTTTAATGTTTGATGCATTACTGTATTTTAATATTTTGTTGAAAACGGCCCAGAGGGGCTGGGGAAGCCCAGCCAGATGGGTGGGGTATAAGTAATAAATTATTATTATTATTATTATTATTATTATTATTATTATTATTACCCTGTTTCCAGATAAGTGGTTGTTGACTTGCAGCCATAGACTGCATTCTCTGTCCACTTACTTGCAGGATAGGCCCCGTTATACTTAGTGCAATGCCTTTCAAAGTAAATACGCATAGGATCTGACTTCCAGCCAGGTCATCCTTTCACTTTTTTAAAATAAAACAAATTGCAAGTTTGTCCCAATAACATAAGACTATAAGAAGTGATCTGCCGGATGAGGCCAAGGTTCCATCTAGTTCAGCATCCTGTCCTCCCAGTGGCCAACCATGCCTGTGGGAAACCTGTAAGCAGGATAGGACCACGAGAGCCCCTCTTCCCTGTTAGAATTCCTGCTCCATGACTGCAGTCATGGGATTGTTGTCTTTCACATGACAGTGTATGTTTTGACTCCACAGAGTGGGAAGTGACGGAGACAGGATGTCTGTGTTACTGTGTTCTGTGAAGTGGGACTATTGTCCTTTGTTTTTTTCTCTTTGCTGTCTGATGCTAGAGAGAGGGGGAGCCATGTTGCAGTGCTCCATGTGTGTTTATATGTAAATAAAGTAGATTAGCCAAAATGCTGAGCTGCTGAGGTCTGTTACACAACTGCGCAAACTCTGCGGATCCCTAAGTGTGCCGGTGTCTGTTGGCATCGGTTGCTGTGATGTTCGGGCTGAAGAAAGCTTTTGAAGCTCCCGAAGAATCGACCAGGAGGGAGAGAACATGCCAGTTGGGCATGTGTCTCTGCCAGGGTCCTACTCGAGTGTAGGCTGAGCTCCCTCGTGGTTTCCAGCAACTGGTATTCAGAAGCATTGTCTAATCCTCTCTTTTAAGCCCTCCAGGTGGGTGGCCCTTATTGCCTTCTGTGGGAGTGAGTTCTACAGTTTAACTATCTCTGTGAAGAGCTCCTTCCTTTTACCTGTCTTGAAAGGGAGAAAATAAAGCGTTAAAATCGAGATGTGGAAAATATGGAAACAACGAGGAGAGACAGGACTGAGATTTGGATATGCTTCAAGCTCCAGACTGTGGGAAGCCCCCCAAAATTAATAATTATAATTTGGATGATAATTTAGGTTTTTTTTATTTTAGTTTTTATTTTAATTGGATTATGATCTGATATGTTAATTAGATGTTTTTTACAGTCATAAAAGGTAAAGGTAAAGGGACCCCTGACAATTAGGTCCAGTCGTGGCCGACTCTGGGGTTGCGGCACTCATCTCACTTTACTGGCCGAGGGAGCCGGCATACAGCTTCTGGGTCATGTGGCCAGCATGACTAAGCCGCTTCTGGTGAACCAGAGCAGCGCATGGAAACGCCATTTACCTTCCCGCCGGAGTGGTACCTATTTATCTACTTGCACTTTGACGTGCTTTCAAACTGCTAGGTTGGCAGGAGCAGGGACTGAGCAACAGGAGCTCACCCCGTCGTGGGGTTTCGAACCGCCAACCTTCTGATCGGCAAGTCCTAGGCTCTGTGGTTTAACCCACAGCACCACCCGCGCCCCTCGTGTTAAATGTGCTTCAGGTTGAGCATTTTCAGGTTACGCGCCATGGTGACACGGAAGTAACGGAGCACGTTTCTTCCTGGTTTCGCCGCTCGCGCCTGCGCAGACACGCAAAATGATGTCACACGCATGCGCAGAAGTAGCGAATCGTGACCTGTGCATGCGCAGATGCGGGTTGTGTTCGCTTCAGGATGCAAACAGGGCTCTGTAACGGATCCCGTTCGCATCCAGAGGTACCACTATATTGGAAAATTAATAAAAATGAATTAACAAAAAAAAAAAGAAGGGAGAAAAATAAACTATTTACACCTGCAACCCCTTTTCTCCGTGCCACGGATGAATCGGTCTCCCCCAACTGGGGGAGCACTTCTCCGACGGGGGGGGGGGGTTGGACTACAACTCCCACCAGCCCCTAACTGGCTGAGGGCTGATGGGAACTGTAGTACAGAAAGTCCTGGAAGAGGGCACCGGGTTTGGGGGAGAAGGCTAATGCACATCGTCAGTGCGTTGAGAAGAAGGGTGATAGGTGAAATATCCTAGAAAACTGCAACCCTCCCTTTAATATTTCCTATTCGGTTTTTTTTTTTAGCTGTATTGTTAGTTGGGGGCGGGCGGGTTTCCACTCAAATGCCCCTCTTTGACTCTCCAGCTGGAGACAGAGCAGGCAGGATAAAACCCGCAGCAGTTTAGGAGCACAAAGAGAAATCTTGCACAAATAACCACCAGGACATTTTTTTGCGTGTGTGGAACAACAGCGAGGTAAGGAAACAATTCCTGCCCTCTTTCTGTAGGGAACAGGCGTGACATCACTTCCTCCCGTCCTGCCCCCTATTTAAAATCCCCCTCCTGGTTGCCTTAGAGGCACCTCGGCTGGTTTTCTGCTCTTGTGCACAAAGAAAGTCCTTCAGCAAGGACATCCACCCCCTTCTTTTTCTCCTTCCTCCTCCTCCTCTCTCCCCCTGTTCTCCTTCCCATCTGCGGCTGCTTCAAACTCTTCCCTGTATCTCTGATCTCCTCTCCTCTGAAAAAAGGACCAGCAAGAGAGAGAAAGATCTATCTCTCCAGGACCTCAGCGATGCTTTCCAGCAGAATCTCGCTCCTGTTCCTCTTCTTCTGCCAAGGTAAGTCTGGCAAGGGCTCGAAAGTACCTTGGGACGGAGGGTTGCATCCGATGCCAGCCTTGCACGGAACAGGACCATTGAAACCCACATGGTGTTCATTGATTTCAGGACGAGCATTGAGTATACACCCCATAAACCTCTGTATAGCTTAGCCGGGAAAGTGATTCTCTGCTTTCTCTCACTCCCAACACTCGCATCTCTTAAAGGAACTAAATTCTCTCCCCATCGGTTTTGATCGGCCAAAGTTTCCCCCATTAATATTATTATTATTTGGATGGGGTTATTTATGCTCAGCTGAGCTCATCCTCACTGCACCATCTCGCCTCCTCTGGACTTTAAATCTCTCTCTCTTGCATGCTGTGTGTCCAGAGAAACCTCACAAAATTTAGCAAACCGGACAATATGTCTGTCCTTATTGCTCACAAGCCGCTTGGCATTCAAAATTCCTCCGAGATCTTTGCAGCCTAGTTTTTGTTCTTGGTCGACGCGACTTGGACTTCTGCAACCTCCGTGCCGAAAAGGGTTAAGAGACAATGTAAGCATAGGCTACAAAATTCCTTACCGCAGACAGGAGGGTGGAAAAGTTAGCTGGACTTTTTTCAGACATGATTTGGACCCTCTCCATATTATTTGCAACCATTCTCTCCATGAGATCCCGGTGATCTTGTCAGATTTCCCCTTTCTGGATTCCTCCTCTCCTATTTTCCAGTTCAGCCTTTCCAAATATGTGCCTTTGCGGTGCCATCTGGAATATGACAGATACAAGCTGGTGTCCATATTTCGTTTCCCACTCGTTTTTGTTTAAAAAAAATATGAGATGTTTTCCTCCCTATTTGAGAGCAGAATCATCTCTCGAAATGCAAGGTAAACGAATGCTCTTAGGAACTTGGACGGCAATTCTGCCCTCTAATGATTTCAGAACCCTGGACAGCGATTCCTCGGCTACTTTCCTAGTTATTTGTGGCCAGGACCCAAGGCACAAGCGGAGCTCTAAATGCATTGTGATTAAATAGTGCATTTTAAAAGAATCTCACCCACCACCACACACACTTTGAACAGCAGGTCCCTGTGCCCTAATCATGAGCTTAGTTTGAAATTTGTTTTTGTTGTTTAGTCGTTTAGTCGTGTCCGACTCTTTGTGACCCCCTGGACCAGAGCACGCCAGGCACTCCTGTCTTCCACTGCCTCCCGCAGTTTGGTCAAACTCATGCTGGTAGTTTCAAGAACACTGTTCCACCATCTCGTCCTCTGTCGTCCCCTTCTCCTTGTGCCGTCCATCTTTCCCAACATCAGGGTCTTTTCCAGGGAGTCTTCTATTCTCATGAGGTGGCCAAAGTCTTGGAGCCTCAGCTTCAGGATCTGTCCTTCCAGTGAGCACTCAGGGCTGATTTCCTTAAGAATGGAGAGGTTTGATCTTCTTGCAGTCCATGGGACTCTCAAGAGTCTCCTCCAGCACCATAATTCAAAAGCATCCATTCTTTGGCGATCAGCCTTCTTTATGGTCCAGCTCTCACTTCCATACATCAGTACTGGGAAAACCATAGCTTTTACTATACGGACCTTTGTTGGCAAGGTGATGTGAAATACACAGAACTAAAACAGCTTCCTGTGTGGCACGGTGATTGCTGTTTGCACTGTGCTCTGGATAACGGCCAAAAGGTTTGATCAAGGGGGTAGGCAGCGTGGTGTAGTGGGTAGAGCTATCCCGTGGATATCCAGATTCACTCCCAGCTCTGCCACAAAGCTTCTCGGGGGGAGGGGGGGGCGGCAGCGAGGGTGTGTGTGTTGTGCAAAAGTCAAGATTTCCAGGAAAGAAAACATTATAGAGTATACAAATGATCACCCACAGTTGGATACTCTGTCTGTGTGTGTGTGTGTGTGTGTGTGTGTGTGTGTGTGTTAGGCAATAAGCAAAGGCAAAATAAATTGTGACATTACCATATCACAACAACACTTACCCGGACTGTGTTATCATACGGGGGGCAGGCACTAACTAAGCAGAGATGACCACATTGGGTTTCTATTTTGCACCTGCTTCGATAAAGGTTTGTTATATAAATAATACTGGGCAACCATAATTCCTAAACCGTTTCCCCTCCGCAAAAAAACCCCACACACATTTCCGTTCCGATACTGCCATTGGGGGCCAGCTGTGGCCAGGAAAGTGCCCGCCTGCTATTTCTCCCCTGATATATATATATATATCACTCTTAATTTGATTACTTTTCCCTGGGCTGTCAGCTGCTGCTGCTGCTGAGTGGTGTAGAGTTTCTGAATAGGGTTGCTTGGGAGAGAATTTGATGGATAGAGTTTTGCCCGTGATCAGGCTCTGGCTGATGAGCACATGCAGAGCTGGCAAGGTGTTTTTTTATTCCCATCTGATTCACAAGGGTCTCGGTCTCTTTCTCTTTCTCTCTCTCTCTCTCTCTCTCTCTCTCTCTCTCTCTCTGTGTGTGTCTGCTAGCCTGCCCACCAGCCATTTGACTTGGTTTCGGCTTTTTGGAGCTTTCTGCTATGCAGAACATCTTTCTGCAGAGTACCTGCTCCCTGCGCAGGACAAGCTGCAGCCCGGATTTGTGCAACTTGGGTCTGTTACACAGAAACCGAAGAAGAGCTGCTTTTTAATGAGTCAGGCCAGTGCTGCCTGCACAGACTGGCAGTGGCAGGGTTTCAGGCAGGAGACTTCTCCTACCCGGAGGGGCCACCGGGATTTGAGCTTATGCAGGCAAAGCATATGCTCTGTCGCTGAGCTACTGCCCATCCAATAATAATAATAATAATAATAATAATAATAATAATAATGTTTTATATCCCGCCCTCCCCAGCCGAAGCCAGGCTCAGAGCAGCTAACAACAATAAAATAATACAACATTCTAAAATCATTTCATTATAAAATTAATTCAAATCAAATTGATGGCAACCATTGGGCTGGAGTTCTGTGAAGATTGCCAAAGGAGGGAGTCAGACTGCGCCCTGGCCAAAGGCCTGGTGGAACAGCTCTGTCTTGCAGGCCCTGCGGAAAGATGTCAAGTCCCGCAGGGCCCTAGTCTCTTGTGACAGAGCGTTCCACCAGATCAGGGCCACGGCTGAAAAAGCCCTGGCTCTGGTAGAGGCCAGCCTAACCTCCCTGTGGCCTGGGACCTTCAGGATGTTTTTGTTTGAAGACTGTAAGGTCCTCTGTGGGACATACCAGGAGAGGCGGTCCTGTAGGTACGAGGGTCCTAGGCCGTATAGGGCTTTAAAGGTTAAAACCAGCACCTTAAACCTGATCCTGTACTCCACCGGGAGCCAGTGCAGCTGGTATAGCACTGGGTGAATGTGATCCCGTGGCAAGAACCCTGTAAGTAGTGAGGACCCCGTAAGGAGTCTTGCCGCAGCATTCTGCACCTGCTGGAGTTTCTGGGTCAGTCTCAAGGGCAGCGCCACGTAGAGCGAGTTACAGTAAGACACAGGAATGTGGGAAGCTGCCTTACACCAAGCCACTCCATTGGCCCATTTTGCTCAGCATTGATGCACTGGCCACGATCAGCTTTCCAGCATTTCAGACAAGGGCCTCTCCTGGCCCTACTTGGGAGTTGCTGGGGTTGAATCGGGGAACTTCTGCATACAGAATCGTATTTTAATATTCTGTTGGAAGCTGCCCAGAGTGGCTGGGGAAACCCAGCCAGATGGGTGGGGTGTAAATAAATCATCCCCATCCCCGTCATCATCATCACATTCACCCAGTGCTATACCAGCTGCACTGGCTCCCAGTGGAGTACAGGATCAGGTTCAAGGTGCTGGTTTTAACCTTTAAAGCCCTCTACGGCCTAGGACCCTCGTACCTACGGGACCGCCTCTCCTGGTATGTCCCACAGAGGAACTTACGGTCTTCAAACAAAAACATCCTGAAGGTCCCAGGCCACAGGGAGGTTAGGCTGGCCTCAACCAGAGCCAGGGCTTTGTCGGCTGTGGCCCCGATCTGGTGGAACACTCTGTCACAAGAGACTAGGGCCCTGCGGGACTTGACATCTTTCCGCAGGGCCTGCAAGACAGAGCTGTTCCACCAGGCCTTTGGTCAGGGCGCAGCCTGACTCCCTCCTTTGGCAATCTTCACAGAACTCTAGCCCAATGGTTGCCATCAATTTGATTTGAGTTAATTTTATAATGAAATGATTTTAGAATGTTGTATTATTTTATTGTTGTTAGCTGCCCTGAGCCCGGCTTTGGCTGGGGAGGGTGGGATATAAATAAAAATTATGTATTATTGTGTTATGTGTGTGTGATTATCTTATTATCCTCATCAAAGATTCTCCACCCCGATTCAATCCACAAATTGAACAAACTCGCTTTTGTACTGTTTTATTGTTGTTAGCCGCCCTGAGCCCAGCTTCGGCTGGGGAGGGCGGGATATAAATAAAATTTATTATTATTATTATTATTATTATTATTATTATTATTATTTTCTAGACATGTCCCTTAGTACAAAGCTGGTCAGTGTTCTGAATTTGTCTCCTATCATAGAATCATAGAATTGGAAGGCCTCCTAGGGTACCCCGGGGTCTGTCTGGAACCTTATATCCCAGCTCGATCACCAAGATCATCTGCAGGAACATCGTTGGTCGTTCCCCAAGTTCATAGAATTGTAGAGTTGAAAGGGGCCCCTTGTGGTCATCTAGTCCAACCCCCTGCAATGCAGGAATCTCAGCTAAAGCATCCAGGACAGACGGCCGCCCAACCTCTGCTTGAAAACCTCCAAGGAAGAAGAGGCCGCCATCTCCCAAGGGAGAACGTTCTACTGCCAAAAAGCTCTTACTGTCAGAAAGTTCTTCCTGTTTAGTCAGAACCTCCTTCCTTGTAACTCGAAGCCATGGGTTCGAGTCCTACCCTCCGGAGCAGGAGAAAACAGGCTTGCTCCATCTTCCATGGCACAGCCCTTGAGATATTTGGCTGTCCTATTTCCTCTCAGTCTCTTCTCCCAGCTCCTTCAACCGTTCCTCATCAGGCTTGGTTTCCAGACCCTTGATCATCTCCTCATCACGCCCATCTTAGCAGCTTTAAAGTCGAGTTCTCTGGAACTGGGATTCTTGGAACCTTTAAAAGCTTCCCCTTCTGGTAGCTCCCTTAACCTGGAGCTGCTAGATGAGTCTGCAATGTTGCCTTAGACAGATAAGAAGTGCTTTTTATCTTTAAAAAAAATGTTTAGGAGTACTCTCATTTTCCTACTCATATTGAAATACAGTGGTATCTCGGGTTACAGACGCTTCAGGTTACAGACTCCGCTAACCCAGAAATAGTACCTTGGGTTAGGAACTTTACTTCAGGATGAGAACAGAAATCGTGCAGCAGTGGTGCGGCGGCAGCAGGAGGCCCCATTAGCTAAAGTGGTGCTTCAGGTTAAGAACAGTTTCAGGTTAAGAATGGACCTCCGGAACGAATTAAGTACTTAACCCGAGGTACCACTGTACTGCCCCTCAATGAGGTCAAACTTAGATTCACAAAATGTCTAGGGGTATGCGTCCATCCCCCCCCAGAAAAAAGCACTGCAGGTAAGTCATGTCGTTGGACAATCTAGCCAACTTCTGACTTCTTCGACCTCTCAGCTGCTCTCCAGAAGTTCCGCTCCCCGCCAGCTCCTGGGATTGATTAACCAGGAATCTCTGGGGTTGAACCCAAGACATTCTGCCTGCAAGGCACTGGGATCTACAACTGAGGTACACCTCGACTGGTGATGGTTATCGGAAGGCTCCCTTCTCCCTCACTCCCATCCATTGCTTCCTGGCTCAGTTCCTCCATCTAGACTGGCCTGGGAGTGAAGCTGGTTGAAACTGGAACTGTTAAGCACTGTCCATGTTGCCCGGGGAACTGTGTGTCTGATACCCGTGTCCTCCCGCAGGTGCCTCAACCACCCCACTCTACCTAGGAGGGCTTGTACCAGTCCAAGGTCTTGGGTACAAGCTCAGCCTGCTGTCCACGTGCTTGGTGCTGATGGTGCTACAGGGACGTGGGTGGCGCTGTGGTCTAAACCACTGAGCCTCTTGGGCTTGCCGGTCAGAAGGTTGGCGGTTCGAATCCCCGCGACGGGGTGAGCTCCCGTTGCTCTGTCCCAGCTCCTGCCAACCAAGCAGGTTGAATGCACACCAGTGCAAGTAGATAAATAGGTACCATTGTGGCGGGAAGATAAATGGCGTTTCTGTGTGCTCTGGTTTCCGTCACAGTGTTCGTTTGCACCAGAAGCGGTTTAGTCATGCTGGCCACATGACCAGGAAAGCTGGCTTGTGGACAAACGCCGGCTCCCTCGGCCTGAAAGCGAGATGAGCGCCACAACCCCAGAGTCGTCTTTGACTGCACTTGACCGTCCAGGGGTCCTTTACCTTGCTGATGAGCAACTTCAAGACCACTCCTCTCATAAAAAGGTAAAGGGACCCCTGACCATTAGGTCCAGTCGTGACTGACTCTGGGGTTGCGGCGCTCATCTTGCTTTATTGGCCAAGGGAGCCGGCATACAGCTTCCGGGTTATGTGGCCAGCATGACTAAGCCACTTCTGGCGAACCAGAGCAGCACATGGAAACGCCGTTTACCTTCCCACCGGAGTGGTACCTATTTATGTACTTGCACTTTGACGTGCTTTCGAACTGCTAGGTTGGCAGGAACAGGGACCGAGCAACAGGAGCTCACCCCGCTGCGGGGATTCGAACTGCCGACCTTCTGATCGGTAAGTCCTAGGCTCTGTGGTTTAACCCACAGCGCCAAACAAAGAATTGTAGAGTTGGAGGAGACCCAGCAATGCAGGGATATGCAGCTGTCCCATATGGGCATTGAACCACCGACCTTGGTGTTATCAGACCAAGCGCTAACCAACTGAGCTATCCATAGGGAGCTGCCTTATTCTAAGCGAGACTCTTGCCCATCTAGTTCATTGCTGTCTGCACTGACTGGCAGCACCTCTCCAGGATATCTATCTTTTTTCTTCAAATTTTTGTATTAGTTTTCCAAATTTATAACAAACATATCAACAAACATAAAAAGAAAACATCAAAAAAACAAACAAACATTTATCCTGACTGTAATACTCCCACTTTTGTTATCATTGTTGGGTGACTTCTTCAAATCCCCCTGGCTGAGTTTCCAAATAAGTCATTGTAGCAGTTTACCAAAACTATTTTCACATAAAATTTACTTGGTCAATTAACATCTTTCTTTCTTTTCATTTTGACTTTTATCCATAGTATTCTACAACATCACATATTTAAATCCTACGCCAATCTGTTACTCGCAAGTAATTCTATTTAAGTTATCTTAACATATTTAACTAGATAATCTTTAAATTTCTTCCATTCCTCTTGATACTCCTCCTCCTTCTGGTTGTGGACTCTTTCGGTTAGGTCAGCTAGCTCCGAGAAATCCATCATCTTCATCTGCCATTCCTCCACTGTTGTTGGTGTTGTTGTTGTTTAGTCGTTTAGTCGTGTCCGACTCTTCGTGACCCCCTGGACCAGAGCACGCCAGGCACTCCTGTCTTCCACTGCCTTCCGCAGTTGAGTCAAATTCATGCTGGTAGCTTTGAGAACACTGTCCCACCATCTCGTCCTCTGTCGCCCCCTTCTCCTTGTGCCCTCCATCTTTCCCAACATCAGGGTCTTTTCCAGGGAGTCTTCTCTTCTCATGAGGTGGCCAAAGTCTTGGAGGTCTTGGAGCCTCAGCTTCAGGATCTGCCCTTCCAGTGAGCACTCAGGGCTGACTTCCTTAAGAATGGAGAGGTCTGATCTTCTTGCAGTCCATGGGACTCTCAAGAGTCTCCTCCAGCACCATAATTCAAAAGCATCAATTCTTCGGCGATCAGCCTTCTTGATGGTCCATCTCTCACTTCCATACATCACTGCTGGGAAAACCATAGCTTTAACTATACGGACCTTTGTTGGCAAGGTGATGTCTCATGTGATTTCCAATTTTTGGCCAGCAAAATTCTAGCACCTCTCCAGGATTTCAGGGCTCCGTGAAATATGCTTCCCGGCCTCCTAATTTTGAAGGGGATCTTATTTTGGAGGCTGGGCACACATGGGTGAAAGCTCACAGCCCAGTAACAGGATCCACTTTCCTGCCTGGTTCCAGGTCAATTTGTCTTAGAGAGGCAGTGTGGTGTAGTGGTTAGAGGTTTGCACCAGGAACTGGGAGCCCAGGGTTAAAATCCCGACTCAGCCACGAAGGGTGACCTTGGTGCAGTCACTGCCTCACCTACCTCGCAGGCTTGTTGTGAGGAGAAAATTGGGGAGGAGGGAGAACCACGTACAACAGCCTGAGTTCCTTGAAAGAGAGGTGGGATATAAATGCAAGAAATAAAGAGATTGGCAGATCTCTAAGCGGTGGCGGGATTGCTCTCCCTAGCATGTGGCCTCCACCAAATTAAACTTAGCTGAAAGGGACCATCGCCCTGTGCTCTACAACTTATCAACTGGGATGATCTAAAGTTTGTTTTGGGAGTTCAGCTTGGTTAAAATTCCAATTCCCTCTGTTTTCTTTGCAATGTCACCTTGACTGAGAACATGTTGTGTGTGTAGGGATCTCTGGATCAGACTCTGTTGTGCAACAACAACCACCCTGGGGACAACCTCAGAGCACCTCACTTGCTTGCAGAAGGTCTCAGGTTGATCTTCAATCAAGGAACATCTCAAGAGCTTGGACAGAGATCCTGGGTGCTTGCCAGCTCACCAATAGCTTGATTCTGCATGAGGCAGATTCCTATCTTATCATAACCCCCCAGGCATACCCTGGCTGTATGATTATAAATATGTATGTATGTCATCTTCTTCTTTGGAGATCACTTGTAGCCGAGTAAGATTGTCTTCCATAAACACGGTCTTAACAGTGAGTCCGTAAGTGACCGTAGAGGCCAATTCTGGATCCACACATCCTTCCACAGTGGGGACATTGGTTCCCGGGTGGGAGTTGCTCACGGTGTGGATTTGCGAAGCGTGCCTTCCTCTTAGCGCATTTCTCCCTTGCGTCCTGAGTTCATTGTCTTCAAAGCCCATGACACCTTTGGTAAAGACTGTTCTCCAATTGGGGAACATGTTGGTGTATGTGTGTATGTATGTAAATTTAATAAATAATACAGTGGTACCTCGGGTTAAGTGCTTAATTCATTCTGGAGGTCCGTTCTGAACCTGAAACTGTTCTTAACCTGAAGCACCACTTTAGCTAATGGGGCCTTCTGCTGCCGCTGCACGATTTCTGTTCTCATCCTGAAGCAAAGTTCTTAACCCAAGGTACTATTTCTGGGTTAGCGGAGTCTGTAACCTGAAGCCTATGTAACCTGAGGTACCACTGTAATGATGTTAAAGGTAAAGGGACCCCTGACCATTAGGTCCAGTCATGGCTGACTCTGGGGTTGCGGCGCTCATCTCGCTTTATTGGCCGAGGGAGCCGGCGTACAGCTTCCGGTTCATGTGGCCAGCATGACTAAGCCGCTTCTGGCGAACCAGAGCAGCGCACGGAAACGCCGTTTACCTTCCCGCCACAGTGGTACCTATTTATCTACTTGCACTTTGACGTGCTTTCGAACTGCTAGCGTTGGCAGGAGCAGGGACCGAGCAATGGGAGCTCACCCCGTTGCGGGGATTCGAACCGCCGACCTTCTGATCAGCAAGTCCTAGGCTCTGTGGTTTAACCCGCAGTGATGTTAAGGTACTCCAAAAGTTACCTTGGGGTATGTTTGCCTGCAGAGCTGGCTGACTCCCCAGTTCTCGTTCAGGCTGTGCCTGCAGCTGTCAATCAAATAGGGAACCAATTCCAGCCTCGTCTGCAACAATACCTAGTGGTAGCCGAGTTAATGTATTTTTCATCTTTTGTAAAGGAAATGGGAGGTGGTGGCTGCCGGCTGTGTTTTGGCGTTAACAGCCTTGCACTACACAATTTCCACTCTCTCTTTGTTCAGCATCACTCCCCCACCCCCCTTCCTTGTTGTTGTGCTGCATCCAGGGTTATGTAATAGTCTTATGCAAGATGAAGGATCAGCTCACCTGAACAACTTATCACTATTCGATCTCCCTAAGTCACCAGGCTCCCTCTCTGTCTCCAGCCTGCTGCAGATGGGCAGAGAGGATTGCCAGATCATCCCTTGAAGACTCCTTAATCCCATCATCTTCTTAGGTTCACACCTTGAACCCTCAACACAGGACCTGCTGGGATTCAGCCGAGGTTTATTTTAAAAAGTGAACGGTTTTTCCTCTAAAAATTAAAAAGTTCACAAAATTGGCTAGCTGCAACATCGATTTCCAGTAAAGCCATTGTTTTGGTTCTTTTAAAAAAACCCACAACCTAAATTTTATCAAGGTTTATAATATAAAATTATAAAATGAAAGGTTATATATAATTATATAATGAAAGGTTATATATAATTATATAATTAAAGGGTTTATAAAAATACAAAACTTGATATATTTTCCCTTTTTAAAAAACCAAATCAAGACTTTTATATAGATACAGTGGTACTTCGGGTTAAGAACTTAATTCGTTCTGGAGGTCCGTTCTTAACCTGAAACTGTTCTTAACCTGAAGCACCACTTTCGCTAATAGGGCCTCCTGCTGCCGCTGCACAATTTCTCTTCTCATCCTGAAGCAAAGTTCTTAACCCGAGGTACTATTTCTGGGTTAGCGGAGTCTGTAACCTGAAGCGTATGTAACCTGAAGCGTATGTAACCCGAGGTACCACTGTACAATAAAAACGTGGGGGGGGGGAATAGAGAAGGAAAAAGGAAGAAATTGAAAGAATAGAAAAGAGGTTAAAAGAGAAAGATAGGAGAATAAGCTGTCCGTTTTGTTCTGATGGGGAGTAAATTCCATCTACAAAATGCCAGCTTCCCCTCCTGGGCTGAACAGTACTTTTTGGAGATTTCTAAAAAATAAAATAAAAATCACTGCTACATTTCTGCATTTGGGCTGCTGTTACAAAAGCCTGAGAGTGAGGTCCAAAACCTAAGTAGAAGCTGGCATTTCAGCCTTGGAGCAGAACTGAAGACTTTGTGCACATCACAAAGGACACGCTCATTTCTAAGCGAAGAAAGGAGTTCCTTTTAAACTTTTTTGCAGATAATAATAATAATGGCAAAACGTTTCCCAGGTTCTTGGCAACCTTAGGACCAGGAGAACACGCTCATTCTTTGCAAGACAATTAGGAACAAGCTGTACCAGGATTAACAATGCTGTGAGCCTTCTGGGCAGAATATGTGTCATTTTTTAAACATCAGTGAACAGCTGTTCCCCTTGCAATTTTAATAAGCCAGGCTTAGTGGGCAAAATTAAGAGCGAGAAAGCGAAGAGGTGGCCTGGCACCTGCACAGGTTGGACACGCTGAGTCTCTTTCGCTCTGTCATTGTCTGGTTCCTTCAGCACCTGAGAGAACACAAAGGCAAAATGGATAAGGCTGCTTTTCAAAAGCCCAGACTCTTCGTTTTCCTTTCCTTTCCCTCAATTCTTTTCTCATTTAGACTGCAAGCTCCTGGGGCAGAGAGCTGGCTTTTCTCACTTGTCCTTGTTCTGCAAAATGCTTTGTGCATTGACGGCGCGATATAACAAACGTTCGGAGGAGCAAACTGGAGAGATCAAAAGGCGAGGTTTGCAAAGAGCCAAGGGGGTGTTTAAAGGACGCCTCTCGTGTTGTTGTTTTTTTAACAGCGGGGAGAACTTTGGCAAGAACTTTTGACACGCAGAGAGAGAGCTGGTGGGGAACCCTCTGCTGAAACAGCCGCTTGTATGTCTCGATAGTTCAGCACAGCATTGACCTATGGAACTCACACCCACAAGAGGCAACGATGGCCACCAACCTAATAATAATAATAATAATAATAATAATAATAATACAGTGGTACCTCAGGTTAAGTACTTAATTCATTCCGGAGGTCCGTAGTTAACCTGAAACTGTTCTTAACCTGAAGCACCACTTTAGCTAATGGGGCCTCCTGCTGCTGCTGCACCGCCGGAGCACAATTTCTGTTCTCATCCTGAAGCAAAGTTCTTAACCTGAAGCACTATTTCTGGGTTAGCGGAGTCTGTAACCTGAAGCGTATGTAACCTGAAGCGTATGTAACCTGAGGTACCACTGTAATAATAATAAGAATAGAATAATAATAATAATTTTTATTTATATCCCGCCCTCCCCAGCTGAAGCCGGGCTCAGAGCAGCTAACAACAATAAAAGTAACACAATTTACACAAAATCACCATCAATTAATTAAAATACATTCTAAAATCATTCATTCTGAAATCAATTCAGAATCAAATTAATGGCAACCATTGGGCTAGAGTTCTGTGAAGATTGCCAAAGAAGGGGGTCAGACTGTGCCTTGGCCAAAGGCCTGGTGGAACAGCTCCGTCTTGCAGGCCCTGTAGAAAGATGTCAAGTCCCGCAGGGCCCTAGTCTCTTGTGACAGAGCGTTCCACCAGATCGGGGCCACAGCCGAAAAAGCCCTGGCTCTGGTTGAGGCCAGCCTAACCTCCCTGTGGCCCAGGACCTCCAAGATGTTTTTGTTTGAAGACCGTAAGGTCCTCTGTGGGACATACCAGGAGAGGTGGTCCCGAAAGTACGAGGGTCCTAGGTCGTGAAGGGCTTTAAAGGTTAAAACTAGCACCTTAAGCCTCGAGAGCCTTTCAAAGAGCATTGGACAAATTCATGGCGGAGAAAGCCATCAATGGCTGCTAGCCATCACAACTATTAGCTATGCCTCCACAGATGGAAGCAAATAATTCTTCTGGATATCGGCTGGGGCTGCATGAGGGGACTTGGGTTCAAGTCCTGCTTGTGGGTTTCCCATGGGCACTGTGAGAACAGGATGTTGGGATAGCTGGACTATCGGCCTGAAACATAAACCCTGCCTTCTTTTTATATTTGATCAGCCTGCTTGAACTGTTGGGGTCTGTTGAACTGGTGGGGTCCAGAAGTCCCATCTCTGTTTATTGATACATGACCTTGAGCAAAAGGTATTCAATCAATCAATCAATCATTTTTAATTTGTACAGTGGTACCTCGGATTAAGTACTTAATTCGTTCTGGAGGTCCGTTCTTAACCTGAAACTGTTCTTAACCTGAAGCACCACTTTAGCTAATGGGGCCTCCTGCTGCTGCTGCACCGCCGGACCACGATTTCTGTTCTCATCCTGAAGCAAGCTTCTTAACCTGAAGCACTATTTCTGGGTTAGCAGAGTCTGTAACCTGAAGCATCTGTAACCTGAGGTACCACTGTACAGCGTCTTTCTATCTTACAATACTCAAGGCGGTTTACAAGCTGAAGAAACAAAAAATGTACCAGTACATCTTATAGCAATCTAATGCAATACAGTGGAACCTCAGGTTACAGACGCTTCAGGTTACAGACTCCGCTAACCCAGAAATAGTACCTCGGGTTAAGAAATTTGCTTCAGGATGAGAACAGAAATCGTGCAGCGACGGCACAGTGGCAGCAGCGGGAGGCCCCATTAGCTAAAGTGGTACCTCAGGTTAAGAACAGTTTCAGGTTAAGACCGGACCTCCAGAACGAATTAAGTTCTTAACCTGAGGTACGACTGTACAAAAATGTGATAATAAAATATAACTTTAAAATAGGCAACCTACATCAAAAAAGTAACATTCAACAATCATTAGAATAGTATAAAATAATAATATCAACATATAAAAGTTAAACAGAAATCCACTCAACAGTTACAATAAATATGATTTCTAAATATGATTTCCCAGAGGACAGGATCACACTTCAAAACGACCTTGACAGATTAGAGAACTGGGCCAAAACAAACAAGATGAATTTTAACAGGGAGAAATGTAAAGTATTGCACTTGGGCAAAAAAAATGAGAGGCACAAATACAAGATGGGGGACACCTGGCTTGAAAGCAGTACATGTGAAAAGGATCTAGGAGTCTTGGTTGACCACAAACTTGACATGAGCCAACAGTGTGATGCGGCAGCTAAAAAAGCCAATGCAATTCTGGGCCTTATCAATAGGAGTATAGCATCTAGATCAAGGGAAGTAATAGTGCCACTGTATTCTGCTCTGGTCAGACCTCACCTGGAGTACTGTGTCCAGTTCTGGGCACCACAGTTCAAGAAGGACACTGACAAACTGGAACGTGTCCAGAGGAGGGCAACCAAAATGGTCAAAGGCCTGGAAACGATGTCTTATGAGGAACGGCTAAGAGAGCTGGGCATGTTTAGCCTGGAGAAGAGGAGGTTAAGGGGTGATATGATAGCCATGTTCAAATATATAAAAGGATGTCACATAGAGGAGGGAGAAAGGTTGTTTTCTGCTGCTCCAGAGAAGCAGACACGGAGCAATGGATCCAAACTACAAGAAAGAAGATTCCACCTAAACATTAGGAAGAACTTCCTGACAGTAAGAGCTGTTTGACAGTGGAATTTGCTGCCAAGGAGTGTGGTGGAGTCTCCTTCTTTGGAGGTCTTTAAGCAGAGGCTTGACAACCATATGTCAGGAGTGCTCTGATGGTGTTTCCTGCTTGGCAGGGGGTTGGACTCGATGGCCCTTGTGGTCTCTTCCAACTCTATGATTCTATGATTCTATGATTCTAAACTATAATCAATAAAACCATGGCAAGCCACAGTACATATACAATACAAATTGAGAAGCAGAGACTAGAGGGTGGAGCAAGGCAAGGTATTGTCTCTCGCATTTTACAGAGGGAAAGTTAAGGCTAACAGTGACCTACCTCACAGGGTGGTTGTGTGTTCCATGTTTGCAGCGAGGTGATCATCCTCTATGTTCCAAAGCTCCAGTTACGTGTGAATATTTCTGACCAAACAAACAAGAGATAACTCTCTCTTTTTTCCAGCCCTGGCGCTGCCGTTACCCACCCAGCTCTCGGAGGAGGACGAAAAGGTAAGAACAGGAAAAAGGGTGGGGTGGTCATGGCACCTATATTGGACCCCATGTGTACTATACCTTTAAAGCTTCCCCCAAATAATTCTGGGAAGTGTAGTTTGTTAATTATTGAGTTATTATTAATTGAATTTATATACTAACCTATACCTGCAGGTCTCAGGGTGGTGCATAGACAGGAGGCTTCTATTCCCCCTGGTGCAATACTTAGAACGCATAATAATAATAATAATAATAAAAATAATAATAATATTTAGATGCCGCCCATCTGGCTGGGTTACCTCAGCCACTTTGATCGGCTTCTAGCAAAAATATAAAAACACAACACAACATCAAAAACTTCCCTACACAGGGTTTTTGTGATTAATTCCTCTTCCCAGGGAACTCTGGGATTCATAGCTCTGTTCAGTACTTTTTTTGTTTAAAATGTTTAGGGGGTTCTCTCATTTTCCTACTCATATTGAAATACTGCCCCTCAAGGAGACCAAACTTAGATTCAGAAAATGTTTAGGGGTATGCGTACCCCTGCGTTCGCCCAGAAAAAAAGCACTGGTTCTGTTAGGATGATAGAGGGGTCTCCTGGCAACTCTCTGCATCATGGGTAGGCAAACTAAGGCCCGGGGGCCGGATCCGGCCCAATCGCCTTCTCAATTCAGCCCATGGACGGTCTGGGAATTAGCATGTTTTTACATGAGTAGAATGTGTCCTTTTATTTAAAATGCATCTCTGAGTTATTTGTTGGGCACAGGAATTCATTCATTTTTTCCCTTCAAAATATGGTCTGGCCCCCACAAAGTCTGAGGGACAGTGGACCGGCCCCCTGCTGAAAAAGTTTGCTGACCCCTGCTCTGCGTGCTTACCAAAACTACAGCTCCCAGAATTCTTTGGGGGAAGCCATACCTTTTTCTTAAAGTTCATTTTGATGGGTTGTTTTTTGTTGCCAGGTTACTAAGTGCATCACCGAAATCCTCGCAGACACCCTCTCCAGACCCAGCCCAATTCCGGTGACCAGTGAATGCACGAAGATACTTAGAGAGGGTAAGTTACGGTCTGTGTGGTCAAACTCCTTAAGCGGTGTCTGCAAATACCCACATCCTCAAAGTAATGTGAAAATAGGCCTTTTTAGTGGTGGCTCCCCGCTTGTGGAATGTTGCCAGAAAGAGGCAAGGCCCCGCTGCATCTGTGTTGCCCAGCAACCGTCAGCAGCAGCAGGAAGAAGACGACACAGGGCAGCCCTATCTTTTCCGGCAACCACCAGCAGAGGGAACCACTGCTCTTGGTTGTTGTTGCCTAACAACAAACAGCCACCAGAAAACCAGAAGCAGACCTGCTGTTGCGACTGTGTTACCTGGCAACAGCCTCTCTGTTGCTTAGCTACCACCACTAGGATGGGAGCCTCTGGGCAGGGGCAAGCGTGAAGGAGGCCCTGTTTGTGGTAAATTGCCACAGAACAGGGAAGACTTTATCAGGGCCACTTCTGTGTAATCGTTTCTCACGGGACAACAGGCCTAAACTGTCCTAATCTCTATTTATTATTCAGATGGTTATACCCCCGTGGCTTACAACATATCAGCCTTGACCAACCTCTGAGATTCTAACCTGCTTCCCTGCAGACATTTTGGACTACAAATCCCATCAGCCCTGCTGGTCCAGGCTGATGGGAGTTGTAGTCCAAAACATCTGGAGGGGACCTGCTTAGTGAAGGCTGCAATGGACGGTGGTGAAACACACAAAGGCACACACCTGTACTTTTATCTCAAACCACACCACCCGGCAGCCTGTAATTCCCTGCTGAGAGTAGAGACCCCTATTCCCCTCATGGAGCTACAGTTCCCAGGATTACATGTGGAAAATGTATTGATTGTTAAGCCCCTCAGCAGCCTTAACAAACAACATCTCCCAGAATGTTTTGGGGGAAGCCATGGCTGTCTAAAGCAGGCGTGGCCAAACTTGGCCCTCCAGATGTTTTGGGACTACAACTCCCATCATCCCTGACCACTGGTCCTGTGAGCTAGGGATGATGGGAGTTGTAGTCCCAAACCGGCTGGTGGGCCGAGTTTGCCTATGCCTGTTCTAAAGCTGAGAACCACTTAGTGCTTTAAAATCGTAGCGCTTTAAATGGATGCTGCGGATGCGGCCGTAGTCCCTTAGCAGAGGCCGGTTGTTTTTCTGAGGCTGAACAACTGGAGCAACTCCTTTGCACTTGGCTGGCGTTCCTGCCGGCCTTCAAAGCCACGCGCGATGTGTGCGATGTCTGGAATCCATGATACTCGCTGCGAGTTTAATTGGCACCCTGTCTGTTTTCAGATGAGAGAGTCCTTGCGATGCTTCACCACCAGCACCTGCTAACGGAGCTGGAGGAACTCACGCATCAAGGTAAACAGGCGAGCCAAATCCAGCCATTCCCCGTTCTGTCGAGGAGATGTCTTTCTGAGCCTTGGAATCCGTTTTGCAAGGGCTGAGATTAGTGCCAGCTCCAGGGTGCTGGAGAACATTGGTTTTTATTTCTTTCTTTACTATCACTTTTTTCTCAAAGTACCTCAAGGCAGCACACCTCTTCCCATTTTATCCTCCAAACAACCCTGGGAGGGAGGTTAGGCTAGAAGAAGAAGAAGAAGAAGAAGAAGAAGAAGAAGAGCCAGGCTTGGGGCAGCTAACATCCGGAATTTCCCTGACATAGCCAAAATACTGCAGTGTCTGCGTGAAAATCACTAAAAAACATCAGGGAAAACCTGGATGTATGGCAACCCATGTTAGCGATGGGTTTTTTTGGCGATTTTCCTGAAAAACAGCCCCCAAACTTCATTTTTTGTCATCTTTCCTCAAAAATAGCTCCAAAACTTGGGGCAAAGGTTTTTTTAAAAAGCTCAACAAATTTTTGAAATAGGGCAACCCTAACTAAAAGTTTGTGTGTGGCAGGTAAAAATAAATAAAAAGGGTTGCTAGTCCTCCTCAGAGTAGACCCACTGAGAGAGACATGACTAACTTGAATTCATTAATTTCAGTTGGTCTACCCCCAGGTAGGACTTAGGTGAATACCACCCACTGTCACACAAAAAAACCCCATGGCAACTCCCATATTTTTGTGGTGGTTCCCATTTTATTTTACCCGCCATGTGTGCTGGACCTAGAACTTGGCATTGCGGGGAAATTAAGATGGCGGGTGCAAATATGGCTGCCAAGGGTCCCAGAGTGGGGAGCTCAGGAAGCAGTGGCCTCCTGCAGGCCTCACCAATGACATGGTCTCCGGAAAGTTAGACAACGTTGGTGCCAGGCCTGGTTGGGGAGGAAACATGGAGTGAGAGAGGCCCAAATATCGAAGCGGAGATGGTGTGAAACTGCAGCAGGACTGGGAGAAAATGTCTGCGAAACAGACACAAAAAAAGAGCGAAAGGCAGACTTTTGGGACTTTTAATAATAATAAATTTTATTTATACCCCGCCCTCCCCAGTCAAGACCGGGCACAGGGCGGCTAACAACCAATAATAAAAACAAGTTGATTAAAATACAATTTAAAAAACAAGATTAAAATACAACATTAAAAGATTAAGATGCAGCCTCTTCACAGGAGGAGAAAGGAAAAAGGAAAGAGGGGAAGGGAATCAAGTTGATTCCAAGCCAAAGGCCAGGCGGAACAACTCTGTCTTACAGGCCCTGCGGAAAGAAATCAGATCCCGAAGGGTCCTGGTCTCATGAGGCAGAGCATTCCACCAGGCCGGGGCCAGTGTTGAAAAGGCCCTGCCCTCTGGTTGAGGCTAATCTGACTTCCTTAGGGCCCGGGACCTCTAGGGTGTTGCTATTTATGGACCTTAAGGTCCTCCGTGGGGCATACCAGGAGAGGCGGTCCCGTAGGTACGAGGGTCTTAGACAAACAAAAAACAAAAAAACACCCCCACCTTCGGTTGCCTTCCCTGAAATTATCTCATCCCCACTGCAGAAAATGAGAAGCATCGTTTGGGACATGAAGGCAACCATGAGGTTTGGGAAGAGGAGGAACAAGAGGAAGTGAAGAAGAGAGATGTCAAGCCTGCCCAGCAGAGAGAAGAAGCTGCGTTGGAGAAGACAGAGGAGCAAAATGGGCAGGCGAATAAAGAGGAGCAGGAGCTGAAAGAGTTTGAGAAGATGGAGAAGACTGAGGAGAAGGTGAAGGAAGAGAAGGTCTCCCGAGGAGAGGAGAACAGAGAGGGTCTGGAGGAACAAGCCAAGGAGCGGATGGGGGAGGAAGAAGAGGATGAGGAGAGCGATGAGGAGGACGAAGCGAGGAGGAAGAAGAAGAGAAGCTCCTCAGAGACGTGGTCTTCTAAGGAATATTTTGGGCACATCAAGAAGAGGCGCCCCGGGCCTCCAAAGATCAGGAAGGTGATGCTTCGAGGAAGTCAAGAAGACGAGAAGAGGAACGGGCTGAGCAAGAGGCACTTCAGGTCAGAGGAGGAAGAGGAGAGCTCTGAAGAGGAGCCGAAGAAATACCACCACGGAAGGTACAGCGATGGCCACCATCACCATGAAGACTGGGACGAGGAGGAGGAAGAGAAGAAGAGATCTGATCTGGAGAAGAGGGTGGCCGAGAAGGCCAGCGATGAGGAGACCGCCCAGTTTGAGGAGGAAGAGAAAGGCGTGAAGATCTCCAACTCCCAGGCCCAGCTCCACGGAAGGTGGAAGCCATGGGGAGAAGGAGAGGAGAAGGATGAGGAGAAAGAAGGCAAGGCGAGGCATGGGCATCACCACAAACCGGCCGGCTTTGACCTCAAGAAGAGGCACTGGAAGGACGACGTCTATCTGAAGGGCGGCAGGTATCGTGGCCATGAAGAGGAGGAAAGGGAGAGCGAGGTCAGTATCCATACTTGTTCCCATCACAAGGCTTGAGTTGGTTAAGTAGCAAGAAGGAGAGGGGATGGGGGAGAGCAGATGGACAACTATCCCAACGGAGAGGTGTAGAAAGAGGAGGTCTCCGAAGGGTCGCTGTTGGGACCTGTGCTTTTTATCTTGTTCATCAACCAGTACGTTTCTGAGCACAATTCAAAGTGTTGGTGCTGACCTTGAAAGCCCTAAAGGGCCTCGGTCCTGTACACCTGAAGGAGCGTCTCCACCCCCATCGTTCTGCCCGGACACTGAGGTCCAGCGCTGAGGGCCTTCTGGCGGTTCCCTCATTGGAAGAAGTGAGGTTACAGGGAACCAGACAGAGGGCCTTCTCGGTGGTGGCTCCCGCCCTGTGGAACGCCCTCCCTTCAGATTTCAAGGAAATAAGCAGCTATCTTCTTTTTAAAAGACATCTGAAGGCAGCCCTATTTAGGGAAGTTTTTAATATTTAATGCTGTATTGTTTTTAACACTTGATTGGAAGCCGTCCAGAGTGGCTGGGGAAACTCAGCCAGATGGGCGGGGTATAAATAATAATAATAATAATAATAATAATAATAATAATCGCTTTTAAATGAGTCAGATGAACTGTGGAACTCATCCTGGCAGGAGCCAATGACAGCCACCCACCTGGATGGCTGATTTTTAAAAAAATGCTTTTTATTGGTGTTTCATTTAATACATACAAACAAAATACAGTAAAATTCAACAACCATTAACCCACATTCTTTCCCCACACTCTGCTGAGCACTGACTTCCTTCCCTCCCTTCAACAGGTTTTCTTATGTCAGTTACTTTTCCAGTTTCTTGTTGTATCCAATCCTATCTACGTCATAAGATTTATTTCAGTCCTGCCAGAGTCTTCAAATTTCTACAGTTATTATTTACGTACTCCATAAATTTCCTCCAATCTTTTTGGAATTTTGCTTCCTCCTGATTTCGGATTCCACAGGTCAGTTTTGCTAGTTCCGCATAATCAACCATCTTTCGTCTGCCATTCCTCTATTGTTGGCTATTCTGGTACTTTCCATTTTTGGGCTAATGAAGTTCTGGCAGCAGTCATAGCATACATAAATAACCTTTGATCTACTTTTTCCATTTCCTCTCCCATCAAGCCTGGCAAGAAAGCTTCCGGCTTTTTCGGGAAAGTGTATTTAAATATCTTTTTCAATTCGTTATAAATCTGTTCCCAAAAGTGTTTCATTTTCTCACATGTCCACCCCACATGGATGGCTTTGAAAGAGGTTTGGACAAATATAAGGAGGGAAACGCTATCCATGGCTGCTAGCCAAGATGCCTATGTTCTGCCTCCACGGCCAGAGGCAGCAAAGCTTCGGAATACCAGTTCCTGGAAACCGCAGGGCTCTTGTGCTCGGATCCTGCTTCTGGATCCCCACAGGCTACTGTGAGAACAGGAGGCTGGACAAGATGGGCAGCACTGGTTTGATCCAGGAAGCTCTCCTAAAGTTCTCCTGAGTTATCTTCTCTGGGGTAAGGGAACGGAGAACGCTTACGAACTGGCCCCAGAGGCACTCTAAACCTGGAAGAAGTTTGCAGGTGTGTGGAATCTGAAGCGATAAACCCGAGACCTTCTGGAAACATGGCAATGTGAGAAAGACAGAACACTTACACAGCGTCGGGGTAGCATAGGTCTTCAATCTCTCATTTGCAACCTGAGCAGGCCCTCCAGAAAGCAATAATAAATAATAATAATAAAGTTTTATTTATATCCCGCCCTCCCCAGCTGAAGCCGGGCTCAGAGCGGCTAACAACAATAAAAGTAACACAGCATTCTAAAATAAATTCGTTTTAAAATCAATTCAAAATAAAATTAATGGCAACCATTGGGCTAGAGTTCTGTGAGGATTACCAAAGGAGGGGGTCAGGCTGTGCCCTGACCAAAGGCCTGGTGGAACAGCTCTGTCTTGCAGGCCCTGCGGAAAGATGTCAAGTCCCGCAGGGCCCTAGTCTCTTGGGACAGAGCGTTCCACCAGATCGGGGCCACGGCCGAAAAAGCCCTGGCTCTGGTTGAGGCCAGCCTAACCTCCCTGTGACCCGGGACCTCCAAGATGTTTTTGTTTGAAGACCATAAGGTCCTCCATGGGACATACCAGGAGAGGCGGTCCCGTAGGTACGAGGGTCCTAGGCCATATAGGGCTTTAAAGGTTAAAACCAGCACCTTGAACCTGATCCTGTACTCCACCGGGAGCCAGTGCAGCTGGTATAGCACCGGGTGAATGTGATCTCGTAGTGAGGACCCCGTAAGGAGTCTCGCCGCGGCATTCTGCACCTGCTGGAGTTTCTGGGTCAGTCTCAAGGGCAGCCCCACGTAGAGCGAGTTACAATAATCAAGCCTGGAGGTGACCGTTGCGTGGATCACAGTGGCGAGGTCAGGGCGAGAGAGATAAGGAGCCAACTGCTTAGCTTGGCGGAGATGGAAAAATGCCGTAGTTAGAAGCTGGAGGAATTCAGTGGCTTGAAAAAAATAGTAATTCTGCAGTGAACTCCAACCAGAAACTTTCTCTTTCCGAAACCTGAAGGCTCGAGATCCGTAGAGGGATAGAAGGGAGGGTGTTACCCAACTCTCCTACCTTCACAGCGTCACCTTTCAGCCAGTGCTGCTACTGGCAAGGCCTTTCCTCTCCTCTCTCTCATATGCATATCCTCTCTCTTTCCAGGTCCAGGAGCTTGAGAAGCTTGAAGAGATCGAGCGGGAGCTGAAGAGGGCAGCTGAGAAGCTGGAGGAGCTGAAGAGGGGGTAGCCCCTTTCCACCCTGTGGGCAGATGGGTAGGGTAGAAAAGGAGGCAGGTGGCCTCTTTGTGAACCCACCTGCCCACCCAGTTCCCCTCCACCTCCTAATAAGCAATCCCTGTATATAATCTCTCTCCCTCCAGCTTGGCTTTCGACTGTTAAAAGGAGCTTTCCCTTGCTTTTGAAACACACACACACGCAAACCTCCACCCTGGCAGGCTCCAGCACAGAGATTTGGGACCTGCTTGCCCCTCCGGCTGTTGGACTACAACTCCCAAACACCCCTGACTATTGGCCAGCCTGGCAGGGGCTGATGGGAACCAGAGTCCTGACACCGGCCACCTCTGAGCAGCGCAGGGTCCCTTCAAAATAGTCACACGGCCCCTCCTTAGATTTATACAATTACCGTATTTTTTTGCTCTATAAGACTCACTTTTTCCCTCCTAAAAAGTAAGGGGAAATGTGTGTGCGTCTTATGGAGCGAATGCAGGCTGCGCAGCTATCGCTGAAGCCAGAAGAGCAAGAGGGATTGCTGTTTTCACTGCGCAGCGATCCCTCTTGCTGTTCTGGCTTCTGAGATTCAGAATTTTTTTTCTCTTGTTTTCCTCCTCCAAAAACTAGGTGCGTCTTGTGGTCCGGTGCGTCTTATAGAGCGAAAAATACAGTACTTTCATAATGAATAGTAATCCGGGATGCATTGCAACAATCAGTGTAGCCCTCCTTTCAGTCAGGTCCATGATTTCCCCATTAACACGCACCCACAAATGATATGGAGTTCTCCTGTATCTTCTTCTGGAGCGACTGAAGTTTCCCCATTGTCCTTGGCTGAACCTGCACACCTTTCTCTTGAAACCGACACGCTTTTTGTGTTTCCAGTATTCCTGAATGCTTAGCTTTGGAGCATGCAGGGGCTAAGAAGTTCCCCTTCTTAGCTGATGGGGAAGCTCAAGGGTGCTGGAGGCTGAGACCCTGTTGCTGGAAGAGTAAGGCATCTCCAACCACAACTACCATCACCTGACTCCGAACCACTGCACCTGAGGAACTAGCAGTTCCCCAGCCCTGGATAAGAGGGTTCGAGATTGCTCTGTTCTTATAGCTACACTTTTGCCCATACAATTAAACCCCTGTGTTGCAAACAAGCATCAGTAATATCCAAAGGCAACACGATGGCCAAGTACAACAATGCGATGTCAATATAAACTCTTTATATAATCTATACAAAACACAGAACAATATGAAATATATGAAATATGCACTCTCTGCAAAACCAAATGAATACTCTTGAAAACATAGAACCAAATAAACATAAGTCTTATAGGTCTCTGAAAGTCTTTGTGGGCTATGCAAGTTTCTGAAAGAAGCAACGGGTCAGGTTCTTATCGGGTGAAAACAAACCGTAAAGCTTTGTTTTATGATGTCCAGCGCTGCCGAAGTGGTCCGCAAACAGACATAGTGAACAGTGATTCCGGATATATCCATTGTTTCATGGAATTCTTCTTCAGCACAGCAGGATACAGAAATGCTTCATAAACCCATCTATATGGTGAATGGAACTGTATAACAACAATTGCTATGGAGCAGTGGTCATAAAGTTATGTATATTCCATAGCAACTGTTGTTATACAATTCCATTCACCATATAGATGGGTTTATGAAGCATTTCTGTTGGACGTCATAAAACAAAGCGTTACGGCTTGTTTTCACCTGATAAGAATCTGACCCTGCATAGCCCACAAAGATTTTCAGAGACCTATAAGACTTACCATATTTTTTGCTCTATAAGACTCACTTTTTCCCTCCTAAAAAGTAAGGGGAAATGTGTGCGCGTCTTATGGAGCAAATGCAGGCTGCAGAGCTATCCCAGAAGCCAGAACAGCAAGAGGGATTGCTGCTTTCACTGCGCAGCGATCCCTCTTGCTGTTCTGGCTTCTGAGATTCAGAATTTTTTTTCTCTTGTTTTCCTCCTCCAAAAACTAGGTGCGTCTGGTGCGTCTTATAGAGCGAAAAATACGGTATGTTTATTTGGTTCTGTTTTCAAGAGAATCCATTAAGAGTATTCATTTGGTTTTGCAGAGAGTGCATATTTCATATTGTTCTATGTTTTGTATAGATTATATAAAGAGTTTATATTGACATCGCATTGTTGTACTTGGCCGTGTTGCCTTTGGATTTTACTACACTTTTGCCCCTGGCAGCTGCACTTCAGGGTTCTTTTTGCCAACCAGCAGGCCAGCTCTGACCGCATCTGAAGTTCTCCCTGTGCTGCTGCGGCTATTCTGTACACCCAAGCCAGGATCTTCAGGGTCGATTCATAGCACAGCCCTTCGACGCTTCCACAAGAGCATCCTTTATTGCTCCCGGAAGTGTGAGGAGAGTCCGCTTTGCCAGATTCCTTGTGGTCCCTTCCAACTCTACAATTCTATAATATTACGAAATAAAAGGAGGCCTGCCATTCCTGTGCTGTGTACAGTGGTACCTCGCAAGATGAATGTCTCGCAAGACAAAAAACTCGCTAGACGAAAGGGTTTTTTGTTTTTTGAGCTGCTTCGCAAGACGATTTTCCCTATGGGCTTGCTTCGCAAGACGGAAACGTCTTGCAAGTTTGTTTCCTTGTTCTTAACACCGTTAATACAGTTGCGACTTAACTTCGAGGAGCAACTCATAGAACGCGGTGTGGTAGCCTTTTTTGAGGTTTTTAAAGACTTTGGTGATTTTTGAAGCTTTTCCAAAACTTTCCCGACACCGTGCTTCACAAGACGAAAAAAATCGCAAGACGATAAAACTCGCGGAACGAATTAATTTCGTCTTGCAAGGCACCACTGTACCAGGAAATACATAGACAAGACCATAACTACAGTCCTCTGCAGGATCAAGACCATGGCCCACAGATTCAGTAATCACAGAACTGTAGACCTGGAAGGGACCACAACCGTCACCTAGTCCGACAGTGCAGGAATCTTTTGCCCAAGGTGGGACTCGAACCCAGAACCTAGGAGTCTCATGCTCTACCGACTGAGCCATCCCAAGAGCCCACCCTAGTTCAGCATCCTTGCTCTTGCACCGGTCCCTGTGGGAAGTCCACAATGCAGTCTTGTTTTGCGCCAGTCAAGATATTTTGGACAGCGAGTCCCATGAGCTGGCGTGCTCAGGGGTGACGGAACGCTATATAGTCCAAAACGTCTGCTGACGGGCTTCACACAGGCATCTGGGTTAGGGCTGCCACATTCCCCGAACTGAACATCCGGGTTTCCCCGGACAGTTTGCAGTTTCCATGAAAATCCGCCCGGACACAAAAATAGTGCCCTATTCCCAGACCTATGGCAGCCCTAATCTGGGTAGCCACTGTGAGAACAGGATGCTATTATTTTACCTAATAAAAATAAAAAACAACAACCCAATAGCCCCCTCCCAACACACACAAAAACACATTTTAAAAGGACATAGGATGTAAATCTGATCAACCAAAGGCCTGGTTAAAAAGGAATGTTTTTTCCTGGCGCCTAAAGATGTCTAGTGAAGGCGCCTGGCGAACTTCCCTGGGGAGAGCATTCCACAGACGGGGAGCCACTGCAGAGGAGGCCCCGCTCTCGTGTTGCCAAACCTCGTATACACACCCTCTTTGATCTCTTGAACATGGACGCAAGAATGGGGTTTCAGATTTCAGATTTCAACTGAACTGGCATGTGGCCGAGACTGAGGTTGCTGCACATTCCAGCAGGGCTCCTGTGCCTTTGCTTGGTCCAGCAGGACTCCTACACTCTTATGCATTAATGCAGTAAACCGCAGCTCCAGGAACCCTAAGCTTTCTCCCAGGAAGTGGCCTGTTTACATGAGTCACGCCTCTTGGCTTGCCTCCTTCCTACCAGTCTTGGCAGGCACACCACACCACACACATTTGCATAACTGTTTCTCTCCTGCTGCTGAAAAAATAACATTATCCATCCTCGGAGGAGGCTGCCTGTTGCACCTCTGTGTGAGTTGCGGCTCTGGCCTCGCCTCCTTCGAAGTGGCTTTGCTGGGGCCTCTGCAGCGGATCGCAGCTGTTGCAGCATGGACTGTCCACCTCTGGAGGAGGAGGAGGAGGAGGAGGAGGAGGAGGCTGCCTGTTGTCTCTCCCCATCATTTGCCAAGCCAGGGCTTTCTTCTTTCCCAGCAGGAGGTGCACAGTGAGTCATGCAGAAGCAGGGGGCATTATTCCTCTCGCACCCTCTGGGAGCCAAACCTCGTGTGTGCAAGAGTGATGTGTGCGGCCCGTTTTGATTCACGGGAGACAAGTGACTCTTCCATGCTCTGAAGCCTGGGAAGTGGTGGATGGGGTGCTCTCTGTGGGACACTGCCACGAGTGTACAGCATTGCAAGACCCACATACCCACATGCCGGTGGAGGGAATTAAGCTCCATGATTAAAGCAGGGTCCTTTTTAAAAAATAAGCTCTCCCTCTCAAATAAGTCTTATTGGCTATTTGTTTTTTACTCCGTTTTAACTAACCCCTGGCACTACTGAGCTAATCACCCCTACTCTTTCTCACTCCCCCTTCCCCTCTGATTAATCTGCTTCGACTGTTCGGATTGGAATCTTCCATCTGTCTCCCTCTCCTGCGAATGGCCTCTTTGGTTAGCGGTGGGGAGGCAGAGGTTTTCGGAAGCTGCCCATACAAGCGGTGTGATTTTTGTTTGTTTTTTGGTGGGTGGGGCGTGATCCGTGTTGGGGTGTTGTGTTTGGATATTCCTATGACCGGGGAGGGGGTTTGCTTTAAAGCACTGGCGTGGAGTCAACTCAATAAAGCGAAGTCCAAAAGAAGCAATCTGGAAGTCTGGATCTCCTTGGTTTCAGATCTTGACATTCCCCAAGTGCCTCCAATCTCTATTATTATTATTATTATTATTATTATTATTATTATTATTATTATTATTAATATACCGCCTATACCCAGGGGTCTCAGGGAAGTTCACAGAATAAAGTCAAAATATAAAACCATAAAATACCTAATAAAAATAAAAAACAACAACCCCTCCCAACACAAAAAAACACATTTTAAAAGGGCATAGGATGTAAATCAGATCAATCAAAGACCTGGTTAAAAAGGAATGTTTTTTCCTGGCACCTAAAGATGTCTAGTGAAGGCGCCAGGCGAACTTCCCTGGGGAGAGCATTCCACAGACGGGGAGCCACTGCAGAGGAGGCCCCGCTCTCGTGTTGCCCCCCTCGTATACACACCCTCTTTGATCTCTTGAACATGGACACAACAATGGGGTTTCAGATTTCAACTGAATTGGCATGTGACCGAGACTGAGGCTGCCGCACATTCCAGCAGGGCTCCTGCGCCTTTGCAGCTGGGCAGGAAGACAATCGACCTGCAAATGTTTCCCAAAGGAAGATTGCAACACTTTACTTTGCCAGAGAATCTCCCTTACTCGGTTAAGTTATAGGACAAAGCTTGCCCACTGTTAGAAATAATCTCTAACCCTGGCTTTTTAACAATGATTACTCTGGCTTTTGACACCCAAGAGGTATATTTTTAGGACCTGTCTTATTTTTGCGACAGTAAATTGTTTTAAACTGTTTTTAATGTTGTAGAACCCACGCTGGCACCTTAGGGTGAAGACTTTGCTAATACTAGAGAGAAACCCTTGATGCCTCATCCAGGAAGCAATGAGGGGGAAACCAATGGTCCTCTAGATCAGTGTTCCCCAAACTTGGGCCTCCAGCTGTTTTTGGACTACAACTCCCATCATCCCTGACCACTGGTCCTGCTGGCTAGGGATGATGGGAGTTGTAGTCCAAAAACAGCTGGAGACCCAAGTTTGGGAAACAATGATCCAGATCAGCCTTTCTCAACCTGTGAGTCCCCAGATGTTGTTGGACTACGACTCCTGCCATCCCTGAGCTCTGGCCTTGCTAGTTAGGGGTGATGGGAGTTGTAGTTCAACAACATCTGGGGACCCACAGGTTGAGAAAGGCTGATCTAGATGATGATGGCAGACTTGGTAGCCTTGCCTCAATGCCTGATTAGGATGTGCTGTGTACAATCATCCTATATTTTGTCACTGTTGGGCGAGGGTTTTTGGCATCCAACAAGTATCAGCTTCCTCCATCCACGCAGAGCCCTCCTTCCTCAAAAGAGAGAGAGAGAGAGAGAGAGAGAGAGAATGAATAAAAAGCCACACAGAAATCCATAGCTTTTAATCTGATCAGGGCCAGAGAGACCTACATAATACAACAGACACATGGAAGGCAGAGAAACAGAACTCCGTCACAGACACAGATTAAAACAGATCACAGGAGAACCACACCGTAGCCACGAAACGAAACACTCAGCCTTGTGGAAGGCAAGAACAATCAGTTCCTTCAGACAGGGTTTGCAAGTGGAAGAAATCAAAGTATGTACATAAGATGGACTGGATTTCCTCCTTTCGCTGAAGACACATATGGTATTTTATATATATATATATATGTATTTAAATAGCAGCTCCAATGAGAGGGCACATTGCTGAGCCACAGGAAAAGTGGATGCTGTGACTGCAAAAAAAATAAATCAGCTTATCAGATGTGGGCAAAATCGACCCACCAGCTGCGATGTGCCATGCTGCCACGTCCAGACATTGGCACCCTCTACAAACCCCCCCCTCGCCCCCCCCCCACAACTTGCTCTCACTCAGTCCTTACCCAGATCCAAAATCCAACCTCTCGGTACAATGCAAAGCCCAACCTCCTCCTAGACTGACACAGCCAGGACTCCTTATAACTTCCTTTTTCACCTTGCAGCTGCGCTTCCCCCCTCCTCTGCCCGCCTCTCACTGCTTTCTGGGGTGCAGAACGCCACATGCTGCCATTACCCCCAGCCCCATTGCCGCTAGCAGAGCAGATTGAGAAAGCAACCTGTGACATTCATTGAGAGCGATGCAACACTCTGCATATGTAGGCAGAGATATTGGGGGGGGGGGAGGAAGAAGGGGCTGAGCCCGCCGGTTGCTGAGACACCGCAGCAAAACGGAGCACTGCTGCAAAGAGGAAGTGGAACCTCAGACTAGAGCTAGCAAAACTAAGCCACAAATGACATAAAGGCAGCTGCACAGAAGATGCCAGAGATGTTTTGCCTCCCGTTTTTGACTCGAGAGCAGCTAGAAATCAAGAGGAAACCATGGTTTCAGGGAGAAACTTCCAGGACCACCACCCTCCTGATGGGCATTTCATCTGAAACATGCTTGAAGCAGCCGTCTTCGGTCCAAGGGTGCCCAGAGAGCGTTGGACTACAACTCCCATCATCCTCACCCATTGCTGATGATGGGAGTTGAAGTCCAATCACCTTTGGGAACCTCAGAAGAGCTGGGTGTGATTTGAGCAGCTGGCTGTACCAGAAGGCAGACCCTTTTGGCTGTCTGTGGGAAGGGAAGGGTCCCTTGCCCCATGCAGGGCCGCCACCCACCACCCACCAGGGAACAGCTTCAGTTCTAAGGGAACAGGAGAAGCTTCCTCTCCTACAGAGAGAAACAGAAGACCCCCATTCCCCAACTGAAAATCACAAACAAGGGGCTTTCACACGGGAGTCAGAACCAAAAGCTATGGCCGTATCAGTCTGGCCTTGCCTTATCATGAGGCTGGTAACCTCATGGCCACTAGGCAACTAAAGAAAACTTCTTCTTCCCCACTCCTGAATGTGGCACTCAAACTGTGGCGGAAAAGGGCAAAAGGTGGCAGGGTGAGGTGGCGCAAGAGCACGAACCAGGAGTACAGCGTGGGCAGCAGCAGTAAACCCAGAAAGAGGAAGGAATCCAGGGTCCCTGGGTCTTAGTGACCCAGTTCCTGGAAAGCACAATGGCCCGGGCAGCCTGCCCACATCTTCCCCACTTGCCCAGAGATGATTCAAGGCATTGGCTGGGCAGAGGGATGGAAAAGATTGCTGTCTGCAAGCTGCAGCCCTGGGAGGGAGGTTAAAGAGGGCAATTGTGGGCAGGGGGTAAGGGGGGGCAAATGGATAAGCTGGCGCAGGGAGGGTCTTACAGGCTGCAGAAGATGGCTCAGGGCACAATAGCAGTTAATGTTTAGGATGAAGAGAAGGGGAAGTGGTCGTAAGCCTGGAAGTGGAGGCGACTGGCTGGTTTCTCAGTGGCAGGAGGGACAAAGGACATACAACCACTACCTGATTGGAGGAGCTCTCCTTCAGTCCTGGTCCATCTACAGGAGGGAGGGGGGAAGGGAAGTTGCCACAATCTGTTCTTACTCTCACCCCCTGTCTTCTGGCCCCACCCATTCCCAACCTAAACGAGGCTCAATGTACAGGCAGGAGAAGAGCCATAAAAGCGAGGTTTGAGCAAACGAACACCAGGGAACCTAAAAAGAAATAAATTCACGAGGAAGCTGGGTTGCAGAGAGAAGGTATTTCCTGCAAAGGTTTCCACGGTGGAGAGGTGTGTGTACATAAATATGCACCTATCAATCTTGAGTCATCGCTACTGGGTTAAGCTGGGGGGTGGCTGAATCTTAACCCGGGCCAAAACCCTGCCAAAAATCCCCAAACACAGCAAAAGAGGTGTTTTAAAACAGAACTCGAGGCAATGTAGAACATCCAAATTTTGGGTCTGGAATCAGAGACACACACCACTCAGCTCAGATGTGCGTTTGATGACACCAAGATGTGGTTTAGCTCCTTCCTATCTCTCAAGCTAGCAGGGATTGAGGTAGCGGGGAAGAATTCAAACCTACGGGGTACTCGTTTCAGAGATGCCAAAGCAGCGATGATCAGGTGCCCCCAATGCAGACCTTTTTTTTATTATTATTCTGGACATCAAACAAAAAACAGAAGTCATCAGAACTTTGGGAACAGACAGGAAAACAAACCAATAATGGAGCATGAATTGGAATGGAGCTAAGGGAGCGCTGTCTTCGGCAGACGACGCAGCTCCCTCCCCAGCCCCTTCCCCAGCCCCTATAAATAAGTCAGATCTAGCTCACAGTGAAGAATGCAGTTGCTACAGAAACCACAGCTGGCTGCCAGAGGCGGAGGCATGGTTAACGGAACACAGCCTGGGAGATGAAGTGGACCCCTTGCCTGGTCTTCTAGTGCCCGCGGTTGATCACGATGTCATCATATTCCTCCTGGGAATAATAATAATAATAAATATATTATTTATAACCTGCCCATCTGGCTGGGTTTCCCCAGCCACTCTGGGCGGCTTCCAACAAAATATTAATAATTAATCTGATGTTAAAAGCTTCCCTGAACAGGGCTGCCTTCAGATGTCTTCTAAAAGTCTGGTAGTTGTTTTTCTCTTTGACATCTCGTGAGAGGGCATTCCACAGGGTGGGTGCCACTACTGAGAAGGCCCTCTGCCTGGTTCCCTGTAACTTGGCTTCTCGCAGTGAGGGAACCGCCAGAAGGCCCTCGGCGCTGGACCTCAGTGGCCGGGCAGAACGATGGGGGTGGAGACGCTCCTTCAGGTATACTGGATCGAGGCCGTTTAGGGCTTTAAAGGTCAGCACCAACACTTTGAATTGTGCTTGGAAACGTACTGGGAGCCAATGTAGCTCTTTCAGGACCGGTGTTATATGGTCTCGGCAGCAGCTCCCAGTCACCAGTCTAGCTGCCGCATTCTGGATTAGTTGCAGTTTCCGGGTCACCTTCAAAGGTAGCCCCACATAGCATTGGGGTAGTCCAAGCGGGAGATAACTAGAGCATGCACCACTCTGGTGAGACAGTCTGCTGGCAGATAGGGTCTCAGCCTGTGTACCAGATGGAGCTGATAAACAGCTGCCCTGGACACAGAATTGACCTGCACCTCCATGGACAGCTGTCAGTCCAGAATGACTCCCAGGCTACACACCTGGTCCTTCAGGGGCACAGTTACCCCATTCAGGACCAGGGAGTCCTCCACACCTGCCCACCTCCTGTCCCCCAAAAACAGTACTTCTGTCTTGTCAGGATTCAACCTCAATCTGTTAGCCGCCATCCATCCTCCAACCGCCTCCAGACACTCACACAGGACCTTCACCACCTTCGCTGATTCTGATTTGAAAGAGAGGTAGAGTTGGGTGTCATCCACGTACTGATGAACACCCAGCCCAAACCCCCTGATGATCTCTCCCAGCGGCTGCATGTAGATGTTGAAAAGCATGGGGGAGAGGACAGAACCCTGAGGCACCCCACAAGTGAGAGCCCAGGGGTCTGAACACTCATCCCCCACCAAGCAAAACAGAGCAAAAACCAAAAAAGCACCATCCATTTTACTATCACAGACTGTGGGGAGCAAAGGTCACTATCACCGTTGAATTCACTGCCTGCCCTTCACCAGGGCAGGTTGCAGCAATTAAAATTCAGCATTTATAGCACAGTGCGGTTACAGGAATAGGGGAGGGTCCTGAAAACCCACAGCTCAAGGGTCAAAGGCCAGGATTTAAAGAGCAGGGTTTTTAGAATTTGCCAAAAGCTGAATGGCTGAAGGAGCTTGGTGCATCTCTGAGGAGAGGGAATTCCACAACTTAGGGGCTACCACAGAGAAGGCCCTCTCCCTGGCCGCCTTGAACTTGCAATACAGGCAACTCCCCATTTACACGGGGGCTCGGTTCTGTGCAACCGTACGTTTAAGTGAAATCACATATATTGGGAACACCGCTGAAGAAGCCTGCAAACACCACAATTGCTCCCTCCAAACCTCTTTGCTGAAACTCCAACTCTCTACCGGCTTCAAAGGCTGGCGCAAGGGCTCTTTGGATTTCACTTGCAAAGGCTCGCAAGATTGCTAGACGCTGGTTTTGCGCCATTTTTGATGTTTTCGCACGCTTTTAGGGTCATTTTTGCCCCTTTTCGTGCCAGAGTAGAAAGGTTTTTGGCAGGCGTTTAAAAGTTGGCACAAAAGGTGCCTGCTGAATCTCCCTTGACAGGGTGTTCACAGGACTGAGCCAAGGACTCGAAAGTTTGGGTACCTCCTCGTTGTCAAATGAGCCTCGTTAACTTGGGGAACAACCACCAATGCTCCTGTAGTGATCAAGCTGGAGTGGAAGGGTTCAAGTCATCCTGGAGATATTCCAGGCCTAAGTTGCTCAGGGCTTGGTAAATTTATACAAGACTACAGAATTTAGACTGGCAGTTCCCAAAGTGGGTGGTACTGCCCAGGGGTGAAAAGCAGACGATGTTTTATTTTTTTGAAAGAGGGAAGTGGGTGTTGAAACAAAGCCGCTAATCCGCAAGCCATCGGGGAGGGAGATAAGGGATGCTAGCAATAAAGGAGGCTGCCTGGGTGGGGGGAGGTAAAGACAGGGAACTTGCAAGGAGAGGAGACAGGAAGACTAAAGCAATGAGGAGAGAAATTAGAAGAAAAGGAGGAGCAAAAAACTGCTCCAGCTGAGAAAAGACACTAAGGCAAACAAGAGGGAAGGGAGTGTTGAAAGGAAGCAGCTGATCAAAGAAAGCGATCGGGGAGGGAGATAAGGGACGCTAGCGGAGGCTGCCTGGGAGGTAAAAGCCCATGGATGCTCAGGATTTTTGCATTGGGCTACCCCAAACTCACTGTCAAATCACATGTCTGTGGCCACAGCATGAACCACAAAAATCATATATCCACTTTCGTTTAGAATATTATTTTTCTTGTTTTCCTCTAAAAACTAGGTGCGTTTTATGGTCAGGTGCGTCTTATGGAGCAGAAAATACGGTACATTGAATACTTTTACTTGGGTTTTGCAAAAAAAAATGTGCAGTTGTTACTGTTTGGAATTTTATTGTGTTATTATCTCGCTTAGTGGGCTGTCCAAACCGCTATTCTGAATAATGCTTTTTGCATGGTCGGGGGAACAGGGGATGAGTTTACAGAACCAAGGGGGCAGTGGGTCAAAAAAGGTCGATAAACCACTGGTTTAGACGATGGAGCCCTTCATATTTACTGACCATACATCCTTTTCCTCTCGACATGCTTCATTATGGACCCAGAGTGGTTAGGGCAACCCGGTGAGATGGGTGGGGTACAAGTAACAAATTTATTATTATTACTGACAGAAAACCAAACAGCTATATCCTATATTTCTTTATTGGCAACTGCAACAATTTACAATTTCCTTCGCCTGATTTTCCCTTCCGTTTATTTGTCTGTGAGTTGGTTGTTATTAAAAGTCGCTTTAAAATATATATATATTGGGGGATTGTAGGAAAAGACCTGCCAAGGAAAATAAAGAATTTATTTATGTACGCGACAATGGCGGCAAGAGTCTTGATAGCACAAGGATGGGAGAACGAAGAAACCCCAACAAAAGAACAGTGGCAAGGGAAATTGATGGACTATGAGGAAGTGGTGAAATTGACATACAAACTGTGAGACAAGGATAACTGTGGCTTTAAAGAAGAATGGGAGCTTTTTACAAATTACTAAAAAAAACAACACAAAATGATTTGGACTCCTTGGCAGGTTTTGAATAAACATACCCAAATTTATTATTGTTAACATGATAGACAATTTAAGGATTTTTACGATTTATAATATGCAGAGAATAATATGTGTTGAAAAACCGGAGAGAGGAGTTGAGGGAAGTCTGGGGGATGGTGGGTGGGTTTTTCTTGGGAGAGGGGGGAAATGGGGGGCAATGAAGATGATATGTTTTTGATAATTTATGATGTTGAAACTCTTAATTAAAAAATATATGTTGGGGGGGGAGGAAATGCGAAGCACCTGTAGCCCCAGATCTCATAGCTTGAGGGGTCTATTTTCCCCCCCAAATACTTTTTATTGCTTTTTTGTAACAACAACAAATAAAACAAATACTCATACAGTCAAAAAATTGTATGTCTTCTTATTTACCCTGCGCCTTATTGCGCCCGGACTTCCTTCCATCCCTTCAACGGTTTTCATGTCTCAAATCTTTTCTTACAGTTTCTTATATACACTCCATCCACATCACAAGATTTACAGTAATCCTGCTACAGTTTTTAAATTCTTACAATTACGCAGTATATATATGTTCAATAAATTTACTCCAATCCTTTTCGAACTTTGCTTCTTCTTGGTTCCGAATCTTATAAGTCAATTTCGCCAATTCTATGTATTCAAACATTTTTGTCTGCCACTCCATTAAAGTTGGGATTTCTTGGGATTTCCATTTCTGAGCCGCTAAGATTCTAGCGGCGGTCATTGCATACATGAATAGTTTGTAATCTTCCTTTTTTAATTCATCCCCTGTTATCCCTAGCAAAAATGCTTCTGGTTTCTTTGGGAAAGTGTATTTAAATAGTTTTTTCATTTTGTTATATATCATGTCCCAATATTTTTTTCATTTTTTCACACGTCCACCACATGTGAAAAAATTCACTGTCTTTTGTTTTACATTTCCAACACATTTTATTACTTACTCTATACATTTTTGCTAGTTTAACTAGGGTGATATACCAGCGGTACATCATTTTCATTAGATTTTCTTTTAGAGTGGAGCACGCCGTGAACCTCAAACCTTCCATAATTTTACCCAATCATCATAATCAATATTATAACCGAAATCAACTGCCCATTTTATCATAACTTCCTTTGTCAGTTTGTCTTTTGTATTCCATTCCAACAGATATTCATACATCTTTTATAGAAGTTATGTCCTATGCAGGGGATGCGGGTGGTGCTGTGGGTTAAACCACAGAGCCTAGGACTTGCTGATCAGAAGGTCGGCGGTTTGAATCACCGCGACAGGGTGAGCTCCCGTTGCTCGGTCCCAGCTCCTGCCAACCTAGCAGTTCGAAAGCACGTCAAAGTGCAAGTAGATAAATAGGTACCGCTCCAGTGGGAAGGTAAACGGCGTTTCCGTGCGCTGCTCTGATTCACCAGAAGTGGCTTAGTCATGCTGGCCACATGACCCAGAAGCTGTACGCCGGCTCCCTCGGCCAATAAAGCGAGATGAGCGCCGCAACCCCAGAGTCGGCCACGACTGGACCTAATGGTCAGGGGTCTCTTTACCTTTACCTATGTCCTGCCCTCTATAATTTCAATTTGATATCTTGATTTCCCCCCACTAAATCCTAATTTCTTATCCTTGTTTACTTGGTGGTATTGTAACCATCCCGTGAAGGCGTTCACTATGCTGTTATAGGGTTTTAACTTCCATCCTTTATCAGTCCTCCTTAATATTTCTTCATATGTTGCCCTCCTCCCTTCCATATTCATTTTTTTCAATGTTAGCACTTCTAACAGTGCTAACAGTGATAGCTGTGATAGCCCAAACTCACCTCGCTGTTGCTGTCCAAACTCTCCTCCGAGTCCCAGTCTGGCTCCTCTGAGCCAAACTCCCGCAAGAGCTGGGGGATCTTTTGGTCGGGCCGGTGCAAGGCGCTGTACATGGGGGTGTAGCCAACATACATGCGGGCCTCCGGGTCTGCTCCAGCGCGCAGCAGGTACTCCACCACCTCTGGGTTCTGAGACTCCACCGCCAGGTGAAGAGGACTCCGCCCACAGCTCAGCTCCTGCCGGCAAGACGGGAGAAGGTGAAGGGGACGCGCAACGCCTCGTGCTGGGAGCTCTGGGGTTGGCAGGTACGTTGGGCAAGCCATGGATCTGCCCCAGCTGAGCCACTAACTGGTTTTGACCTTTCAAGCCCTTCACGGCCTAGGACCCTCGTACCTACGGGACCGCCTCTCCCGGTTTGCCCCACGGAGAGCCTCAAGGTCCATAAATAGCAACACCCTAGTGGTTCCGGGCCCTAAGGAAGTCAGATTAGCCTCAACCAGAGGCAGGGCCTTTTCAACACTGGCTCCAGCCTGGTGGAACGCTCTGCCTCATGAGACCAGGGCCCTGCAGGATCTGATTTCTCTCCGCAGGGCCTGTAAGACAGAGTTGTTCCGCCTGGCCTTTGGATTGGAGCCAATTTGATCCCCCCACTTTCTTTTCTTTTTCCTTTCTCCTCTTGTGATGAGGCTGCCTTTTAATATTTTAATGTTTCAATATTTTAATTGCATTTTAATCTTGTTTTTAAGTTGTATTCATTCAACTTGTTTTTATTATTGCTTGTTAGCCGCCCTGGGCCCGGCCTTGGCTGGGGAGGGCGGGGTATAAATAAAAATTATTATTATTATTAACTAGTCCAGCCTTGGCTGGGGCTGCTGGGAGTTGTAGTCAGAGGCAGCTGGGAGGCACCAGGCGGGCAAAAGGGGCACTGGAGTGTCACTGACCGCTTCTTGAAAGGAAGGGCAGAGTCACAAAGGGGAAGAGGCGGTGCTAAAGGGGCGAAGCTCACACAGACAAAAATCAGAGGTAAGGACACTCGTGTCATATCAGACCTAGTCCAGCATCCTGGCCTCACAGGGGCCAACCAGAGGCCTGTGGGAAACCCATAAGCAGCATTTGAGCACAAGAGCCAGAATAGGTAACAGCCACTGGTAACCCTCTCCTCCATGAATTTATCTAATCTCCTAAAGCCTCTTTTAAAAGTGTTTCTTCTTATCTGTTGTAAATAAAAATATGCCCTTTTCCCTTATGGGGTATCCAAGAGCCCATATAGAGTCCTTACATAGGTTCCCTATCGGTAGGAGAGAATAACAGAGGCCAACCAGAGAATATTGAGAAGCAAAGCAGCTAGTAAGCCTGATCTTTATTAATCTGTTGCAACAGGGTGCTCCCCTCACACGCAGGAGAGGAAGAGGACCTCCAAAATGCTATGCAGGGCTTATAAAGACTTTTGAAATTCCCATCCTCTAGATCAAGACCACCCCAGAAACATTATGCATTCATCACAGAAGGGTGTAACCTAAGACCACTCCTCAGATAAGGCGGTCTAAAACAGAACATTTGCATGTTGTTATCTCCTGTCGCTTGTTTATTTCCTGTCTGGCAGGTTACTTGATTGGATTTCTTGGGAGCCTTGGCAGTCTCTTGTCATAAGGCTCACACCCTTATTCAGACACAGATTAAGACAGGATTTGTGAAGGAAGAGACAATCGGGAGGCTTTCCAGTTTTACCATGCAGAGAAACATTTGCTCAGTTTAGGAATCAAAATGGTTCCAGGTTGGCTTTCCTGTGCTGATCTATGTACGTGTGGTTATGAACGTTGCCATATATCTAAAACCATAAAATTCCTATCACATATCCCACTGCTGCTAGTTCACAGGGTGAATTAATTCAACACGCTTCTTAAAGGTGCTGGTGGGGGAAGGATGACTTTGTGTTGTTACGCAGTGTAGTGACCCGGTGGGATTGCTATGAGGAATTAAAACAAATATAGAGTAAGCCACCTGTGTCAGCAATGAAAGCATTGCGTTGACTGGGTTTAAACTATTTTGATATGATTCTTGACCAATCCACACCTCTGCATCCCTGTTCCATTTCTCTTTCTTCGCAAGTCACGTACACACTTAGACAGGCAGGCTCCTGGGTGGGCAGTTTCTTTGCTGTAGCTTTTCTGATATGTTAATCTTAGGATGTTAATCTTAGGGCCAGGAAACAGGTTTCACATAAAGGTGATAATGATCGCTGTCCTCCTGGCCATCCTTCTTATCATGTGTATTGATTGTTTATGACCTCCGGGATGCACTACAAAGGATGCACTCCTTTGTAGTTCTCTATTTACCCCAAAAGTATGCATGCTTAACTAGTGTTTGTAGTTTAACTTTGTCCCCACGTGGGGTTTGCTGAAATGCTCAGAAGAAATCTGATTGGTTCTTACGAACACTCTGTAAAAAGCTCTTTTGTGAATAAAACAACCTGGGCCGGAGGGTGGAGGCAGACACGATTATACGCACCCTTCCCAGAGTCTTGCTGGTTCAAGCCTCTGTGTGTATTCTTATTAATCAGAGTTCAATCCTTCCTTTACTTTGGGAACACCTCACACAGAGGGTTCCTTTTCAAGTGTACGGGAAAACAGCGTGCATACCTCCTGCAGGATAATCACCTATATGTGTCTATTTCACCACCGCCTCTGAAACTAACCGGTTTGTTGAGATCAGCTCCCCCGGAGATTAAGAGACTGACCACGTCCAAGTCTTTCCGCAAGACGGCAACATGCAGGGGCGTGAAACCTACGGAAAGAGAGATGGGACACAGTTTTGCAGCTGCCTGGGCACTGAGATGGAGAAACTACCTTGTGTAATGCGGATTTATAACCACCACCACAAAATGGCATGTGGAAATCCCAAATTAAGAAATGATATGGATCAAATACATTTGCATTCCTCCAAACTGAATTGTTCCTGCTGCAAAATTCAGAGTTTGGTTCCCAAGCTAAGGGAAAAACTGAGGTAGGCGCTGCAGTAAGAGGAAGGAACAGCACAATCTTGAAAAGGAACAAAAGAAGATGGGGAAAAGGGGGTGGGCGGAAATGGGAAACGGGCAAAAGTGTGTAACGCAAAAGTACGCGACGTTCGCAAATCCTCAACCACAAGTGGTGGAAACGAATGCATTCCTCTTTAACTGCCCGCCAACTTCCAAGTCTGATATTTTAAATAGCGTATTTTTCACTCTACAAGATGCACCAGACCACAAGGCACACCTAGTTTTTGGAGGAGGAAAACAAGAAAAAATATATTCTGAATCTCAGAAGCCAGAACAGCAAGAGGGATGGCTGCACAGTGAAAGCAGCAATCCCTCTTGCTGTTCTGGCTTCTGGGATAGCTGCGCAGCCTGCATTCGCTCTATAAGACATACACACATCTCACCTTACATTTTAGGAGGGGAAAAGTGAGTCTTACAGAGCAAAAAATACCGTATTTAAAGTTTGGAAGATCCATGCTGATCCATCTCATTCTCCCACCCATGATATTCACAAGGACTGCAAACTTTTGGCATTTTAAACCTGCTCTTCGCTAGACCCTACTGTCTCCATATTATGGAGGACTTCAACGAGACCAAGCAACTATTTCCCCTGAGGACCCAGGAGAGGTACCATCAAAATTGGTGCAGTCCAGTTGGGCCCGAAAGCCGCTCCCTTCGCAGGGCCTTTGCGCAACATGCGGTGCCAGGAGGATCTGCGCGCACTCCCGCTGCCCTTCTCGGCACGCCAAGTGCAAAGCGGTGTGGCCGCCCTTTTCCTGCACGCACAGACTGGCTCCCGCCGACACGAGCTTGCTCACAAAATCGGCAGCCCCCAGGATGACCGCGATGTGAAGTGCTGTCTGGGGAAGAGAAAACGAGAAAGAGCCTGAGTTCGAGAACAGCTGTCGCTCCTGGGATGACAAGGCAGAGGTGGGGAACTTGTGGCTTTCCAGATGTCATAATCTTAAGCATTTTCAGGAACTATACAACGGGTTAGTTTTAACCTTGATGGTCTTATACAGACTCAGGGAAGAGGAATCGGAGGGACCTCTTGCTCCCCTATGAACCTGTGCATGCGCCAGAGGCCCTTCCTCATCATGAGTGAAAAGGCAATAAGCTCAGGTAGAGCACCTGCCTTGAAAGCAGGCAGTTCCAGGTTTAATCTCCAGGTAGGGTCGGGAGAGAATCTTGCCTGAAATCCTGGTGAGTCGCTGCCAGCCAGTATAGTATAATAATGATGATGATGATAACAATAATTTATTATTTGTACCCAGCCACTTTGGGCGTCTTCCAACAAAGATTAAAAATACGTTAAAATGTCACACATTAAAAACTTCCCTGAACAAGACTGCCTTCAGATGTCTTCTAAATGTCAGGTAGTTGTTTATCTCTTTGACATCTGATGGGAGGGCGCCACCACCAAGAAGGCCCTCTGCCTGGTTCCCTGTAGCTTTGCTTCTTGCAGTAAGGGAACTCCCAAGGTCATAGTCCAGCACTCTAACCATTACACCACACTGACAATACTGAGCTAGATCAGGCATAGGCAAACTCGGCCCTCCAGATGTTTTGGGACTACAACTCCTATCATCCTTGACCACTGGTCCTGTTAGCTAGGGATGATGGGAGTTGTAGTCCTAGATGGACCAAAGATCTGAGTCAGTATAGGGCAGTTCTTATGTTCCTAACCATTTCTCCTTTTAAGGGTGAAACAAATCCTACCCAGAGAGAAACCTGGGAGCGGTGGTGCTGCTGCTTTTGTTTTGTTAAGTTTTAGGTTGCTGGTGAAGACTTTGATTTCATTTGCTGTTTCACTGCTCCTCTGTGCTTTAAGACTTATTTTTTAAAAATGCCTTCCTTTGCTTTTTGGGGGGGATTTCCAACCTTGTTTTCAATGAATGCCGCCTTGGAATTTCTAAACTTAAAAGTTCCAAAGTCGGTTTCTAAGTCTGCATAATTACGCAGACTGCTGTTCTGTACAGCGAGAGCTTGTGGCTCCTCCCGACGTGCGTTACGAGCTTCGGGAAACTGAGTCTCACAACAGAGCAGAGCAAAAGCGTGTCTCAATCCAACCTGTCCAAGGTCGTTCTGAATATCCAGGTAATCCGTCCCTTGGGTGTACTGCAGGATGGAATCCAGAAAGGCCTCGTGCTCGTGGATGACGGCCAAGTGGAGAGCTCTGGAAACAACAGGAAATAACAGAGGCTGCTGAGAGGAGCAAAAGTCTCTTATCGCTCAGGGGGGGAAATAAAACATTTTCCAACACAGACGGGGAATACAAAACAAGGAGACCTCAAGCGGCTGCAGCCTTCCATCATTTTGTGGCTGTCCAGAGTTTTCAAAAAGAGGACTATATTAGAACAAACTGTTCTCCAACTCAGAAGATGTTTAGAAACTTAAAAAATAAATAAATTGCAGCTCTACCCTACATGTTGTTGCTTGAATTAAGGCCAAATGTGTGCATAGGATTAGTATCAGAGTTCTCACTTGTGTTGTTTTAGAAATAGGCAGAGTATCGCCAACAGAACAGTCAGTGCTCATAAAATGGCACTTTGCAGGGTTACCCCTGCCCCCGGCAAAAAACAAAACAAAACCCAGAAGAGGACATAGTAGATACTGGCTTGCATGGGATCTGATCAGGCCTAGTCGAGTCTTTGTTCTAATTTTGAGATTTAAATAAGCCCACAAAAAGTAGCAGTCAGCTAATTAGTTCACTATCCAGCTCTGAGTCAGCTGATTAGTTTACTATCCAGTTCTGAAGTCACCTGCTTTCATGCTGGCTAGAGAAGGAAAAATGCCCCCTCCTCTGTGACCAGCATGCAAAATGAAATACCAGCCACTTAGCAGCCTGGTAAAAAACAAAACACTCCTCTCTTTTTCCAAACACTCTGTGGGGAGGAGGCAGAGCTTATTGCAAAGTAAGAACGGGAACCCAGCGAACAGACAGGGACAGAATGGAGAGAGAGACCATTCCTCCACTAGCCCATCCATTCAGCTGCACAGAACTCCTAGTCACCTGATTAGGCGTACCAGGTGTGTTTTTATATAAAAACCTGTTCTAGCCTACCAGCGCGGAGCTTATGTTTCAAGATGCCCCGACATCTCTGTGCAAATGCAAAAGCAAAAAGAGCAGGCCAGAAGGCAGCTCCTGAACTGCAACAGCTGGAAGAAGCCTCATCAGCCACCGGTGCCTGTAGCGGTGGTCGGAATCGGCGGCCACTACAGGCGCAGTGAGGCTCCTGAGCCAAAAAACCCGAAATCCTCATTCATGAGCAGGCAGATCGAAACCAGCATGCCCAGGCTCAGCAGACAGCAGTCGCAGACCCAAGGCAGACAGGAGAAATCTGCAGCTCTGTCCCCCTATTATGAGAAAGCCTTCTGATGCCGGTTTCCTTCCGACACAGAACAGTGGTACCTCGGGTTAAGTACTTAATTTGTTCCGGAGATCAGTTCTTAACCTGAAACTGTTCTTAACCTGAAGCACCACTTTCGCTAATGGGGCCCCCCGCTGCCGCCGCTGCACGATTTCTGTTCTCATCCTGAAGCAAATTTCTCAACCCGAGGTAATATTTCTGGGTTAGCGGAGTCTGTAACCTGAAGCGTATGTAACCCGAGGTACCACTGTACCTATATCTATCTACAGTGGTACCTCGGGTTAAGAACATAATTCGTTCTGGAGGTCCGTTCTTAACCTGAAACTGTTCTTAACCCTGAAGCACCACTTTAGCTAAAGGGGCCTCCTGCTGCCGCCGTGCCGCCACTGTGCGATTTCTGTTCTCATCCTGAAGCAAAGTTCTTAACCCAAGGTCCTATTTCTGGGTTAGCGGAGTCTGTAACCTGAAGCGTATGTAACTTGGAGCGTATGTAACCCGAGGTACCACTGTACGTACGTGTCCCCGTCCTCGGTGACGAAGCCCAGCACGTGGTGCAGCCAGGCCTCGGGGGCCACCACCGCCGAGGCCCCGTTCTCGAGGCGCACGGCCCCCACGCCGTCCACGATGGCTCCCACGTCCTCGTCACCTCTCAGGGAGTCCCCGAGGGCAGAGTCCAGCCGCTCCAGGTCATCCTCCTCTTCCTCTGAGAGCGCCTTCTGAGGGCCAGTGGGGCCCGAGGGGCCGGGGTCAGGGGTCAGGGCCCGGCGCCCAGGCCCCTCCTCCCCCTCGCCAGGGCCCACCAGGCCCGCGTCTCCCTGGATCTGGCCCAGCTGGGCCTCGCTGAGGGAGCCCAAGCCGCTGTCGCACCAGTCGTCGCCTTCCACCCGCTTGGGCTCCCGCGGGCCGCCCTGAGCAGCAGCTTCGGAGGCCATGGCGGGGGAGAGAGCCTACAGGAAAGGCCTGGAGGGCCGCAGGGCCATAGGGAGAGTCCGGGCAGAGCGACCCGCTGCCCCGCCGTCGCTCCTGCCTCACAGGGGGGATTTCAGCGGCCTGGGGAATCCCCAGACTGGCGTCTGGTCGGCGCAGTCGCAGAGAGGCATGCCGGGAGCCGTAGTTCTTTCCCCTTTCCCGCGGAGCATGCCGGGAGCTGTGGTCCCGGGCCTCTCAGCATCCGGGTCACTCGTCCCACTTCAAAGAGCCATGTTGGCTCTCTCGCAAGGCACGTCGGGAGCGGTAGTTCCCATGGGCAGTTTCTCTTTCTCCCCTTTGTTTTTAACCACCTATTCTTCACTGATGGGTAGTGAAGAATATTTCAACCCAACACTTCACACAAGGACGCTATTTGAAGTTTGAAGACGCAAAAAAAGCAGTTTGAAGACGCAAAAAAAGCAATTCCCCCCCGTCAGCGACCCATTTTTAACGTTACTTGCCGGCGCCGCAAGGCATGCCGGGATTCCCCCCTCTCGCTCCTCGGCGGCGACGGTTGAAAACAACACCAACCGCCCTTTCCCGGTGCATGCTGGGAGCCTGGCTGGCGATTGGCTGGCGCGCCGCGGTGCCTCCTGGGGGTTGAAGTTCTCCTGTCAGGGGACCTGACAGCGGCTCCATGGACAGCCGGGAAGGTAGCCTGTTGTGAGGGGGTTTGTTGGGGTGTGGGGGACGGAGCCCCGCACCGCTGAAGTAACCGCCGCCGCCTCTTCCTCCTCCTCACACTCCCCCTTTGTTGTGTCTTTTCCTGTCACAGAGCCCGGAGCCGCCTCCGCTGCCGCCGGGGAGGACGAGGAAGAGGCCGAGGCCGAGAAGGGCCCTGCCTCGTCGGTGAGAAGCTGGCAAAGGAAAAGGGAATTGGGTGGGAGGTGGGGGTCCCCTTCTCGTATCTCCCATGGGGGGTGTTTTTTGGGGGGGAAAGGTCTGGTCTGACCCCTCCCCCCGGGCCTGCCAGGCAGAGGTTCAACAGGCAGTTGCTGGACAAACAATATGAACTGGAATACAAAAGAGGGAGGTATGAGGAGGTCCAGAAAATAAGTAAATTTAAAGATGGAGATGAAAAGGTGATATTGTTTTTAATTGCTCTATTTTCCTTTTTTGTTTTGTGGTGTGTTTTTTTTTGTTCCTTTATAATTTTTTTTCTGTTAGATTATGTATTGTGTATTTTCGAATTGTGTATTTCTTTTTTATGTTTTATGTTTAATCTTTTATTGAAACTCTAATAAATATCATTTAAAAAACAAAACAGGCAAAGCCTCTGCCCCTCCCCTCCCTTCCTCCTGCCTTGACCAAAGTCTGTTTTTGGCCCTTCTCTTTCTGCGCTTTCGAGATGATCCAAAGAACCACGCGTTTCTCAGGAGGCAGTCGAAGGCAGCCCCATATCAGGAAGCTTTTAGATGTTTGACGTTTGGTTACGCCCAGAGCACAGCTGTCAACTTTTCCCTTTTCTTGCGAGGAATCCTATTCAGAATAAGATGTATCCTTATGAGGCTTTGCCCTCGGGTGGGAAAAAGTATTGCACCCGGGAAAGGGAAATGCGAGTCAACAGACACTCAAGGAATAGTTTTAGAGAAAAAGCTTTATTTATTTTTTTTAATGATATTTATTAAAGTTACAAAAAATAGAAGAAATACAAAATACAGAAAAAAGAGTAAATTTTTTTAAAATATAACAAATAAATAAAGAATAAAAGGAAACATACAAAATAAAACAGTTAAAAAAACATTAATTTTCCAAACCTATCTTCTCTAGACTTATTTCCCCGGACCTCCTCATACCTCCCTTTTTTGTATTCCAGTTCAGTTTGTTAGTTCAGCAAATCCTTACCATTAAACTTTTGCCCAATTGTAAACCTTTTTTTTCATATCTCTTAAAGCATTACAGCTAAAAAACCTCTTAGTTTCTATCCAACATCCTTCTAAGATTCATTAATTTTACAATATTTCTGTAAATAATCTTTAAATTTCTTCCAATCTTCTTTCACCGACTCTTCTCCCTGAGAAAAAGCTTTATTTCTACCATCCATGAACTGGTAGAAGGAGCAAGTGTGATAGATTCACAAAACAAGCACGAGTTCACAGCCATTTGCACAGAGTATAGATTCCCCTTCCAGTTCCCTCCCCTTTCTCCTCCTCCTCTAGAATCCTGCCTCATGAGTTCCCCTGAGCATGAACAGAAAGCTCCTGTTTTGGGACTCTTGTGGACTCTTGGCACCCTTCCCAGGAAAGGGGGGTGAGAAGCCTTGCGGTTCAGCATGTCCAAGATGTTGCAACTGAATGAGATAAAAGTCAGTTCTCAGGCTTGCTTTGAACAGAGCCTATTCATTAGCTTTTTGAAGCCTTCTCGTGCTGATAAAAGTAACAATTTGCCTTTGCCACAGCATCTTGTGAGAAAGCAGAGGAAAACTTTAGCTGTGGATTTTTAGAAGACAGAAAAGGAATTTTGGACAGTTTTGAGGCCTAGGTGACTTCAGGCCTAGGTGGGGCACCTGTCCTCACCTCCTTCACTATGGCCCAGACTGGCTAGGGAAACCCAGCCAGATGGGTGTGGGGGGTATAAATAATAAAATTATTATTATTATTATCACTCATACAGTAGAATCGTAGAGTTGGAAGGGTCATCTTCTGACATGATTGAGGGTCAAAGAGCCAGAGACTAACGTGGAGGATAAAATCATGATTTGGAATTATGAAAACATAAGACATAGGACTATGATGTGGAAAACGCTTTGGAATTCAGACCGTAGGAAGTAAAAAAAAATTAAGATTACTATTTGGAAGACAATTGGACTTTTTTATTATTTTTATTGGATTTGATTTGATATGTTAATTGGATGTTCTTATTGGAAAATTAATAAACACTTTTTTTTAAAAAAAGGAAGGGTCGTCTAGGGTCGTGCAAGGGAGGCCTTTTCCCACAGCTGGGCCAATGGTGAGCTGGTGAGCACCTGCCGGTTGACGGGACCGGCCACTCTGGGCGGCTCCCAACAGAATACTAAAAACACGATAAAACATCGAACATTAAAAACTTCCCTAAACAAACTTCCCTAAGAAAGAACTTGGTTTGATCCAGCACAACATTTTCTGCATTATTTGATTCACATTTTAAGAATTATGTAGCGCAGATGGGTTATGCCTCGACTGTTAGAGATCCCAAGAAGGAACAACTGGTTTGTAAATTTAATATATGACATTGTAGAGGAAGGAATCAGAGAATCCTAAGAATTGGAAGGTATCATCAAAGGTTCTCTAGTCCAGCCCTCTGCAATGCAGGAATCTCAGCTAAAGCATCCATGGCAGATGGCCACCCAACCTCTGCCTAAAAACCTCCAAGGTAGGAGAATCCACATCCTCCCCAAGGGAGACCGTTCCAAGCCCTCTCTTCAGCGCTCAGTCGGAGCAAACGTCATTTGGGGTTTCCAGCAGGTCACTGTTTGCTCTGATTCAGCTTTAAAGAGTGGGTATTCACGGGGAACGCTCCTGAGCGAAAAAGAAAAACGAAAGCACTTGGACTCAGAGATTTAAAGCACAGAGAGGATCATGCCTGGAAAGACTGGAGGAAAGGCAGGTGTGGATAAGTCCTCATAATTTCACCTTTCGGAATTTTAATTACTGTTAGGTGGCTGTGGCCACTGTGTTCTCTATGTAGATCCATGGTGAAGAGATTTCATATGTCAGAAAGAAGTGAGCAAGTGAACTGTTAATTGCCATGGAGGAGCAATAAGTAGTGAGGTTCAGTTATTCAATGGTAGGTTAAGGTTAAACAGTAAAACAAACTTCACAGTAGCTTAGAAACAACCTTTTCCAACTTCATTCACCTTTCCTTCCTATTTTTTTTGTACAGGATTCAGATTCTGACAACGAAGCCGGAGCTTCTGGTGAAACTGAAAGTAGGTGTCCCATTTGAGGGGCTCCTATGTATGGGTTTGGGCCTGTGCGGGTGGAAGTTTACATCAGTGATGCAGTTGACCACAACGTATACAAAATAAAGGCCACAGATACCTGCATAAATCTGAAAATGTACTGTCATTATGTCACCTTGACTTGTATAACTTTCTGGCTAAGGATGCTAGTCTAACCCTACTTATCTGGGAGTAAGCCTCATTGACTTCAGTAGCACTTACATCTGAGTAGACCTGGCTAGGGTTGTGCTGTAATATCTATTTTCACTTAAGTACATGAGTTTTTCCTTCAGAGCAGCCTGTGGTTCATTCTTTTGACTATAGTTGCAGACTGGAAGCAATGTATTTTTAGGCACTTGGAATTTCAGCCGTCAGGTTAGCAGTGCACGTTCCTTCCCATATCTGATAACTCATGAGTTAAATCAGCTACCAAGGAGACCCTTTCAAGTTCCTAAAAACCCTTCTGTATTTAAAGCTTTTTTTCAGAAAGGTGTGGAGCTGACCCTATGATTAAGCAATCCTTGGGCAACCTTGGGCAGCAAATTGGTCAATTTTGTTTACTATTTTTACTACTTTTAAAATTTTGTCTCTGTTGCCAAAATGTTTTTGTCAGTCTCTGGGTGGAGAAGCTGCAGTCTCACACCCATTATTGATCTTTTGTGTTGAAAAATGAAGCTGTTATTGGGAAGAACCAGTTTCTAACACAGGTCTTTCCCCTTGCCCCTCAGATTCCTACTACCGGTATCTCTTTCCGTTGTAATGAAAGGTTTAGTTTTGACTGGAGATCATTAGCAGTGCATAATAGCAGGCTTTTGAGCAACACAAACTTTTCTGCAGGCAAGATCTCATAATATAGTCCAGAGGTTCTGGACATTTGAGATTCATTGTGTCTAACTTTATGGAGCTCTCTCTCTCTTGCCAGTGGATTTTCTACGAAACCTCTTGTCCCGAACACTGGGCTTAGGCAGTGAGAAGCCTGAGAAGGTGCTGGATGAGCTGACGCTGGATGGTGTGAGCAGGTTCATGCTGTCTGAAAAATGTAAGCCAGCACTCCGTTTTCAGGTGGGCTTGGACCTGGGTGGAATTCTGGCAGCCTCTTGGTTTAACGCCCTTTGCCAAGCCACCAAAAAACACTGACATGAAGCAGTGCTAAGATAAAGCTGAAACAGACCTCTTACTTTTAGAAAATTCATCTGGGCCAAAGCTCAGCCTTTTTTTATTTCTAGAGATACTAATAATTTTTATATATTTATTTATACCCCATCCTTTCCCTGACTCAAGGTGGCTTACAGATAAAATCACAGAATTGTACAGTTGGAAAAGACCTGAAGGGTCATTTAATCCAACCCCCTGCAATGCAGGAATCTCAGCTAAAGTATCCACAACTGGTGTAAACCAGTTGAAACAAATAAAGACCAAAAGTAGGAGCCCACAGTATTGCTACAGGGCTGGGGATAGGTGTGAGACTGTTATCATCTAAACAATGGAGATTTAAAAAGTGCTTCCTTCTTTTTTTGTTGTAGGCAAGAAGGTAGTATGTATGGTGGGAGCAGGAATCTCAACTGGTGAGTTTCACAAGGGCTATTATTTTTGGTTGTGTCAAAAGGAAGGAATAGAGCAGGCTGCATTTCTGGCCAGCATGTAATGTGTGTATGTGTCAGAGGCCTCTCTAGTCACAACAGTGATATATAATCCCACCTATGGAGGGGCGCTGACACTTCTTAAATAGAAATGTTCATCTGTCTTTCCAGAGATGAGGGTCAGCGTAGAATGAGTTGCCTTCTGCTGAGTCTGTTGGTTCACTAGCAGCCTAGTACCAGCTATCCAAGGTCTTTTCCTGTCCTGCCACCAAAGATTTGTTTTATAAACTAAGAGATGTGATTGGACCTGAAAGATTCTTCATGCATATCATGCGTTCTGCCACTGAGCCATGACTCCTCCCAGGATAAAGTAGCTAAAGGCTGCACACCTAGCATGTGTATGTTTTAAAACTCTGTAGTATTTAGGGTGGCCAAAGATATTTGTCTGATGTCAAGGAATCATTACCCAGTATTGATAACCAAGTCTATTAAATTGGATCAGCACTTGATACAGATATCCTTCGCCTAAAATATTGTTTGTGACCAGTCTGGCCTCTTTTTAAGCTGCCTGCTTAAAAAGCCTTCCAGGCAGGTTCCTGATCTTCACTGCCAATGTGCACCTACCAGGGAAGAATCAGGTGTATTCAAGGGCAATGCTGAAACCCAACAGGTCTGTTGATTGTCCCCTGTGAGATGTGCACACATTGAAACCTGTCAGAACCCTCTGTATCACAAGGAGTTTTCTTGACAGACAAGTCAATGTAGAAAGTGTTCTTCATGGTGATTTTTTCAAAATAACTGGCTTAGGTCATACTCTAAGTTTAAGCTGGACTGATCCAGCAGGGCTCTTCTTGTGTTCTCTGTTTGAATCGTAGAATCAAAGGGTTGGAAGGGACCCTGAGGGCCAGCCCCCTGCAGTGCAAAAAATCTTCTGCCCAATTTGAGGCTCAAACTCGCAGCCCCAAAATTAAGAGTCTCATGCTCTAACAACTGAACTATCCATAGTTTCTTCTTCCGTTCTTCTGTTGTACTGGGGTTGAAACCAATAAAGCACCAAACATACTTCCCAGCTTAAATAACGCTGGTGTCAATACATGCGCACATCGGATGAATCTTAACCAGGGTCCGGGGGGTAGGGCAAGTCTCTGGTAGGATTTTCCAACTACTGAATTTCTTAACAAAGTGACATTGTACCTCTCAGCTGCAGGGATACCTGATTTCCGCTCACCAGGCACGGGGCTCTATGCCAACTTGCAGCAGTACAACCTGCCGTACCCTGAAGCCATCTTTGAGATCAGCTATTTCAAGGTACCACACTTAGCCATCTGCCTGCAAGCTGGCATCAGCTGAAAACACCATGTTTGATTGTTTTCTCTTTGTGCGACTGATTGTATTTCTCTGCCTTGATTTAGCAACACCCAGAGCCATTCTTTGCCTTGGCCCGAGAACTGTACCCGGGGCAATTCAAGGTAAGCTTTCTTTTGCATTGTCCCTAATTTAGAGTTAAAACATGGCTCAGGGAGAGGGGATTGGATATCATATGTTTTGGGAGGGTTTGGGGTTAGGGAGGTCAGGACTCCCAGGTTCTGTCCCCAGATTTCAGCCAGGACTGTAACTTCTAACTTGTTTGTGGATTTTCTTGATGTTTTAAAGTCTCTTGGGATGTTTGAGACATTTTGATTTTTTCCAGCAGTTCACTTTTAACTTTTGAGGGAAGCGTTCACTTCTTTTGGACTTGGTGCCATGGATTTAAAGAAGGGAAAGCTATATGTCTCCTCCTCGTTTTCAGCACAGCATATGTAGGAGGCAGCTTTGTGTCAAAGCCATGTATACCTGTTTGCAGCTCTGGTTTGTGGAGCAAGATGGGAGCTGGATTTCTCCAGGGTTTTCTTCCCAGTTTAAATGAGTTGAGGGGATGTGGATCTTGAATCCGGAAGAGGGCTCCTGTTGGTGGGAAGAGCACAGGGGAAGTGAAAAATGTTGCCCCATTTGCTTTCTCTAATAATAATAATAAATAAATTTTATTTATACCCCACCCTCCCCAGCCAAGACCGGGCTCAGGGCGACTAACACCAGGTATAAAACAATTGATTAAAATACAACTTAAAAACAAGACTAAAATAAACATTAAAATGCAGCCTCATTTCAGTAGAAACTCAAATCAAAAACTTTTTGGGGATGAAAACGTCAAATCTTCACCAAGGCCAACTATCCAGACTGGTCCTACGTGGGCCAGAAAAAAGCCAGGGAAGTCCCCAAATAGGAGTTCCATCACAGAAGGAGAAAGGAAAAAGGAAAGAGGGGGAGGGGATCAAGTTGATTCCAAGCCAAAGGCCAGGTGGAACAACTCTGTCTTACAGGCCCTGCGGAAAGAAATCAGATCCTGCAGGGCCCTGGTCTCATGAGGCAGAGCGTTCCACTAGGCCGGAGCCAGTGTTGAAAAGGCCCTGGTTCTGGTTGAGGCTAATAAAATAATAAAATGCTAATTGCATGCAAATAGGCAGCAACAGGAAAGAGCAGGAGCAGCAGGATCGGGAAGCTCCAGAGAGTAGCAGTTTGGCCCTGGCAGGAGTGCCTAGCGATGCCTGCCCTGTTGCCAGCCCTGTTCCTTGAGTTCCAGTAAACCACCGCCTACCACATCTGTTTCCAAGAATAGTGGCTTAGCCTGGGGCTCTGCTCTTTTTCAGCCCACGGTCTGCCACTACTTCATGCGACTCCTGAAGGAGAAAGGGATGCTGTTGCGCTGCTACACACAGGTGGGTAAAACCAACCTTCTCGTGGATCACAAAAGAGGGCAAGTGAATCTTTCAGCCTAGAGGACTTAGGCTTTTTTATTTTAAAATGTTGGAAACATCTGGTGAGCCTGGTGGTATTGCTCTGCAGGCCAACCCTGCTTCCAGAAGTCACTCTAGATGGATAAGAGGGAAGATTGGAGGTTAGTATCCCAGAACTCAGTGGAAGCAGAGCCGACCATCAGCCCTTTAGCCATTCCTGGTTCTTTCTTCATTGCATGGCATACAAATAGTAAAAATGCTTCAGCAGGAAGGATATGCAGCCCCAATGCCAGAACCACTTGTCTCAGTCAGTAGTTTGACCTCTGTTCCCTTTGCCCTGTTACAGAGCAGGAGCCTTTGACACATCAGAAGCATCTCTTAGAATTGTGCTCCTTGTTGCTTGCTGCCCCTAGTCAGCTTTAGCTCTTATGTGGGCAGCCATTTGGGCTTAGAGAATTTCTCCCGCTCACTTGTCCTGGACACTTTCTCTGTCCTTCTCAGAACATAGACACCTTGGAGCGGGTGGCTGGCCTGGATCAAGATGACCTCGTGGAAGCTCACGGCACCTTCTTCACTTCCCACTGCATCCATTCCGGCTGCAAAAAGGCATACACCCTGGAGTGGATGAAAGGTGATGCTCCATAGTGTGTGTGTGTGTGTGTGTGTGTGTTGCAGGGGGTGGGGGGGAGGGCAATCATGGGATCCTAGAGGGAGGACTGAAGGGGTATACAATAGAAATAAAACTTCCTTTGGGGAAATCCTGTGGAATCTCTTGGACGTGGCTTTGATACCTTTTGGTAGAGAGGAAGTAATGTGTGATAGGTTGCCACTTCTTGGTGGTGAGATAACCGTGGTTTCCATACTGTGTGAATGCTGCTGCTGAAGGGGGCACTGCTGCCTGTGATTTCAGCGTGCCAATTCGGTCACCCAAGGTATAAAAGAGTAGCTGCTTGTTTGCCCAGTATGGAGGCAAGTGTGGGTGTGTCAGAAAATGGGCTTACTGCCCGTGGGCTGCTTTCAGTTACATTTTCTAGCATTCCAGACCTCTTGTCTGTTTCCTTTCAGAAAAGATCTTCTCGTCTCTCATTCCAAAGTGTGAGAAATGTCAAAGTGTTGTGAAGCCAGGTGAGCTTATCTTCTGAAATGTCACCTCCCCCCAACCCATCTCAAAATCCTTTGTCGTAGATTTGATTCAAACACAAGGGCAGAGGGGTTAGAAATTTGCTGCAGCTGTTTTTTGTTTCTAATGAAAACTGAGATTATCAAGGAGTTGCAGTCTATTCTCTCACAGAATCTCTCCACTCATGCAGTACTGACTTTCCCCCCTTCTCTACTCAGATATCGTGTTCTTTGGGGAGAACCTGCCCTCTCGTTTCTTCTCTCTGATGCAGTCAGTAAGTGTCCTGGTTGCTTTTCCCTCAGAGTCAGGATTCTTGTAGCCCCATATTCACAGGTCTGCAAAGCCCCATGACCTCTGGATCCTTAAGTTAACTGCTGAAATTTGCACAAATGCACTAGATATTGAATCGGTGGTAAATTTTGTGGCTTTTTTAAATGTATTTTGATTGGGTTATGTCAGTTTACTATATTGTAAGCCTCCCAGGGTTTATGTAAAGAGGGAACATGGATTTTTAAAAAAGAAGTGTTGACCAGAAATGGGAGCACAGCTCACCTTGTGAATGTGCAGAGCAGCTTCAGAACTGCGCCCCTCCATAATTCGCATGGGGGAGGCCTGCAGCAGAGAGCTGCTCAGTCACTTTGGAGTGAGAGGAGAGTCAGTGATCTCAGTGGTTGGAGTCCCCTTAGTGACTACCCCAGGAAGCATTGTCCTTGCTCTCAGCTGGATCTCAGTGATGCTGTCACAGAGCCAAATCTGTAGGCTGTGTAATGCTCTGACAGGCCTACTATATCATTCTAGATGGCTGGGATTAGTAAAAGATTTATCAAGGGGTAGGGAAAATGGAAACAGCAGATTGGGCTATAAATAGGTACAAAAGAGAAGTCTTTGTCGAGGGGGTTAAGAAAAACCCTGCACCAAAGATGCTCGTGAGGAATTAATGCATTCAGAGCAGCCCTGTAAATAGGGTATAATCAACTCTTACATTGTTCACTGTGGGCTTGTTAGCTCAGCACACTTCACTTTGTGGCCAGAAATCCCTCTGTGTGCAGCACGCCAGCATTTAATGCTCATGCATTCCAGGAGTCTGTGGTTTTCTTCTCTGCTGAAGGGCTGCAATTGCTTACACCCTCATGGGCTTTGAACCACAGAATTCTCCCGTGAACTGTAATGAATGTAACTATGTTCGAATCATGTGCCTTGTCTAGCCCAGCAAGTAGATGATAACTGGGTTCAGGGCAATGCACCCAAAGGGTGCAAATAGCCTCCTTGTGGTTTTGGAGAGGAGAGGGGAGGTACTGAAACACGGCTAGAGAGCTTGCGGCGGTATTTCTGTGGTGCTCACAATCCTTCACAGCAGCCCCCCCCTCTCCTTCCCTCCTGCTTGCAGGATTTCCGTAACGTGGACTTGCTTATTATCATGGGCACCTCCCTGCAGGTCCAGCCCTTTGCCTCTCTCGTCAGCAGGTAGGTGAACTTCTGCCATGTAGGCAGTGTGGCTGAGGGGTGACTGTTGCTTGTTAAAGCAACACTACCATAGCCATTTTTTCCTTTCTCCTTTCAAGGGTACCAACAAACACACCGCGGCTCCTGATCAATAAGGAGAAGACTGGAGAGGTAAGATCAGGTGTGGTACAGACTATGGCCCTCTGCGATGTGGTATTCTGGGTTGAAAAGCTTCTCAGGTACCGGAAGTAATTGCTTTTGTTACTGTAATTGCAGCAGGGAGAACATTTTCCTGACACCAACTTCTACTCTGCTCTCATTAGGAATGGTGGGACACGCAAGCAAGGTTTAGAGGCTGTGGTTTTAATGACATCAACTCTCTGTGCAAATCCAGTTTCCAGTAATGGTTATTTTCATAGTTGAGTGCTAATGGGGACCTTGTTTACAGTTGCACAAAAACTTGACCAAGATATCAACAACAACTTAGTCTCTTGAGCAAGTGATATATAGGGGCAGAATTGGAGCCTTCCATGAAGACAGTTAACTTTAAGACTTAATCAGTGTGATGATACTGATAAGGACAGTGAAGAATCCATGAAACAATCATTCCCTCTCCCTCCCAGTGATAGGTACCATCTTGGAGCCATTGAGAGACTCTTTTTATGCTTTCTGTCTCTTTGCAGAGTGATCCTTTCATGTCCCTGATGGGCTACGGCTGTGGAATGGACTTTGATTCAGAGAAGGCATACAGGCACGTGACCTTTGGGACTGGGCTGGGAACAGAAGCTGAGCCAGTGATGCTACCACTGGATGGTGGGGGCCCGGGGTGTTGCTCAGAACAGAGCAGTTAGTAAAGTGGAGGCTCTTTGGCAAGAGGACATGGTGTCTGGGTTGTACCTCTCTTGAATCTGCACTGTTAACGCTTTGTGAGTGAGTACAGTAGCCTAGAAGCACAGATGGTGACCACTCTCTCTTTGACTCATTCCCAGTGAGAGCCAATGTGGTGTAGTGGTTAAGAGCGGTAGACTCGTAATCTGGCGAACCGGGTTCGCTTCCCCGCTCCTTCACATGCAGCTGCTGGGTGACCTTGGGCTAGTCAAACTTCTTTGAAATCTCTCAGCCCCACTCACCTCACAGAGTGTTTGTTGTGGGGGAGGAAGGGAAAGGAGAATGTTAGCTGCTTTGAGACTCCTTCGGGTAGTGATAAAGTGGGATATCAAATCCAAACTCCTCCTCTTCTTCTTCTTCCCTTCCATCTGTAATTTTGGGATGATAACACTGACCTTGCAAGGAACCCCGAAAGAATGTACGTGAATTGTTTTGAGTGTTTAGAGAGCACTGTATGTTGTTCACTAAAGCATAATTCTTTTGTGGGGGGCCTTCCATCTTCTCTTGTAGGGATGTTGCCTGGCTTGGAGACTGTGACGAGGGCTGCCTGGCTTTGGCTGAGCTGCTAGGATGGAAGGTACCTATCCTGTTAAGGGACCACTGGGGTGCAGCCCAGATCAAACATAAACAGGTTGCATTTGGGTTTTGTCTCATCTCCTATCTAGACTTGCCATCCTTACAGCAGCTCCCTTCTACCTTGTCTCTCAGTGTGATTCCTAGCTTGATTTCTTTTCTTTCAGACGGAGCTGGAGGAACTGGTGAAGAAGGAGCACGCTGCCATAGATGCCAAGTCAGGCGGGGCGAGTGCCTCCCACCCTCTAACCAAGGAGCAGAAGGAAAAGCCATCCCCAATGAAGGAAAAGCCTCCTGACAGCAAAGAGTGAAGAGGTTTGACAGGACAGGAGGGACGTTTGCTGTGGAGGAATTAAAAATCAACGTGACCACAGGCTGAGTGATCCTTGTGGCTTGTTGACTTGCCTGACTTGACTTCTGTAAGCCCAGGATCAACAGAAATATTCTTCTTGGGAGATAATGAAGTGGGGAATCCAAGCTGGGTTGTGGAATGGAAGTGAGGAGATGCCCAGGTAGCAACGCACAAAGTCTTTCTGCTGACTTTGGGGGTGTTTGATTGAAGCCCTAAATTGCTGGAATCATGAGCGAGAAGGTGGATTCTTGAATTAGCAATATTAATATTTCTTTGGGGTTGAGTTCCATTCATTTATGCTTCTGTTTCATTTCTTAACTTCCAACTAACCTGTGCTATGTCTGAAGGCCGATGGAGGGAGTGATGAACAAAACCAGCCTTGGTCTTAACTATGCCCTCTCGCTCTTTTTCCTGGAGAACAGATTCTTTCTTTGGCACCAGCGTGGCCAAGAAAGGCAGGTGGGGAGAGTGGTTGTCCCGAGGGGGTTATCTGATAACCCTCTTGACCTTTGGAAGGTTGCAATTTTGCAAGAGTACTTTTAAGCTTTTGCCTTGATTGTTTTGCATTAAGCTATTATAAGTGGCAATTAAATTCAAGCACCTTGATCGAAGGACAGGATATTGTGTCTCTTTGCTCTGCTCCTTCAAGCACTTCCTCCCATGCAGGGCCTTTTCTGGTTGGGCTGTTGGATTGTAAGTGTCTTTGGTTGCTTTTTATTATATAACCTTTCCAAAAGAAAATCGGAGTAGGTCTCAGCAGATTAAAAAGCAAATATTAAATTGCCCATTTAAAATTGGATTAAAATAAGATAATGTCTGGGTGATGTTAAAAATACCAGCCTAGCCCTTTACAGGACCCCAGAAGCCAGCCCATAATTTCCAAAAGATGCTTGAGTTTCCAGTACTCCTTATGAAGAAAATTCCCTTTTCCTACTGGACAGCCTTGGCACAGATACGCACAAATGTGCGTATTGGCATAGACCCCATTATCGCTGTTTATTTGTACGCCACCTTTCCATAGCAGACCATACTCCAGGCGACTCACCACACCAGAAGGTTTACATAATTTGCTTAGTTATGGGACATAACAAAATTTAGGTAGTCACAAACAATAAGCTAATGAAAACATCTTGTGTTAGTAAATATACAGTAGTATTACAGTGGCAATTCTTAATAAGGTCCAGCAATAAAAATTCAAGAACATAAGCCAGATAACGGCAAAAATGATTCATCTCAAAAACAAAACCTTGGTCCCAGCAGTAACCCCTGAACAAGGCTCCACCCTGACAGTCTCTAGGCATTGTGAGCAGCAAAAGCAGCAGCCTTTGTGGCTGGAGTCAGTCAGGGCCTCTGCCCTCCCAGGCCAGGTGGGAATAGGCCAGGCAAGGCAGGGAGCAGGGTTTGCAGGACTCGCAATGAGGTGATGAATGAGCCAGAGGCTACTTCCATTGTCAGATGCCTTGTGCTATGCCGCAGCTTCATAAATCCTTTCTGGGTGGAGATGTAAGGTAAAGGTAAAGGGACCCCTGACCATTAGTTCCAGTCGTGGCCGACTCTGGGGTTACTGCTCTCATCTTGCTTTACTGGCCGAGGGAGCTGGCGTACAGCTTCCGGGTCATGAGGCCAGCATGACTAAGCCGCTTCTGGCGAACCAGAGCAGCACACGGAAACACCGTTTACCTTCCTGCTGGAGCAGTACCTATTTATCTACTTGCACTTCGACGTGCTTTCGAACTGCTAGGTTGGCAGGAGCAGGGACTGAGGAGGAGGAGCTCACCCCATCGCAGGGATTCGAACCGCCGACTTTCTGATTGGCAAGCCCAAGAGGCTCAGTGGCTTAGACCACAGCGCCACCCACCTCCCATGGGTGCAGATGTATCCCTGATTAAATAGCTCCCCCTACAGTGAAGGTGGGAGCATCCTTGCAGTGTTGAGGATCCGTGTGAGAACCTTGAAAGACATCTGTGATTTATTTGTAAGAAGATCCAAATGGGCTTACATTTGAAATCCTAAATTGAACAACAAAGACAGTAACATATCAGAGTAAGACCACCCAATGAAGCCATTAAAATGAGAGTTGGCACAAAGCAACACAATGGGTGTGTGTGTGTTTAGAATCATTCAGTATAGACGAAACTGCCACAATAAAAGGAGCTTAGGAACAACTATGTGTGCGGCTCATGGGAACCCCTCTGGGGAGAGACTTGTGGAGTCCAGGTTTTGCAACGCTGAAAGGGTCCAGTCCTGTGTCTCCAATCAACTACGGTACCTGCAAAGGTGGTGGGGAACTGAGCAGGGCATCTGACGTTGACGGCAGGTGGGCTGGCAGGTTCAGGTGGGAGGTGGCAGCCCTTCAACTACTCTCCTTCCAAAACATTTAAGGAATCGATTAGAACTTCCAATACCTTGTTCTCAGCATTGTAGTCCCTGATTTTTTCTGATCTCATGGGAATCCACGCACATTTACAAATCCTACAGCGACGTCTAGGCTGGCTTGGTCATATCTACAGAATGGAAGATGACAGGAGGTGCTCTGTCTTCCAGCAACCGAGCCCATCAGCAGACCAACTGGGCATTACAAAGATGTCTGCCAACATGACATGAAGGCTGGCAACATTGACCTCGCCATGTGGGAATCTTGCAGTGCCTGGAAGCAGTCAGTCAGGTTGTGCATCCATAGCAGTGACCGGAGGAGGAATGACCGCTGGGAGAGAGCGCAGAATGAAGAAATGCTATTATACATAGGCAGCAGCGCAAGCGGACGCCTTCGTTTGCCCCAGCTGCTAGAAAACATGTCTCCCCTGCATCAGTCTCTACAGCCACAGCAGGCGCTGTAACTCCAGCAGCTTGACTTCATCCCTGAAGGTGCACTCTTCCTTTGTCTCCTAAGGCAAATGGATGCCAACCAGAAGCCAAGCACCCCAAGGTTGCTTGCCCCTTGCTCTGTTCTCTCCTGCCAGAGGTTTTCAAGCACTTTGGGTGGGTGGGGGAACAAATGGAAGGTATCTTTCTCAGGTGTGCTTGTAGAAAAGCCAGATACCTGTGCTTGTAGAAAAGCCTCTGCCCAGCAGATACCTGTATGTGTTTCAGGCTTTTCATGTTCTTAATTAAACCTGCTCCCTTGTATAGTTTTAGTTTTAACAACTGGCTTCTGCTTCAAAATGTGATGAGAGTGGTATTCAGTGATGTGACAGAGGCTGTGAAAACCGGCTTTAACGCCCTACTCCCAACTCCCACCTTGCTTTATTGTTGTTGTTTAGTCGTTTAGTCGTGTCCGACTCTTCGTGACCCCCCTGGACCAGAGCACGCCAGGCACTTCTGTCTTCCACTGCCGCCCGCAGTTTGGTCAAACTCATGTTTGTAGCTTCGAGAACACTGTTCCACCATCTCGTCCTCTGTCGTCCCCTTCTCCTTGTGCCCTCCATCTTTCCCAACATCAGGGTCTTTTCCAGGGAGTCTTCTCTTCTCATGAGGTGGCCAAAGTATTGAAGCGTTAGCTTCACGATCTGTCCTTCCAGTGAGCACTCAGGGCTGATTTCCTTCAGAATGGATCGGTTTGATCTTCTTGCAGTCCATGGGACTCTCAAGAGTCTCCTCCAGCACCAGAATTCAAAAGCATCCTTTCTTTGGCGATCTTCTTTATGGTCCAGCTCTCACTTCCATACATCACTACTGGGAAAACCATAGCTTTTACTATATGGACCTTGCTACCCCTCCATTATTCCTGTGCTTAGGAAACGTGAAAAATGTAACAAAAGAACAGCCAAGGCCATTTGGGGTTTTCCACTGCAGGCATATCCCCGCCTCATTTTAGAACCAAGCACCTTCCTGTTCTTTGCATTCGGGACCTCTTAATCCCCGTAAGAAGCGCTTGTGGTATTGTGTTGGGCCAAAGAACAACTACAAGAGCAGGAAGTGACTTGCAGGCTCAAGGGCTGGCATCTCTTGGGTGGCAACATACACAAAACATTATGCCTCTGAATACAAGGTGCAGGGAGCCCCAGGTGGGCAGAACACAGCTGTGGTCAGCTGCTATGGGAACAGGATGCTGGCCTAAACGGGTCTCCTTTGGCCTCATCCAGCAGTCTCGTCTGAAGTTATTTAAATGCATTCAGCTGCCTTGAAGCAGACCAAAGCACCACGAAGTAGGCAGATATGTGTGGGACCCCAGGAGACCAGATCAAGAGAAGCAGATAGGTATGTTTTGGAATGGTGTGGAGTTGGGAAAATAGAAATCTGGTTCCAAGTTGTTGGGTCCGGACACTTGAGAAACAAGAACGGCTTTCCGGAACTGTTGCAGAGAGAATTTGGAGCAAATGTTTATGCAACAGAAAGCGGAGTCGGTAAACTGCGAAGGTAGTGGAATTTCTACCTGTGCTTTGGTTTCCTTTCCACCCCCTCCTCCCCCTCACCCGTTCCCAGGTGTTTACTGCTCCACTTGCTGATCTTAATCACCTTCCTGTGCCCTCCATCCTTCCTCGTATGACAAGAACAAGATGCCTCTCCCCACCCCTGAAAAAGGCTAAGAAGCCGCTATTTTGTTTTATCAGCATTTAGCACTTTCAGATACAGCGGTACCTTGGTTTACAACCACAATCCGTTCTGGAGGTCCAGTTGTAAACCAAAACAGGTTGTAACCCAAGGCGCGCTTTTGCCAATGGGGCCTCCAAAAATAAAAAAAGGGTTGTAATCCCAAAAAAAGGGTCATGCACTTTCGGGTTTGACGCTGTAATCCAAAACAGTTGCAATCCAAAACGGTTGTAATCCAAAACGGTTGCAAACCAAGGTACCACTGTATAAGCAGTTTCCCAAAGCGGTTTACAGTGGTACCTCAGATTAAGTACTTAATTCGTTCCGGAGGTCCGTTCTTAACCTGAAACTGTTCTTAACCTAAAGGGAAAAACTTAAAGTTATATGACACTAAGAGCAAGGATTAGGTTTAAAAAAAAAAAGTTGAAGTTATATATTTTAACATTTTATTAAATTAAAGATTGGGATTAAAAAAGTGGAAAAGAAACTGCTGAACTAATAATGTGGATTGGAATACAAAAGAGGGAGGTATGAGGAAGTCCAGAAAATAAGTAATTTAAAATTGGGAATGGAAAAGAGAGCTTTTCTAATTGTTATGTTTTGTGTTATTATTGTTAAGTTTTGTATCGTTTTTTTGTGTGTGTTGTTTTTCTTTTTTCTTTGTTTAAAACCTTAATAAAAAATTATTTAAAAAAAAAAAAAGAAACTGTTCTTAACCTGAAGCACCACTTTAGCCTATGGGGCCTCCTGCTGCTGCTGCGCTGCTGGAGCACGATTTCTGTTCTCATCCTGAAGCAAAGTTCTTAACCTGAGGTACTATTTCTGGGTTAGCAGAGTCTGTAACCCGAAGCGTATGTAACCTGAAGCGTATGTAACCCGAGGTACCACTGTATAGAAAAAATTAAACTGAGAACCATTAATTAGGGAACATAGGAAGCTTCCTTGTACAGAGTCCACCTGGCTTCCTACTGACGCTTCCCCAATCGCACTTTCATGTCGTAGAACAGAAGCCCGCCATTGAAATCAATACAAACGGATCCATTTTGAAAGTTGGATGAAACCGTATTCGGGCGTGCCCTTTGTGGGCTTGAATTCTTTTAGGTTTAATGTGGAAGGCATGGGGGCGATGCTCCTGGCAGTTGTAAGTTGCCCACGACTCACTTCCTTAAAGCGGTGTGCTCAACACACCAGCCTGGTAGACTTTCATCTCTGGGTCGGATGTTAGCATCACATTCTTCCATACCCTTTTGTGAGAGGTGAGCCACGACCATAGCTGGCTTACCAGTACGTTACCAGCTCAGGATCGATGGGGAGGTTGCTGGTTATGGTGGAACCCAGGCAGACAAAATCATCTCAAGTGTGCGATCACCAGTGCTGATGTTTGGAGCGTGGTGACGCCCTATTGGTCTTCGTCAGGTGATGGTAAGGCTGAACTCCCCGCAGGCAAAATGACTGATGAGCTTCTGTAGAGCTTCCTCAGAGTTCGCTGCCAAAGTTGCATCATCTGCAAATAACATCTCTTAGAAGAGGACATGCCACGCTTTTGTCTTGGTGCAGAGACGTGCCAGATCAGACGACCTGGGTGTGTAGCGTCAATAGGGGGAAAAATGTTTTTAATCTGGCTCTAAATTGCTTCATGCAATAAAAAAAAACCAAAAAAACAGCTTTTCAAACCTGAAACTCAAGTTACTGAATCTGTAAGCAGCTACCCTGGTGCTTGGAACCTGGAACGTGCACCTATCTATGCCCTATTTTTGCTTTCGTATTTGCATGCTTTTTTTCTTTTGAAGTGAACAATCGTTCTCCGAGACCACGTGAAGGCAGCTGACGGAGGTGTAAACCACATCCCTGCCTTTTGTCTCCTAGGCCTGCAGTCCTCCATCGCTCGCTGCCTGCTTGCGTTCCTCGTCTGCCTCCTTGTTGCTCCTCCTGAGGCCCAGTGCACAAGGAACTTAAGACTGCCACCCATCACTGCAAGGTAAGGTCTGCTTTGTCTGTGTGTGTTGCCCCTCTTCGTGTCTTGTGCTGAGCTTTTAGCTGAGCTGCAAACTTCAAATTCCCAAACTGGGTGGAGAGATCTGGCGAAGAGAGATGTGTTGATGCTTAGAAGCTGTGAGACTGAAATCAAACCTCCACATGCAGGGATAGTCTACCCCTGGGTACTGCTGCTGTGACCAGAGAGAAAGGAGGGCCAGTTCTTTCAGATCTTGGGAGGTAGTAGACCTGTTGTTCACTGGAGATCTTTAGACGGGCTGGATGGTTATCTGTCATCGCACTGCAGACTGGAGCTAGATCATAAGGCCTCCGAGAGCCATCCCAATTCCTAGGAATCTATTCCCTGGTTGTGAGCTGCTCTGATAAGCCTTAGCTGCTCAGTCCCGGATCAACAATTGTCTAGTTGTGTTTTTCCTCTGTAGCGAGGGAAAGGCCCTCTGAAAACTCTGGCCTCGGATCTGGAGAGAGCCATCGGGCAAGAACGCTTGCAACTCGGGCGCAGCACACAGTTCCCCAAGTATCTTGAAGCCTGGTGTCAGCGGTAGGCAGGGTTGGGCGTTTGCGTGGGCCCAGATACTGTTGAGAAGCCGCCATGTTCCATGTTACTGTAAACACGTGGCTTGCCACCTGCTGCTGCGCACATTAAATCTTTGAATCTTTTGAGCGAACTTTATGGAGGTTCATAAGCGCTTGAGATGGAAGATGCAGCATGGAACCGTCTGCCCATATATTGGAAGCTCCTTCCCTTAAGGATATTTTGAGGCTGGCTGTAAGTAATGTTAGCCTTTTATAGGAACATAGGAAGCCGCCTTATACTGAAGAGGTCTCGCCTCCAGAACAGCCGCCGAGACCATATAACACCGGTCTTGAAAGACCTACATTGGCTCCCAGTACGTTTCCGAGCACAATTCAAAGTGTTGGTGCTGACCTTTAAAGCCGTAAACGGCCTCGGCCCAGTATATCTGAAGGAGCGTCTCCACCCCCATCGTTCTACCCGGACACTGAGGTCCAGCGCTGAGGGCCTTCTGGCGGTTCCCTCACTGCGAGAAGCCAAGTTACAGGGAACCAGGCAGAGGGCCTTCTCGGTAGTGGCGCCCTCCCTGTGGAACGCCCTCCCACCAGATGTCAAAGAGAACAACAACTACCAGACTTTTAGAAGACATCTGAAGGCGGCCCTGTTTAGGGAGGCTTTTAATGTTTGATGTAGTACAGTATTTTAATATTTTTTTTGGAAGCCGCCCAGAGTGGCTGGGGAAGCCCAGCCAGATGGGCAGGGTATAAATAATAAATTATTATTATTATTATTATTATTACCCCTTTTATTGTGCATCCATGATTATTGATGCTCATGATGCTATTGGGGTGGGAATACCACCTTCAACATTGTTCGTGCCTCCAAACATTTTGGGGCATTCCCACTGCCTCATGCCCAGCTGGTCCATATCCCATAGCTTCCTGCCGAAACTCCGCAACGTCTTACACCGCAAATGTTCCAGTTTATTTTTGTCCTGCTTTCGTTGTGCTGTGGCCTCTCCGGACAGCGATAATGTGGCAGCATCCCAGAACGAACTCAGAACCGCCCACCCCCCCAGTGTCCCAATTTTCCAGGAACAGTCTTGAATTTACAGAAGCCGTCCCGGCTGTCTGTCTCTAGAGTCTCCAGCTACAATCCTTGTGGGCTATTTAATTGTAATTTCCATAACAAAGGAGGCTCTCCATTGGGGTGGCGAGGGTGAAGGCAGCCCCCCACCCCCATTCTATAGGACTCTGTTCACCATCTCTCGCCATATAAATGAGATTGTCTCCATTCAGCACCCTTTAAAAAAAACCCACAAACTACAGTTCCCATGATTCTTTTTCTGGGGGGTGGGGGAGATGTGCTTTAAATGTATGGTCCAGCCTATACCAAATTACATTTTGTTGATCATTCTTTGTTACATCCCATATCGGTGCATTTACCCTTCACTTTCCAAATCATAAAAGTTCTGTTTGGATTTGTTGCTCCAGGGTGCCCATCAACCCACTTCAAATTTGCAAAGCCAAAGTCCCTGTATGCATTTGAACCCCTCCTGCAAAACACAGTCTGGAGGCCTCTCCTATTACAGTGGTACCTCGGGTTACATATGCTTCAGGTTACAGACTCCGCTAACCCAGAAATAGTACCTCGGGTTAAGAACTTTGCTTCAGGATGAGAACAGAAATCGTGCGGCGGCAGCGCAGCGGCAGCAGGAGGCCCCATTAGCTAAAGTGGTGCTTCAGGTTAAGAACGGACCTCCAGAAGGAATTAAGTTCTTAACCCGAGGTACCACTGTAGTATATTCCAGCCTGCAAGATCCCTTTATCTCTCCCAGTACAGACATTCATAAGGAAGTCGCCATGATGCAGTTTGTGTGGCTGCCAGCAGATGGTGCTGTTAACTGCAATGTGATGACAAGCTGGGCTATCAGAGGGCAAGGAGAAGAGAACCAGAGATAGGACAGGCAGCCCAGGCCAGTGAGTGGACAATTGATGAGGTCAAAGGGGAGAGGGTGGCTTTTGCCACCTTCGGCTCTCCTTCATTGCAGGGGGGTTGGCCTAGATGGCTCCCTTCCGGCTCTGCAGTTTTATGGTTCTACAGTGGTGCCCCGCAAGACGAATGCCTCGCAAGATGAAAAACTCGCTAGACGAAAGAGTTTTCCGTTTTTTGAGTCGTTCCGCAAGATGAATTTCCCTATGGGCTTGCTTCGCAAGACGAAACGTCTTGCGAGTTCTTGCGAGTTTGTTTCCTTTTTCTTAAAGCCGCTAAGCCGCTAAGCCGTTAATAGCTGCTAAGCCGCTAAGCCGCTAATAGCCGCTAAGCCGCTAATAGCCGTGCTTCGCAAGACGAAAAAACCGCAAGACGAAGAGACTCGCGGAACGGATTAATTTCGTCTTGCGAGGCACCACTGTATGTGAGTGGCTTTGGCAAGGGGGTGGCAAGCAAAGCAGGCAGGGGCACATCCCATAGCAAATTTATATTTTCTCACGTGAGCTGGAATTGATCCACTGAATTACTTACCGGGCCTCTACTGGAACCATAGGAACCTCCCTTTTTACCAAGTTCAGACCTTTAGTATGGTCAACTTGGACTGGCAGCAGCTCTGCAGGGTTTTGGGGTGGACTCTTTTCCCAAATTTACTTGGAGATTCTGCCGGAGCGGGTTGAACCTGGGACCTTCTGCATGCAAACAATAAAATTATTATTACAAATGTTATTATTCAAGCAGGTGTTTCGTGGCAAGCACGGAGTGCTGTCCATAGTCAAACTGTGTAAGCTGATGTGTCGTTTCACATGCCTGGAGCGAAATGGATCTCGCAAGTTCCACTGGCAGCCTCTTGCCCCCAAGCCCATGAAAATCTGGGGCTCTGCATCTCTTCTCTTACAGATGTAGGACATAATATAATGTTTGAGGACTGGGAAAGATTGTGGAAGAAAGGGGTTAAGTTCACTGCATGTACAGTGGTACCTTGGTGAAATATACTCAGAGTCGCAAAGTGATTTCATGCTCTTTATTCAGCTCATAGTGGTGAGGAGGAATGAATGAAAGTCCCCTCAAAGTATCTGCTTTATATACATTATTTACACAATGGGCTGCACATGATTGGCTAATTCTGGAATTCTACTGTAAGCCAATCAGGTTGTGGATTCACTTATATCTGGAGCATGATTGGGTGGTTCCTGCCAACCAATCATACTGCTGTATTGTTCTAGGACCAATCAGACTGCTGCATTCTGAATCCTATTGTTCTAGGACCAATCAGACTGCTGCAATTTGGATCCTATTGTTCTAGGACCAATCAGACTGCTGCAGTTTGGATCCTATTCAACTCAGTACATAACACCTGGGTTACATACGCTTCAGGTTACAGACTCCGCTAACCCAGAAATAGTGCTTCAGGTTAAGAACTTTGCTTCAGGATAAGAACTGAAATTGTGCTCCGGCGGCGCGGCAGCAGCAGGAGGCCCCATTAGCTAAACTGGTGCTTCAGGTTAAGAACAGTTTCAGGTTAAGAATGGACCTCCGGAACAAATTAAGTACTTAACCCGAGGTACCACTGTACTGTGTTAAAGGAAAATATAATGAAAATGATGTATAGATGGTATTTGACTCCTGTTAAATTAGCAAAGATCTATCATAACTGTGATAATCTGTGTTGGAAATGCAAAGAAAAGGAAGGAACTTTTTACCACATGTGGTGGACCTGCCCCAAGGTGAAAGGCTTCTGGGAAAAGATTTATAATGAATTGGAAAAAAAATGTTGAAATATACATTTATAAAGAAACCAGAGGCCTGCCTTCTTGGAATAATTGATTTGGAATTGCCCAAGAAAGATGTTAAATTATTGTTGTACGCCACAACTGCTGCTCGAATTTTACTAGCTAAAAAGTGGAAAACGCAAGAATTACCAACTGTGGAAGAATGGCAGAGGAAGATGATGGATTTTTCAGAGCTAGTCGACCTAACTGGAAGAGTTCGTGGCCAGAAGAAGGAGGAGTATCAGGAAGAACGGACACAATTTAATGATTATTTAGTTAAATTTGTTAAGTTAAACTAATTGGAAATAGCTTGCAGGTATTTGATTGGATTAGGATTTTATATAAATTAAGTGATGAATTAATATGTTTAATCTCAAATTGAAAAGATGTAAGGATGTTAATTGATTAAGTTAAGTTTATAAGAACTCTGATTTGGAAAACCGTTAAAAGGATATGCATTGAAATTCAACCAAGGGGAAGCAAGGAAGTCACTTAACAATGTTCATAAGCGTAATTTTAATAAGGTTATGATTTATGTTTGTTTGTTTTTAATTTTGTGAAAATCAGTTTAAAAAATTGGGGGAAAATGAAAACCTGGAGCTCTGATTCATCCGCCCAACTTTTTCCCTTCCACCTACAGGGACACGTTTGGAAGCCAAACAGAAACCCTAGGAAGCCTTTAGCAATGTGGGATTTGTGAGGACCCGTTAACTGTGGGCGCAAAAGATGTCTGAGCCCATCCTTGGTGCCGGCAGGAGCCCGGTGGAAAACGACCCTGGGTAAGCAAGCCTTCATAATAGCTCAGTCGGCAGAGCGCGAGACACTTAATCTCAGGGTTGTGGGTTTGAGCCCCAGACATAGCTGTCAACCGTCCCTTATTTGGCGGGAAAGTCCCTTATCCCAGAGCCGTGTCCCGCTGCTGTCCCTTATTGATGATGTCCCTTAAATTTCCCGTGTTTCAAAGGAAGCAGCTCCTCTCCCTCCCTCCCTGCCGGTCAGGGAGGAGGGAGGCTCCAACTGTGTTGCTTGGCTGCGTTGCTCACCCAATAAGGAGTCTAAGAATGACTGGGGGGGTGGAGCTTGCATGCCTTGTGCCAATCAAATCGGCCGCGTTGCCTGGGGACTCGCCTTTGCTCAGCGCTTCCCAGCGGAGAGGTGACGGTGGTTTTCCTTGCTGCATCCCCTTTGCCGGGTTGCTGCGCTGTGGGAACCACCGCTTGAGGATTCCTTTGGCTGCTGGCTGGGCTTTCTGCCTTTGGCTCGGAGGGGCTCAGAAGTTGAACATACCTGTGCTTGGAAAATCCCTTATTTTGGCTGCTGATCCCTTATTTTCAAGGCTGCCGGTCCCTTATTTTCAAATCTGTAAGTTGACACCTAAGGCCCCAGACTGGGCAAAAGATTCCTGTGTTGGACTGGATCATTGTTTCCCTAACTTGGATCTCCAGCTGTTTTTGGACTACAGTTCCCACGATCCCTCACCACTGGTCCTGCTAGCTAGGGATGATGGGAGATGTAGTCCATAAACAGCTGGACACCCAAGTTTGGGAAACACTGGACTAGATGGTTCTCATGGTCCCTTCCAACTCTGCAGTTCTAAGGTTCTGTGATCTCTATGTGAACGAGGGAATAGATTTGCCAGCCTCACTGCGGCCCACATGGCACCTTCCAGATGCTGTTGGACTACCATTCCCATCATCCCCAGCCAGCACAGCATGATGGGACTTGAAGTCCCACAACATCTGGAGTTGCCAGGGACTGGCAGGATGCTGATCAGCTGCCGGGTGTGTGTGTGTGTGAGGAAACAGGGCTGGAGTCTGACTTGTGGGGAGCAGTGATTTGTGGGGAACTGTACCAGCCAGAAGTACCAGACCATAAAGAAGGCTGATCGCCGAAGAATTGATGCTTTTGAATTCTGGTGCTGGAGGAGACTCTTGAGAGTCCCATGGACTGCAAGAAGATCAAACCTATCCATTCTGAAGGAAATCAGCCCTGAGTGCTCACTGGAAGGACAGATCCTGAAGCTGAGGCTCCAATACTTTGGCCGCCTCATGAGAAGAGAAGACTGCCTGGAAAAGACCCTGATGCTGGGAAAGATGGAGGGCACAAGGAGAAGGGGACGACAGAGGACGAGATGGTTGGACAGTGTTCTCGAAGCTAGCAGCATGAGTTTGACCAAACTGCGGGAGGCAGTGGAAGACAGGAGTGCCTGGCGTGCTCTGGTCCAGGGGGTCATGAAGAGTCGGACACGACTAAACAACAACAACAACAACAACAACAGTACCAGCCAGGAGGCAAGAGCTGGAGGCAGGGCAAGCTCCAGAGCTGTTTTTGCAGGCCACGGCGGGCGAGAGACCTTCCTCCTGTTAACTCTTTCCCCACCTCCAATGCCAAGAGCGGTAGTCTCGTAATCTGGTGAACCGGGTTTGCGTCTCCGCTCCTCCACATGCAGCTGCTGGGTGACCTTGGGCCAGTCACACTTCTCTGAAGTCTCTCAGCGCCACTCACCTCACAGAGTGTTTGTTGTGGGGGAGGAAGGGAAAGGAGATTGTGAGCCGCTTTGAGACTCCTTAGGGTAGTGATAAAGCGGGATATCAAATCCAAACTCTTCTTCTTATACAGCCTATGCCACACCCTGGTGAACGGAAAGTGCGAGAGCCCCATCACACTTTTGGACCGGCTGTCTGCAACCCGAAGCATTTGGGAGATTCTTGAGAGCCAACCAGAACAAGCCAAGGAGTTGCTGTCAGTACACCCACCTGGGGTAAGCGGCCAGCAAATTTTATTTTTTTAATGGGATGAGTCCAGTGTGGGCAGGTGTATGGGGTGTTAGGGGAGGGGTAGCACCTCTGGCGGGGGACACATCATGCTCCTTCTGGGGTAGTTTGTTCACCTTGGGTCCCTATCCTGCACTTAGCTCTCACCTGGGGCTCCCAGAAGCTGTCAGCATGCAACAGCAGCCACACCCTGTGTCAGGGAACTGCCATCGGCTCAGGGGCGAGAGGGGAAAAGCCGGATGGATTACAGAGAGCCCCCAAAGATCGTGGGAAGCAGCACCTCCTCAGCGGAGGAGAGTAACCACGCCTCCAGTGGAGAGGCGCTTCAGGGCTCAGAGGAGGCGAGGCGGTGCCAGGACACCTTGCCTGGGCAAAGCGGGGAGGAGAGAGGTCCTCCGTTACCCACGCCCTCCCTGCGCAGTAGGCTTCCGCGCCGAGAGGGGAGGCGCAGACTGGGCATCAAGAAACTACTCTGCTGGGGAAGGTTTAAGAACCGCCCACTCACGGATTCTGCCAGTGATTGCTACAGGAGAGTTGCGGTCTGCACAGAGAAAGTTTATTTTGGCATCAAAAGCAAGGCTTCACAGCCGAGCAGGGAGGCATTTGCCTACTTGCTCTCGAGCAACCCCTTGGTACCTTAACACCCTGGAAACGGCTTCAACCAACCAGCTAAACCCGGTGCGGGTAGCCGATGGGTCTCAGACCCTCAGTGAGTTAGGGACTTCCCCTGCATGCGAAGACAGGCTCTGGTGGGTTGAGTGGCGAGACCAAGAGTGGGTCCAACGGTCAAGAAGGTAGTTTCTGCCCATGCTACAGAGAGAAGTGAGAGGCAGATGGGGCTTGTCCACCTGGGAAGGGAGCCCATCTAGGAGAAGGAAGACTCTGATCCTCAACCTCTGCTGCCTTGTGGGATATCTTCAGGAGAAGAAAAAGTTCAGGAGTACCAAATAGGCCTAGGATTAAATTAGGATTTAAAAATGGGATTGACAACGGTAAGAAAAGTGAATCAATTAGATTATAATTGGAAATATTTTTGGTTAATAATGATATTGGAAAGCGGTAACATACAGATACAAGGAAATTCAGAAGGGAGTGAATAGGGGAAGTCAATAATATGTTTATAAGATTGGAATTTTAAAAGAATTAAGTTTGTTTTCATTGTTTATTTGTTTATTTGTTTATTTTTGATGCACTCTTTCTTTTTCGTTTTTGTTTGTGTTTGTGATTTTGTTACGTGATATTTGTTATAATTGTGGAAAACCTAATAAGATTTTATATATATATATATATATATATATATATATATATATATATAGTTCAGGAGCAAACCCTGCACAAATCCAGAGTAGGACCTAAGACGGTTGGATGGCCCCTTGTACGCCTCCTTCTGGTGTTGTAACTCCCAACAGAGGCTATAGAAGGATTGAAACCAAGGATAAAGGACTTCATGGATTAAGGGATCCTTGTGCCCTGTGCCAGCCCATGTAATTCTCCCCTTCTTCCTGTCAAGAAACCCAGCCCTCCAGGGACACCCATCAAATACCGTCTCGTGCAAGACTTGCGCATCATAAATAACTTTGTAATCCCAAGACATGCCATCACGGCCAATCCAAACACCATATGAACAGGGATTCCTCCCGATAGTACACATTTCAGTGTTGTGGACCTTGGCTCTGCATTCTTCTCCATAAGAGTACATGAGGAAAGCTCCTTTTTGCATTTACATGGGAAAACAGTCAATTAACGTGGACTAGATTGCCTCAGTTGTCAGGGGGATGCGGGTGGAGCTGTGGGTCAAACCACAGAGCCTAGGACTTGCCGATCAGAAGGTCGGCGGTTCGAATCCCCGCGACGGGGTGAGCTCCCGTTGCTTGGACCCTGCTCCTACCAACCTAGCAGTTTGAAAGCACATCAAAGTGCAAGTAGATAAATAGGTACCGCTCCGGCGGGAAGGTAAACGGCGTTTCCGTGCGCTGCTCTGGTTCGCCAGAAGCGGCTTAGTCATGCTGGCCACCAGATGACCCGGAAGCTGTACGCCGGCTCCCTCGGCCAATAAAGCAAGATGAGCACTGCAACCCCAGAGTTGGTCATGACTGGACCTAATGGTCAGGGGTCCCTTTACCTTTATCTTTAGATTGCCCCAAGGCTACGTAAAAAGTACCACCACCTTCGCGTCAGCCCTCCTGCAGCCAAGCCAGAGGCCAAACGTCTTACTCTGCTTCCCTCTGGACCACACCAGTGAGTCCAAGAGGGGGTTCTTGTCCTCTGAGCAGGACCTCCATTCACACTGCCCAGGCTTGTGCCCTGGAGAGGTCGCAGTTTGGCTTCATCCCTGGAGGCGACTCCATTGTCTGTTGAGACAGATGGAGGCCAACAACAACAATGGAGTGACAGACATGCCTTCCAAGAGCATCTCGTATTGGGGGCGTTCATATTTGGTTATGGGCCCTTGTGAAAGAAGCTGATTGGGAAAAGTTGCACGGAGGCTCCATCTGCACTTAAAAAACGTCCATACCACTTTAAACCTTTGTGGTTTCCCCCAAAGAATCCTGGGGAATGTAGTTTGTTACCGCTGCTAAGAATTTCTAGGAGGCTCTTATGGATGACCCATCTCTTAAAAAGCAGAGACACCACCTTGCCAACAAAGGTCCGTATAGTTAAAGCTATGGTTGTCCCAGTAGTGATGTATGGAAGTGAGAGCTGGACCACAAAGAAGGCTGATGGCTGTGCTGGAGGAGACTCTTCAGAGTCCCATGGGCTGCAAGAAGATCAAACCTTTCCATTCTGAAGGAAATCAGCCCTGAGTGCTCACTGGAAGGACAGATCCTGAAGCTGAGGCTCCAAGACTTTGGCCACCTCATGAGAAGAGAAGACTCCCTGGAAAACTCCCTGATGTTGGGAAAGATGGAGGGCACAAGGAGAAGGGGACGACAGAGGACGAGATGGTTGGACAGTGTTCTTGAAGTTACCAGCATAAGTTTGACCAAACTGCGGGAGGCAGTGGAAGACAGGAGTGCCTGGCGTGCTCTGGTCCAGGGAGTCACGAAGAGTCGGACACGACTAAACAACAACAAATGACCCATTTAAAGTGGCACAGCACCGCTTTAAACGTAGAGTACAGATGGCAGGGGGCATGGAACCCATATCACCTGGAAGCTGCCAACTCCCATTGGTCCTAGCATCTTACGGTCATACTGGCTGGGGCTGATGGGAGTTGTAGTCCAAAGCACGGGGGCGGGGGTTGTGCGCCATGTTAGGGAACGCTGCCACTGGACACTGAAGAAGCAGCAGCAGCAGCAGCAGCAGCAAAGTTGCTCCTTGTAACCTTCTCAGTGTGCTTGCAGATGCAGAGTCACAAATGTTGCTGGTGGTTTCCTCTTTCCTGCTTAAAGGGGAAGGGAAGGAGGTGGGGGGTGGGTCTTGCTTCATTGACTGTGCTATCCAGAGGCAAGCGGATTTCTCATCTCCTTTCTCTCTCAATCTCTCTCCCCTCCTCCTGCCCCCTTTCCTTTTCCTTCTGCGGCCAGACGTTCATTATCGCTGGAAATGCAGCTGGAGGGTCCAGGGAGCTCTTCCTACGAACACAGGAAAACAGGAGTGATGCTGTCTGCTCTTTCTCTATCCAGGACAACGGTGCAGGTGAGTTGGTTCGGTCCCTCTGAGGGTCTTCTGTATCTGACCTGTGCTGAACCACAGATTCATTTGTTCCCAGGGTCTGGTGCTTTGGGGCTAAACTGGAGTTCCTGGAGGCGGTTGGAGGATGGATGGCGGCTAACAGATTGAGGTTGAATCCTGACAAGACAGAAGTCCTGTTTTGGGGGGACAGGGGGCGGGCAGGTGTGTGGGATTCCCTGGTCCTGAATGGGGTAACTGTGCCCCTGAAGGACCAGGTGAGCAGCCTGGGAGTCATTTTGGACTCACAGCTGTCCATGGAGGTGCAGGTTAATTCTGTGTCCAGGGCGGCTGTCTACCAGCTCCACCTGGTACGCAGGCTGAGACCCTACCTGCCCACGAACTGTCTCACCAGAGTGGTGCATGCTCTAGTTATCTCCCGCTTGGACTACTGCAATGCGCTCTACGTGGGGCTACCTTTGGAGGTGACCCGGAAACTGCAATTAATCCAGAATGCAGCAGCTAGACTGGTGACTGGGAGTGGCCGCTGGGACCACATAACACCGGTCCTGAGAGATCTGCATTGTCTCCCAGTACGTTTCCGACCACAATTCAAAGTGTTGGTGCTGACCTTTAAAGCCCTAAACAGCCTCGGTCCAGTATACCTGAAGGAGCGTCTCCACCCCCATCATTCAGCCCGGACGCTGAGATCCAGCGCCAAGGGCCTTCTGGCGGTTCCCTCATTGCAAGAAGTGAGGTTCCAGGGAACCAGACAGAGGGCCTTCTTGGTGATGGAGCCTGCCCTGTGGAACGCCCTCCCTTCAGATGTGAAGGAAATAAGCAGCTATCCTATCTTTAAAAGACATCTGAAGGCAGCCCTGTTTAGGGAAGTTTTTAATATTTAATGCTGTACTGTTTTTAACACTTGATTGGGAGCTGCCCAGAGTGGCTGGGGAAACTCAGCCAGATGGGCGGGGTATAAATAAATTATTATTATTATTATTATTATTATTATTATTATTATTATTATTACTGCCTGTGTACATGGAAGCTCTACTGAACTACTGCGGCGAATAGCCACTTGCTAGACCATGTGTGCTTTTGCGGGAGCTGGGCAGAGGGGGAGAAGGCTGATTTTCAAATTAATAGCACCTGCACATTTTGCCTTCTGACCTGGGAACTGCTGCCGGCCAGTGCCAGCAATACTGAACTTGATGGACCCGAAGGCCTGACTCATTGTAAATCATCTGCCTACGTTCCCAAGTCCTCGATCCGAGAATCGTACGTGCTTGAACCTTTGCTCCTCTGTCCCTGCTGTACCAGCGTCACTGTTCCCCGCCTGGAAATCTACCCCCCCTTGCTCTAACCTTTAGACCCCACTCCCTTCCTCTAAATTAGGCCTCATCCATTATTCATCCCCGGTGGGTTTTGCAACACAATTTCCTCCTGCTTAAAAGGGGAAATGGTTGGGAGAGGCTTAGGAGGGCTGGTCCTTGCAGGTTGCAGGTCTCTCACGAAATGGGGGTCTCCCTTCAGTCTTGTGGTGGGGCTAGGAAGTTAACTCTCCCCCCCACAGCCACTTTTTTTGGGATTTCTGGCTGAGCTGCTCCTTTATCAACTGCCTCCTGAGAAACGCCACCTAATTAATTAATTTAATTAAATTAAATTAATGAATGTTAGAATGATGTTGGATTGAAGTTAAGGGGTTTCTAGCTGTACAGGCCAAAAGAATATGGAAAAATTGGTTTTAATATGTAAAATCTAAAATTTAAAGTTTTATTATATCAAGATTAAAGATTAGGATTAAAAAGGAGGGAAAGGAATTGTTGGATTAACATATTTAATTAGAATACAAAAGAGGGAGGTAAGAGGAGGTCCGGGAAACAAGTAAATGTAAAAGAAGTGAGGAAAAGATGAAATTGTTTTTAATTGTTTTTTCTTTTTTTACTTTGTATTTTTTCTTTTTATTGTTAATTCTTTCTTTACTAATGTGGTTTTTTTCTTGTGAAACTTTAATAAATATTATTTTAAAAAAAAAAAAAGAGAAACGCCACCTTCCTCTTTTCTGAGCCCAGCCGCAGGTGAGGAACTCTTATTGAATGTGTGGGTGGCATTTTTCTTGCTGCTTCCAAGGAGCTCAGCATCTGTTCTTGTCTCCTAACCCCCTTTATCCCCACAACGACCCGGTGAGGTTATTATTATTATTATTATTATTATTATTATTATTTATTTATACCCCACCCTCCCCAGCAAAGGCCGGGCTCAGGGCGGCTAACAAGCAATAATAAAAACAAGCTGAATGAATACAACTTAAAAACAAGATTAAAATACAACATTAGAATATTGAAACATTAAAATATTAAAATGCAGCCCCATCACAGGAGGAGAAAGGAAAAAGGAAAAAGAAAGAGGGGGAGGGAATCAAATTGGCTCCAAGCCAAAGGCCAGGTGGAACAACTCTGTCTTACACGCCCTGCGGAAAGAAATCAGATCCTGCAGGGTCCTGGTCTCATGAGGCAGAGCATTCCACCAGGCCGGGGCCAGTGTTGAAAAGGCCTTGGCTCTGGTTGAAGCTAATCTAACTTCCTTAGGGCCCGGGACCTCTAGGGTGTTGCTATTTATGGACCTTGAGGCTCTCCGTGGGGCATACCGGGAGAGGCGGTCCCGTAGGTACGAGGGTCCTAGGTAGGCTAGATACCCATACTGGAGTTTACTGTGTGCATTCATTCCCATTTAATTCGCACAGTCCACAGGACATCGCCCTCAAACAACACCAATCTCCATGCTGTCTTCCTGTAAATTCAAGGTTTGCCCAATACGGGGTGTGTGTGTGTGTGTGTGTGTGTGTGTAATCCAATAAGCTGGGGAAAATTGGGCTGCAAACCACACTCCAGTCGAGGTCACAGGCAATTTCCGCCTGTGTTTTTGGGTGAGTGGATCAACTGTCACCTTCCGCTACTCCCCTTTCCGTGCCTACCACTTCCTCATTCTCGTCATTTGTTTGCTTGTCATTATTTCTGGTGGTGTCTTTGTCCATGGCGTTTTCTTGGCAGGGATACTGGAGTGGCTTGCCGGTTCCTCCTCCAGGTGGATCACGTTTGGTCTAAACTCTCCACTATGACCTGTCCATCTTGGGTGACCCTGCATGGCATAGCTCATAGCTTCTCTGAGTTATTCAAGCCCCTTTGCCACGGCAAGGCAGGCTGGACCTAATGGTCAGGGGTCCCTTTACCTTTAACTGTGCTTTTGCAAACTACTTCGGTGAATTTTGTTTCTTTTTTTTAAAAGGTGGGTACACCCAGCTATCTCTGCATATGCCATGCCGGCCCATGGGATAGCAGAATCATAGACAAATTCACATACGTGGGGGTGTAGACAACCCCAGTCTAATTCGAATGAGGAAAATGTGTCTTAACGGCTAAAAAACACTCAGATGTTGTCAAAGGACTAAGAAAGAGTCTCCAAGGTAACTTGGAGGTAATATCCGGGGTTGACAGAGGAGGACCCTTCTCATTAAGAGAAATAATAACAACAACAATAATAGTAATAATCATAATTTTATTTATACCCTGCCCGTCTGTGGCTGCGCCTTCTAGTACTGGAAAGATTGGGGAGTGGGGTCCCTACAAGAGGGTAAAGGTAAAGGGTAAAGGGACCCATGACCATTAGGTCTAGTAGCGAACGATTCTGGGGTTACGGCGTTCATCTTGCTTTACTGGCCGAGGGAGCCAGCGTTTGTCCGCAGACAGCTTCCGGGTCATGTGGCCAGCATGACTAAGCTGCTTCTGGCGAACCAGAGCAGCGCACGGAAACGCCGTTTACCTTCCCGCCAGAGCGGTACCAATTTATCTACTTGCACTTTGAGGTGCTTTCGAACTGCTAGGTTGGCAGGAGCTGGGACTGAGCAACGGGAGCTCACCCCGTCGTGGGGATTCGAACCGCCGACCTTCTGATTGGCAAGCCCTAGGCTCTGTGCTTTAACCCACAGCACCACCCGCGTCCCCAGTACAAGAGGGTAGCACGTGTAAAATAAATGCAATGACAGGGAGCTGTCTCTCACGCCAAGGCGGTCTGTAATCTAATCTTCTTCTGGATGCTCGCAGCTCTCCAGAAACTCTCCCCGCCCCCAGCTGTCTCTTCAGGATCTGTTTTTAACTGGAGATGTTGGGAATTGATCCAAGTTCTCCTGCGTGCAAATCATGCGCTTTGGTTAATGAGCTCAGTGTCCTTCCTGCGTGCACCACCACGAAATAATTCGAACTCGAATGAGAGAGAGAGGATGGAAGTGGCTGTTGCTACCCGCAGGCCCCACCCCATAAGCAAAGTGTGGGTTCTTCTTCTTGGAAATGAAGTTTGTTTCTTCTCCGCAGTCATGTGTTTTGCTCGACTGATGGAAGGACGGACGAGGGGATATAGCAGAGTGCGTAGCCCTGCTGAACGGTCTCTTCAAATTTGAAGGTTCATTATTGTTCCACAAGATGTGTATTTCTTTAAGGGCCAGAGCAAATAGCATGACCTAGTTTTACAGCTGTGAAGCGGTATAGCCGGTGCTGTTAAGTTATGTTAATTAAGCTGCTGGGTATAGTATATAAAGAGCAGAACCTAGCTCTCTCAGTACCCTGGTGGTTGGGTCATGCTTATAGATATATTTAATGTAAAAGGAGTTTTTGTTTTTGTTATTAAAACCTCGCTAAAGTTATTTTTGCGTTCCTTGTAATGCGTGGTCTCCCCAAGACGCTTTCTGCAGCACAACTAATCTGCAAATAGCCAACAAGCCCATGGGTTACGACCCTGGCATAGAGTGGGGCAGATCTGGATTTGAAGATTGTTGTGTGGGTGTGATGGGGGTCACCAGCCTGGGCAGACACGAGATGTGGATGCTGTTCAAAATTTGAACATGGTATGAATGAGCTCCAGGCTGATTGATCTATGGAGGAAGCACACCTTCCTGCTATATATTGTTGTTGTTGTTGTTGTTGTTGTTTAGTCGTTTAGTCGTGTCTGACTCTTCGTGGCCCCCTGGACCAGAGCACACCAGGCACTCCTGTCTTCCACTGCCGCCCGCAGTTTGGTCAAACTCATGCTGGTAGCTTCAAGAACACTGTCCAACCATCTCGTCCTCTGTCGTCCCCTTCTCCTTGCGCCCTCCATCTTTCCCAACATCAGGGTCTTTTCCAGGGAGTCTTCTCTTCTCATGAGGTGGCCAAAGTATTGGAGTCTCGGCTTCAGGATCTGTCCTTCCAGTGAGCACTCAGGGCTGATTTCCTTCAGAATGGATCGGTTTGATCTTCTTGCAGTCCATGGGACTCTCAAGAGTCTCCTCCAGCACCATAATTCAAAAGCATCAATTCTTCGGCGATCAGCCTTCTTTATGGTCCAGCTCTCACTTCCATATATAGATAGGATAAAGATTATTTTTTTCTGATTTTAAAGTGGCATTCTTTCCTCTTTTCTTATACCATGTTTATACATTTTGGAGAACTGGGCTTTTTCATTGCGCTGCTCCTCTGCCGTCCCTCACTCTCGTTCATTGGCTTGCAAACTCTTGAGATGCTTAGATCTTTGGCACGTTACAAATCCATAACGTTGTTGCGATGCTTTGGGGAAGCAAGGAGGGACTAGGGCTTTCCAATGCAGAGGCCAGTGAGTTTATAGTCCTGACGGACACCGTGGGATCTGGTGCTTTTGTAACACAGAGGACTAGAAGGCTGGACTCGAGGATTCCATCCTTGGATTTCGTGTTTGACGTCTCCTTTGTGGTGGCCCTGGTAGGACTTCACATGCCTTAATTTGAGCCCCTTGTGATTCAGCTTGGCAATTGTAGGGTCAGTCCGGATCCAGATAAAGGATGCCTCTAGCCATGGGCAGAGTGTAGCTTTCTCTCTGCTGCACCTGGGGTTATGGGAAGGATGACTGGTCAAGCCAGGTCTTTACTAGCAGGTCTCTCTAACTGTTCAATGACTGACCAGTCACTTTAATAGTAATACAGTGGTACCTCGGGTTAAGTAATTAATTCGTTCTGGAGGTCTGTTCTTAACCTGAAACTGTTCTTAACCTGAAGCACCACTTTAGCTAATGGGGCCTCCTGCTGCTGCCGGGCCACCGGAGCACGATTTCTGTTCTCATCCTGAAGCAAAGTTCTTAACCCGAGGTACTATTTCTGGGTTAGCGGAGTCTGTAACCTGAAGCGTATGTAATGTGAAGCATCTGTAACCCGAGGTACCACTGTAATAATAATAATAATAATAATAATAATTTATTATTTGTACCCCGCTCATCTGGCTGGGTTTCCCCAGCCACTCTGGGTGGCTTCCAACGAAGATTAAAAATGCATTAAAATGTCACACATTAAAAGATTCCCTGAACAGGGCTGCCTTCAGATGTCTTCTAAATGTCAGGTAGTTGTTTATCTCTTTGACATCTGACGGGAGGGCGTTCCACAGGGCGGGCGCCACTACCGAGAAGGCCCTCTGCCTGGTTCCCTGTAACTTGGCTTCTCGCAGTGAGGGAACCGCCAGAAGGCCCTCGGTGCTGGACCTCAGTGTCCAGGCAGAACGATGGGGGTGGAGACACTCCTTCAGGTATACTGGGCCTTTGAGGCTGTTTAGGGCTTTAAAGGTCAGCACCAACACTTTGAATTGTGCTGGGAAACGTACTGGGAGCCAATGTAGGTCTTTCAAGACTGGTGTTATATGGTCTCGGCGGCCGCTCCCAGTCACCAGTCTAGCTGCCGCATTCTGGATTAGTTGTAATGATTATCTGCATTGTTTTTAATGCTGCTTTATGTTTTACTTTTGCGTAACGTTCCCCCAAAGAATCCTGGGAACTGTGGGTTGCCCTTTGCAGAGCTACCGCTTCCAGTGCCCTTAACAAACTTCAGTTCCCAGGGTTCTTTGGGGAGAAGTCACGCGCTTTCAACGTGTGTTGACTCCGTAAAAGTGTGCATTACTCGGCCTGTGAAGTTTGGCAAATAGCCGTGTTGCAACGATTGTCCCACAAGCTTCGAGTAATGAAAGTAATCAATGATAGGCAGAGAAGCTTTAAATGGTTGGGGTCTCCTTGCCCCAAAAGACCTTCTGCGTGGGGAGAGGATTGAAAGGGTCAAACAAACACCCCCCCCAACATGTGGCCTATAATTGCACTGCCTTCTTCTGATGCTTCTCTCATTCTCACAGTGATTTATCTGGAGGGCTCCTTGCTGCATTTCAGAGACCTCTTGGAGCTGGTCTCTTTCCACCTTGTGAGCAGGTGAGTGTCTGGGGGTAGTTGCTGATGGGGAGACCGGGGGGGGGGGCGGGTTGGGTTGTCGGCTCTCTCCATAGCTGTCAACTTACAGATTTGAAAATAAGGGACCAGCAGCCTTGAAAATAAGGGACCAGCAGCCAAAATAAGGGACTTGCAGCCTCACCTGTTCCAGGCACTCCAGGCTTCCTGTCCTCCTGCAGTCTGGTCAAACTCATGCTGGTAGCTTCAAGAACACTGTCCAACCAACTTTGTAACCATAGGTTCAACTGAATAGAATCTGAATCACATGCACCACAAGGCCTATGCAGCCTCAACTTAAGATGGCTCCCCGGCCTGGCTTTGCACTGCAAAGTTTGCAGCAGCACGTGCAACAAAATGGCGTCCAGCATTCAAAAAACTCCTCAGCTTGCATTAACTAGCCACACACAAGGCATGCAAGCTCCACCCCCCAGTCGTTCTTAGACTTCTTGTTGGGTGAGCAACACAGCCAAGCAACACAGTTGGAGCCTCCCTCCTCCCTGGCCAGCAGGAAGGGAGGGAGGGAGAGGAGCTGCTTCCTTTGAAATTTAAGGGACATCATTTAAGGGACATTTAAGGGACATCCATCAATAAGGGACAGCAGCGGGACATGGCGCTGGAATAAGGGACTGTCCCTTCAAATAAGGGACACTTGACAGCTATGGCTCTCCCTCTGTCCTTTCATTTGGATCTTTTGTGGCGGCACTTTCCAGGAATAAAAAGGGCGCACTGCACGTCCTTCTGATGACTTCTGTGTCTGCTTTCAGCCAAATATTTATTATTATTATTATTATTATTATTATTATTACAGTGGTACCTCGGGTTACATGCGCTTCAGGTTACATACGCTTCAGGTTACAGACTCCGCTAACCCAGATATAGTACCTCGGGTTAAGAACTTTGCTTCAGGATAAGAACAGAAATCGTGCTCTGGCGGCGCAGCGGCAACAGGAGGCCCCATTAGCTAAAGTGGTGCTTCAGGTTAAGAACAGTTTCAGGTTAAGAACGGACCTCCAGAACGAATTAAGTACTTAACCAGAGGTACCACTGTATTAATAATAATAATAATTGCAATTTATGACCTGCCTTTTACCCTAAGTTCTCAGGGCAGGTTAGAACAATTAAAGCACACTGTTAATATTAAAGCACAATATTGCATAACATTAACAATAATTTACAACAGCTTTGAATTGCAGAAATAGGGTGCCCCCCCAAAAAAAAACATCTCAAGGTTTGTAAGAAATCAATCTTTTAGTGTGGAAGCACCTACACTGGGACTCCCCGCATCTTGACACCAGGAAGCTGCCTTTAGAAAGGTGTCTAAACATTTCCGTTTAAACAAACCTACTCCAAAACATACAGTGCTGCTGTATATTTTTATCTGTTTTCAGTTTATTGCTGATTTTATCTTTTGAATGTTTTAAAGAGTTGCTTTTACTGATAATGTTATTGTTTTATTCTCTTAGAGGGTTCAAATTTTTTTTACCATCAGTGTATAAATTTTATGAAATCAGTCAATAAAATATGAAGTAAAGAAGTATCAATCAACAAATCAAATCTTTATTACTGTCATAGACCAGCATAAGTAGGGTTGGGTACAGTCTTTTAAAATCTATAAAATGTTTTGGAAAGCTAAAATTATTAAAAGAGAAGGTATATATAAAAGACTATAAGAATCTAAAAGAATCTAAAAGAAGGATTAAGGAGCATTAAACGGGTGTGGAAGAGCATAAAAGGTTATTATAGAAAAGGCTATATGGCTATCAATTTACAGAGCACTCTGATAAATGAGTGTTCATTAAATCTAGTTTGTGAACACCGCTGTGCAGAACCTGCAACACTGTGCGTTGTAGCAGGGTTGGTATCTGAAAGCAGCAGGAAGGTATAGAATTGTCCTGTGCGCCCTGAGTACTTATGGAATAGTGGGGAGATGAGGCTAATGCTAATGTCTCTATAATATAGACACTGGAGAAGCACATGCTCTATTGTAGGTCTTCAGCTAATGTCAAAAGATTGTTGTTGTTTAGTCGTTTAGTCGTCTCCGACTCTTCGTGACCCCCTGGACCAGAGCATGCCAGGCACTCCCGTCTTCCACTGCCTCCCGCAGTTTGGTCAAACTCATGTTCGTAGCTTCGAGAACACTGTCCAACCATCTCGTCCTCTGTTGTCCCCTTCTCCATCTTTCCCAACATCAGGGTCTTTTCCAGGGAGTCTTCTCTTCTCATGAGGTGGCCAAAGTCTTGGAGCCTCAGCTTCAGGATCTGTCCTTCCAGTGAGCACTCGGGGCTGATTTCCTTCAGAATGGATAGGTTTGATCTTCTTGCAGTCTTGATCTTCTTGCAGTCAAAAGATTACACTACAGGAAATCGGGGCAAGCTATTAAGGACACACGCTTGCCCAGACGGAAGCAACCTCTGTATAAGGCAGCTTCCTAAGTTTCGCTGTGGATGGCTTGGTGTAAACAGAGGACGCCGCTGCCCTGTGGCTTGTGATCATAGCTGTCAACTTACAGATTTGAAAATAAGAGACCAGCAGCCAAATAAGGGACCTGCAGCCTCACCTGTTCCTGGCACTCCAGTCTTCCTGTCCTTCAGTCTGGTCAAACTCATGCTGGTAGCTTCGGGAACACTGTCCAACCAACTTTGTAAGCAGAGGTTCAACTGAATAGAATCTGAATCACATGCACCACAAGGCCTATGCAGCCTCAGCTTAAGATGGCTCCCCGGCCTGGCCCTGGCTTTGTACTGCAAAGTTTGCAGCAGCACGTGCAACAAAATGGCGCCCAGCTTTCAAAAAACCTCTCAGCTTGCATTAACTAGCCACACACAAGGCATGCAAGCTCCACCCCCCAGTCGTTCTTAGACTTCTTATTGGGTGAGCAACACAGCCAAGCAACACAGTTGGAGCCTCCCTCCTCCCTGGCCGGCAGGGAGGGAGGGAGAGAAGCTGCTTCCTTTGAAATTTAAGGGACATCATTTAAGGGACATTTAAGGGACATCCATCAATAAGGGACAGCAGCGGGACATGGCGCTGGACTAAGGGACTGCCCCTTCAAATAAGGGACACTTGACAGCTACGCTTGTGATTCTGGCTGCCTCCTTTGGGAACTGGTTTTGTGAATGTGCTGCATTCTGTATTTCTAGAGACATCCTGCCCCATCTGCTGAGGATCCCAGATGCCCTTCGACTTCTACACAAGCCTGAATTAGACGCGGTTGCTGCCTTGGGCATGAGTGAGTAACAGCAGGGCAGGGGGTGGTGGTATCGATTTCTTCCTCCTCCTTGCAAGTCAAAATTCCTGTCGCTTGGTGTTGCTGGAATAGGTTGGGTCAACCCAATTCTACACTGCCTCGCTTTCTGGTCTACAAATGCTCTCAGGCGGCGCTGCTTAGAATGCCAGTGTTTTTGGGAGGGATTCAATCCTGTACCAACAATTTGAGGTTGGGAGCTCTTGCACAGCAAGCCGACTTCCCCCAAAGATCAGATATTTTGCCATAAGGAAAGGGACAGGGAAATGGCACTGCGAAGTGTGGGATATAGCGCTTTGATGCGACGTCGTCTAACCTCCCCACAAGCAACTCGGAAAACAAATGCTCATTAAATAGCCAACCTTGTCTGTCCTCCCCACAAAATGAACGCTCATTCAACAGCCAACAATGTCTAATCTCCCCGCAAACACATCAGAAATATTGCTCAATAAACAGTTTTTCTGGAAGTTCCTACAGTCTTTATTGGGGGAAAAATTACAAAATGGTCTCCTCTCCAAGGCTGGCTTTTGTGTGTGTGCCCATTAGCCCTCACTCTCCTTGTTCTGGGATGAGGGTCCTATGCCTTGCTAATAAGCTGTATGAGAGTCAGAAATCCAGGTGGCCCAGCTAATGATACTTTATTGTTTATACTCCTCCCATCTGGCTGGGTTTCCCCAGCCATGCTGGGCGGCTTCCAACACAATATTAAAATACAGTAATGCCTCAAACATTAAAAGCTTCCCTAAACAGGGCTGCCTTCAGATTTCTTCTAAAAGTCTGGTAGTTGTTGTTCTCTTTGACATCTGGTGGGAGGGCGTTCCACAGGGCGGGTGCCACTACTGAGAAGGCCCTCTGCCTGGTTCCCTGTAACTTGGCTTCTTGCGGCGAGGGAACTGCCAGAAGGCCCTCGGCGCTGGACCTCAGTGTCTGGGTAGAACGATGGGGGTGGAGATGCTCCTTCAGAAATACTGGGCCTTTGAGGCCGTTTAGGGCTTTAAAGGTCAGCACCAACACTTTGAATTATGCTCGGAAACGTACTGGGAGCCAATGTAGACTTTCAAGACTGGTGTTATGTGGTCTTGGCGGCCGCTCCCAGTCACCAGTCTAGCTGCTGCATTCTGGATTAGTTGTAGTTTCCGGGTCACCTTCAAAGGTAGCCCCACAGAGAGCGCATTGCAGTAGTCCAAGCAGGAGATAACCGGAGCATGCACCACTCTGGTGAAACAGTCTGTGGAGAGATAAGGGTCTCAGCCTGTGTACCAGATGGAGCTGATAAACAGCTGCCCTGGACATAGAATTGACCTGCGCCTCCATGGACAGCTGTGAGTCCAAAATGACAGATAGGGTCTCAGCCTGCATACCAGATGGAGCTGGTGGAGAAATCCAGGTGTCCCATCTCTTTCCAGTTTGCAATTCCATGTTGGGAAGCTGCACTTGTTTTAATAGCTCCCTGTCAGGCAGCTGTTAATTGAAGGCACAGGAAAGCCACCTGGGAGGGAAAGAGAAAGTAACCTTCACATTCTCTCTTTGCTTCATTGTCAGAGTTCTGGACAATGCCCCTTAAACCTGACGATGGGCTGGGGTCGGCTGAAGTGGAAGAAGGGCCCGTGGGTCTGGATGGTGCCCCCTCTAAATCCAGACAGGCGGTCTGTTCTGTCCGGATAACGTCCGAGGACGAAGCTCTGTGCATCATCAACCCGCTGTTCGTCTCTGTGCACAGCGATGCTAGCTGGCTTGACCTTGCGTCCAGCTTGCGCCGGTCAAGTAGCACGAGGGGCACTCTGCGGTTCCCGAACGGGCTGGGGACTCCCCAGAAGTCCGGCTCGGTAAAAGCAGCATCCAGGAAACAAGGAGCCCGTGGGAGTCTGGATCATCCAGAGTCTCCAGAAGAGGAGGAGGAGGAGGAGATGGAGAAAGGTAAGGAGCTGCTGCTATCAAGGGCATCCGCCACATTCATAGCATGAAGACTCTGCTTCCAGTTCTCCTGCTTCCCTCGGTGTATAGGGAAGATGTTTGGATCTGGATTTGATATCCCGCTTTATCACTACCCGAAGGAGTCTCAAAGCGGCTAACATTCTCCTTTCCCTTCCTCCCCCACAACAAACACTCTGTGAGGTGAGTGGGGCTGAGAGACTTCAAAGAAGTGTGAGTAGCTCAAGGTCACCCTGCAGCTGCATGTGGAGGAGCAGGGAAGCGAACCCGGTTCACCAGATTACAGAGTCCACCGCTCTTAACCATTACACCATACTGGATGTGTAGCCTGGTGCCAGAGCATCTTCCTTGCATGCAGAATGACCCATGTCGGGTCCTCATCTCCGGGAATAGCTGGCAATGCTGTCTGCCTACACCCCGCTGCTCCCAGTCAGTGTGGACAGTGTGCTGAGCTAGATGGACTGAATCAGTATCTTACCATGTTCAGAATTATTGAGGGCAAGGGCCCTTGGCTCAGCAGAAGACCATCTGCTTTGCATGCAGAAGGCCCCAGATTCAATCCCCAGTATCTCTGGCTAAGGCTGGGGAAAGTGTCTGCCAGTGTGGTGTAGTGGTTAAGAGTGGTAGACTCGTAATCTGGTGTACTGGGTTCGCTTCCCTGCTCCTCCACATGCAGCTGCTGGGTGACCTTGGGCCAGTCACACTTCTCTGAAGTCTCTCAGCCCTACTCTTCTCACAGAGTGTTTGTTGTGGGGGAGGAAGGGAAAGGAGAATGTTAGCCGCTTTGAGATTCCTTAGGGTAGTGATAAAGCGGGATATCAAATCCAAACTCTTCTTCTTCTTCTTCTATCAGCCAGTAAGGTAGTGTGGTGTGTTTGAAAGAGACGGCGAGAATTTATTGATATGTATAGACTGATTTTGCAAAGTTAAGTTAAGCTAAGCAGATATATAAGATTCAATGTTTAATTACAGTGGTACCTTGGGTTAAGTACTTAATTCGTTCTGGAGGTCTGTTCTTAACCTGAAATTGTTCTTAACCTGAAGCACCACTGTAGCTTATGGGGCCTCCTGCTGCCGTTGCGCAGCCGGAGCACGATTTCTGTTCTCATCCTGAAGCAAAGTTCTTAACCTGAAGCACTATTTCTGGGTTAGTGGAGTCTGTAACCTGAAGCGTATGTAACCTGAGGTACCACTGTATTAAGATACAAAATTACAATCTCAATAATAAAGTTACAAAATAATAACAAGGAAGTCACGCACGGGTGGAGGGAAGACACAGGGCAAGAAATAAGAAATGGATAAATGATGGTACATAACGAAATGGGGAAATGTGAATTTACAGATATAATGTACAGTGGTACCTCAGGTTACATACGCTTCAGGTTACATATGCTTCAGGTTACAGACTCCGCTAACCCAGAAATAGTACCTCAGGTTAAGAACTTTGCTTCAGGATGAGAACAGAAATCGTGCAACAGCAGGAGGCCCCATTAGCTAAAGTGGTGCTTCAGGTTAAGAACAGTTTCAGGTTAATAACGGACCTCCGGAACAAATTAAGTACTTAACCCGAGGTACCACTGTATATGTATCATTATGTAAAGATTTCATATGTGTATTGCAACATTAATAATAAATTGAAAAGAGACAGAAAAAATGGAAGAGACAGAAAGCAAGGAAGCATCAGTGGGATGCTCTTGCCTGTCTGTTTCACATGTAATTCCGCCTGCAGCCAAGAGGCTCCCTGGAGGGTTACTTTTTAATTGCTGGTTAATAATAATAACTAGTAATAATTTATTATTTATACCCCGCCCATCTGGCTCGGTTTCCCCAGCCACTCAGGGCGGCTCCCCACACAATATTAAAATCATGATAAAACATCAAACTTTAAAGACTTCCCTAAACAGGGCTGCCTTCAGATGTCTTCTGAAAGTCAGATAGTTGTTTATTTCATTGACATCTGATGAGAGGGCGTTCCACAGGGCGGGTGCCACTACCAAGAAGGCCCTCTGCCTGGTTCCCTGTCACCTCACTTCTCACAGGGAGGGAACCGCCAGAAGGCCCTTGGCGCTGGACCTCAGTGTCCGGGCAAAACGATGGGGGTGGAGACGCTCCTTTAGGTTGAGCAAATAGAATTGGATTATGAGCCTGGCCTTGCTGATAAGAGCAGATTGTGTCCTGTCCGTCCTGGGAAGCATGTGGACAGAAGGACCATGCAGATAAAAGCTGGCAAGCACAATCCTGGCCTGCACTTTCAGCCGGTAAGGGGTGGGTGGGGGGGGGGAGAGAGAGAGAGAGCGCTTCAGTGTGATAACTCAGTGAGTACAGGATGAGACTCTTAATCTTATGGTCATGGGCATGGCAGGGGTTTGAACTAGACCCTTCTGGTCCCTTCCAACTCTACAATTCTAGGATACAATAATAGTCTGTTTCGTATGTACCGTATTTTTTGCTCTATAAGATGCACCCAACCATAAGATGCACCTAGTTTTTAGAGGAGGAAAACAAGGAAAAAAAAAATTCTGAATCAAATGTTGTTGAGGAGGAGGCCAGAAACAGGATAAAGGAAGTCTTTTATTTCGTTGTTTGTATTGTCGTATGTTATGCTTGTTGTTTGTTATGTTCGTGTTTGATGGGGGTGGATTTCTGGGGAGGGGGGGTGGGGGAGGTTGTGTTAAGCTGTAAATAAAATTTCCCAAAAAACCTCACCTGTTCCGGCTTCAGCGATAGCTGCGCAATCTGCATTCGCTCCGTAAGACACACACACACATTTCCCCTTACTTTTTAGGAGGGAAAAAGTGCGTCTTATAGAGCGAAAAATACGGTAATTTCAGCCTTCAGGTAAGCGTGCATTTCCATTTCCGATGTACAGAGGGTTACTGTCTAACTGCCTGCTAGCTGGCTACAGGTGGGCAAGGTCCAGAGCCGAGTCCTTGGCTGATAAGAACAGACTCTGTTATGTCCTGCAGGCAGGGCCACCCTGGAAGGGGAGTCATGGGGGCAGAGGTACCCGCATTGTCTGTTTGTACCTGGAATTGTAGGAGACAGGGGCCCAGGGGCCATCAGAATGCTGATGACACTTGGCTCTCTGATTCTTCATAACAAGGAGGGACCTGGTGCGTCCTGGGGACTGGAGTCCAGATGCAGCAAAGGTTTGCAGTGATGGTGCCAGGCGAGCCTGCTTGGGAAGAGCGCCCCACAAGCAAGAGCAATTTAACCCATCATGCCTTTCTCTTTGCTGCCAACCCTCAGGTGACCCTCTCCTCCGCTCCACCACCGCGCGACGGAGGCCTCTTCATCGCAGCCTGGCCTGCAGCAGTTTGGAAGCCGCCTCCGAGGAGCTGCCTCTGTCCCCAGACCTCCACCTGAAGGAGATCAAGTCCCCGCACCGCGTCTCCTGGATAGAGGGGATCCCGACCACGCCTCCTCCCGCCTGGCCGTTGCAAAAGTCCAGCTCTGAATCCTCCCTACTGAGCGAGAACATTTTGCTGCCTCCCATCCCTGAACTCGACTCGCTCTCCGTCAGCAGCGTGGAGGACGAGACGGAGGGGCTCCTCGCCGCGGCGGCCGCTCAGCAGAAGAAGCAGCGCCGTTCCTCCTCCGCCCTGAGTTACAAGGTCTTCCAGCGCCTCTCCGCCGTGGGCAGCACGCTCAGCGGGTTCCTCTCGGCCGAACGCCGGGTGTCCAAGCGGGTGCAGGAGCTGGCCCAGGAGCCGTCCTCCTACGTGGGAGGGCTGGTGCAAAGCTTCGTGGGGCACATCCTGCGCGGAGCTGGGAAACGGCACGCGACCAGCACCGACCTGCTCCAGGAGATCCGGCAGATGATCAGTAACCTCAAGGGCTACCTGTGCGAGAGCTCGGAGCTGCACGTGGTCTGCGAGCAAAGCGAGGCAGAGGAGATGGACCTGGGTATTTATCGTTATTAAGTTCATATCCCGCCCTTCCTCTTCGAGCGATCCATAGTTAAAAGCAGAAGTCGGCAAATGTGCCCTCTTTTTTTCTCTTCAAAGTATGGCAGCCCTACTTGAGAGTCGTCTCTTTTGAATAGTTTTGGTTGCTGGCAGTAGTGTAAAGGTAAAGGGACCCCTGACCATTAGGTCCAGTCGTGACCGACTCTGGGGTTGCGGTGCTCATCTCGCTTTATTGGCCGAGGGAGCCAGCGTACAGCTTCTGGGTCATGTGGCCAGCATGGCTAAGCCGCTTCTGGCGAACCAGAGCAGCGCACGGAAACACCGTTTACCTTCCCGCCGGAGCGTACCTATTTATCTAATTGCGTTTTGATGTGCTTTCGAACTGCTAGGTTGGCAGCAGCAGGGACTGAGCAACGGGAGCTCACCCAGTCGTGGGGATTCGAACCGCCGACCTTCTGATCGGCAAGTCCTAGGCTCTGTGGTTTAACCCACAGCGCCACCCACGTCCCATAGTTAAAAGTAGAAGTCGGCAAATGTGCCCTCTTTTTGTCTCTTCGAAATATGGCAACCATAGCTGTCAACTTTTCCCTTTTCTTGCGAGGAATCCTATTTGGAATAAGGGAATTTCCCTTTAAAAAAGGGAAAAGTTGACAGCTATGATGGCAACCCTACTTGAGAGTCGTCTGTTTTGAATAGTTTTGGTTGCTGGCAGTAGTGTAGCCGTGGCAAATTCAGAAGGACAGGGTCCCTTCATGGCCACACCCCATTCAAAGATAATACAACCTTCTAAAATTATACAATATTTTTTTAAAGAAAAATTACTCAGAAAACTGCGTTTGCAGGTTGACGTTTCAGCCCACTGCAAATTATTGCACAGACTATCAGTATGGGTGGGCGCTGCTCTCCATTGCTCCCTCCTCCCCTCTCCCAATTAACCTCCATCTCCTGGGCTCAGACTCTGTAGGGTCTGCCCTCCTCCACTGCCATCTCCCAATTAACCTCCGTTTCCAGGGCCCACATCTGTGACGTCACCAGGGCTCCCCCCAGGTCTCAGATTTGGGTCCTGAAATCTCAGTGACTGGGGTTCTGCTGACTTGGCAACCCCACGACCTCCTGCTCTTCCTCCTCCTCCTCCTCTTGTGCTACTCTGCATGGCCAAGGTTGCCATCTTGGTGGGGGGCAAAGCTCTGTCGACCCCCAAAACAGAAACCGTCACACTGTCAGGTTACCTGCTTCCCGGCAAAGCTGCTTATAAATGTATTTCATCTTATCTCTGAGCAGCCGAAAATAACACCCCTGCCATTTCCACTCTGGACCGCGGCCAGCTTGCGACATTGCTATCTGCTCACACGTGGGCCAGAGCAGAGCACTTAGGAAGCTGTGGTTGAGGCTTTGATGCAGCCCACACCGTACGCAGCAGAGGCAGCTGGGAGGGAGCAGATGCAAAGAGGAACCGAGGTAGCTTCCTGGACACAAAGAAATCCAAAGAGCCTTTGGATTCCCTGCGCTTGTTTGTTTGTTGGGCTTTGGCCCACCTCCTGATGTTTCCACCCAGAATACAGAATCAGGTTTCTTAGAATCATAGAGGACCCTCGTACCTACGGGACCGCCTCTCCTGGTATGCCCCACGGAGGACCTTAAGGTCCATAAATAGCAACACCCTAGAGGTCCCGGGCCCTAAGGAAGTCAGATTAGCCTCAACCAGAGCCAGGGCCTTTTCAACACTGGCCCCGGCCTGGTGAAACACTCTGTCTCATGAGACCAGGGCCCTGCAGGATCTGATTTATTTCCACAGGGCCTGTAAGACAGAGTTGTTCCGCCTGGCCTTTGGCTTGGAATCAACTTGATTCCCTTCCCCTCTTCCTTTTTCCTTTCTCCTTCTGTGATGGAACTCCTATTTGGGGACTTCACTGGCTTTTTTCTGGCCCATGTAGGACCAGTCTGGAAAGTTAGCCTTGGTGAAGACTTGACGTTTTCATCCCCAAAAAAGCTTTTGATTTGAGTTTCCATTGAAATGAGGCTGCATTTTAATGTTTTAATGTTGTATTTTAATCTTGTTTTTAAGTTGTATTTCAATGAATTTGCTTTATATCGGGTATTAGCCGCCCTGAGCCCAGTCTTGGCTGGGGAGGGCGGGGTATAAAGAAATGTTATTATTATTATTATAGAGTTGGAAGGGACCCCAGGGGTCATCCAGTCCAACCCCCTGCAATGCAGGAATCTCAACTCCTGAGAACTTTCCAATTCTCACTTTAAAGGGTGGGACAGTATAGCTGTATAGCTGTATAGCTGACTCTTAGCTTAAGCAGGGGTTATGTTCCAAAACCATAATTGTGTGTAGTCAAAACACACTCTCCCTGCACCTCTGAATGCCATATTGTAGAAGACACTGAGCTTTTAACATATTGAGCCGTCAACAACAACAAAAAACCCCTTAGCCAGTGGCGGAGCAAGGCGATCGGGCGCCTGGGGCGGTGCGCATGCCTGGCGCCCAGGCGTGGGGCCAGCCGGGGCAGGACGCTCCATGGTGCCTCCAATGAGTCTGCCTGCCTCTTCCCACTCAGCCGCCCTACAGCTGAGGGGGAGGCGGCAGGCAGACCGTTTGGGCTGCACGGAACCGGCGCGTACCCAAGCCACCACTTCACTCCCAGGAGAGATGCGTGGCTTGGGCGTGCTGCAGGCCCCACGGTGAGTGCCACCCGGCATTTTGTCACCCCCCTCAGAGGTGATCCCAGGGGCAACCCACCCCTACCGCACCCCCCTTCCTCCGCCCCTGCCCTTAGCCAGCTGAAAATGCAACCTTTCAGTTCTGAATTCACTCTACGTTGGGCTGCCCTTGAGACTGACCCAGAAACTCCAGTAATAATAATAATAATAATAATAATAATAATATCTTTATTGTCATTGCCCCCTTCGGGGACAACGAAATTACTTGACTGCTCCATAAAAACACTAATTAAACAATACAGTATAATACAGCAAGGGAGATTAGATGACTTTCAAAGTCCGGGCTTCCCATTCAGGGCCGAGATCGCTCTGGAGAAGAAGCTGTTCTTTAGACGGCTCGTTCTTGTCTTCATCGTCCTGTATCTCCGTCCCGACGGCAAGAGCTCGAAGAGACAGTGACCAGGATGCGATGGATCTTTTACTATGTCCAGTGCCTTCCTGGCACCATTGCTCCTCCGCTCTGGGGGGGGGGAAATACTTGCCCTCCGATACACCACTTGCCTGACCTACAGTGGTGCCTCGCAAAACGAAAAGAATCCGTTCCGCGAGTCTCTTCGTCTTGCGGTTTTTTCGTCTTGCGAAGCAAGCCCATTAGCGGCTTAGCGGATTAGCGCTATTAGCGGCTTAGCGGGCTTAGCGGATCAGCTGATTAGCGGCTTAGCGGCTTAGCGGATCAGCTGATAAACGGCTTAGCGGCTTAGCGGATCAGCTGTTAAGCGGCTTAGCGGATCAGCTGATAAGCGGCTTAGCAGATCAGCCGTTAAGCGGCTTAGCGGTTTAGCGGATCAGCTGATAAGCGGCTTAGCGGCTTGGGAAAAGGGGGGGGGAACTCGCAAGACATTTTCGTCTTGCGAAACAAGCCCATAGGAAATTTGTTTTGCGAAGCACCTCCAAAACGGAAAACCCGTTCGTCTAGCGGGTTTTCCGTCTTGCGAGGCATTCGTCTTGCGGGGCACCACTGTACATGCTCCACAGTAATGTGTCGTGGCTTCATTTTCTCTTCGCCTCCCTCTTCCCCTTTCTTGTATCATTTTCCTGCTAGGTTCCGTGGTCGAAGCCGCTCTGTACAAATGCATGCTGAAGCCTCTCCGGAACTCCATCTACGCCCAGTTGCACGAATTCCACGCCCACAACGGCACCCTGGACAAGCTGCGCGAGCACCAGGCCACCATGAGGCGGCAGAGCCTGGCTGAGCTGGGCGTGACGGCCGGCGTCCCAGATGCGGCCGCCTTAGAGCGCATCCAGGCCAAGCTGAACCTCATGCACCAGGCTTATTCCCCCAAGAAAAAGGAGGCGCACATGCTCAAAGCCTGCAAGATGCTCTACGAAGCCATGAACCAGGCGGCAGGAGGAACAGGTAGGGAGGCTGCCTTGGCAACATCTCTCTGAGAAGGGTCAGAGCTCAGTGGTAGAGAGCAGCTGGTTTGCCTCCAGCAAGGTCCCAGTTTCAATCCCCAGCTGGGGAAGGCTTCCCTGTCTGAAATTCCGGAGAGTGGCTGCCAGCCAGTGTAGGCAGCACTGAGGTGCATGGATCAAGTGGCCTGACTTGGGAAGAAGTGCTTTTCTTCTTGCTTGTCTTGAAGAATAATAATAATAATAATAATAATAATAATTATTATTATTATTATTATTATTATTTATTATTTATACCCCGCCCATCTGGATGAGTTTCCCCAGCCACTCTGGGCGGCTTCCAATCAAGTGTTAAAAACAATACAGCATTAAATATTAAAAACTTCCCTAAACAGGGCTGCCTTCAGATGTCTTTTAAAAAGAAGATAGCTGCTTATTTCCTTCACATCTGGTGGGAGGGCGTTCCACAGGGCGGGTGCCACTACCGAGAAGGCCCTCTGCCTGGTTCCCTGTAACCTCACTTCTCGCAATGAGGGAACCGCCAGAAGGCCCTCGGTGCTGGATCTCAGTGTCCGGGCTGAATGAATCTCTCAACATTCAGCTTCACCAAACGCCCCTGAGTCCCAGTACAGTCATACCTCGGAGCCGAACGGAATCCGTTCCGGAAGTCCGTTTGACTTCCGAAACGTTCGGAAACCAAGGCGCGGCTTCCGATTGGCTGCAGGAAGCTCCTGCAGCCAATCGGAAGCCATGGAAGCCCCGTTGGACTTTCGGGTTCCAAAGAACGTTTGCAAACCAGAACACTTCCAGGTTTGTGGCGTTCTGAACCTGAAACGTTCGAGTCGACAATTTTGTTGTTCTGTATGGGACAACGACAATAAAGATTATCGTATCGTACGACTATATTATGAGAGAAAGAGAGAATCATTTCTCTGCATCCGCTTTCCTTGCACCTGAACAGTAGGGCTGGCTCTGATGGTGTTCTTCCATTTTTCCATTTTCGGAAGAGCCTTTTGGCGCCGACGACTTCCTGCCGGTTCTGATCTACATGCTGGTGAACTGTGACGTGGTTTCGGTGCAGCTGGATGTTGAGTACATGATGGAACTGATGGACCCCAGCCAGCTGCTGGGAGAAGGTAACCCGGCAAGTTGTGCCAGACCTAGATCTGTCCCTTGGGCATCCTGAAATGATATGGATTTTTGCTGGGTACTGGATGTCCTCCCAAAGTTTAGGGTTAATGTCTCTAGGAGATCCCAGAAGTCTCTGCCTCATGTTGTCAGGAGCGGGTGTCAGGAACAAGCCAGCAATAAATCATATGGCATAAGTTGACTCTTTATTAAAGGAAACCAGGTTGAATCAGGAGACCAGGCCTAGTGAGCTCAGCACCTCATCCCTGTAGATCTTGCCCCAGGTGCAGAAGTGAGAACTGAAGGTCCCTGCCTTCTCACAGTTCCCTAAGTCTCCTTCCCAAGCAATCTGGGGCTCTGTTGTCTTCTCTCTCTCTGCTCTCCCCTTTTCATACCTCTTCTGGTTCTTGGAGACCAGGGGGGGAAGGGAGCTTGTCACAGCAGGAGGGGGAGACCCCCTGGCTTCTTCCCCAGCCTGCCTCACCTCTGCCTCTTGGCCCCCTTCCTCTCCTACCTCTGATTCTAGACTGCTCTCTGCCACAGACTCTCCCAGCTCACGAAGCCCTGTTCCCTCTTCAGTTTCCAACCTCCTCTTCCCCATCTTCTCCCTCTGACTACTCATTGCCGTCCCACCACCAATCCCTGGGCTCTGAGCCTTCTTCTCTTGGGGGATCCTCTATCTGGTTCCTCCCACCATTCCTCTGCATCCAGCCAGTCCATGACACACATATAGGGAATAGAGCACAGGTGGGAGGGAGCTGTTGGACTTCAGCTCCCATCATCCCCAGCCAGCATGACCCAATGGTCAGGGATGATGTGAGTTGTAGTCCAGCAACATATTTTTAAATTTTTTTTATTCATTTATTGAATTTATATACAGTCTTATACCTACCGTATTTTTTGCTGTATAAGACTCACTTTTTCCCTCCTAGAAAGTAAGGGGAATTGTGTGTGCTTTTTATGGAGCGAATGCAGGCTGTGCAGCTATCCCAGAAGCCAGAACAGCAAGAGGGATTGCTGCTTTTACTGTGCAGTGATCCCTCTTGCTGTTCTGGCTTCTGAGATTCAGAATATTTTTTTCCTTGTTTTTCTCCTCCAAAAACTAGGTGCATCTTGTGGTCCGGTGCGTCTTATAGAGTGAAAAATACGGTATACAGTGGTACCTCTGGATGCGAATGGGATCTGTTCCGGAGCCCTGTTCGCATCCGGAAGCAAACGCAACCCGCGTCTGCACGTCTGCGTGGGTCGCGATTCGTCGCTTCTGCGCATGCGCGTGACGTCATTTTGAGTGTCTGCACATGCGCGAGCGGCGAAACCCAGAAGTAACGCGTTCTGTTACTTCCGGGTCACCTCGGAGCGCAACCCGAAAATGCTCAACCTGAAGAAACTTCAACCCAAAGTATGACTGTACATATGGCAAGCCACGGGTTTTGCATCCCTAGAACAGTCTCCACTTCTACTGCATTTGAGTTAATTGAACTGCGCTGATGTGCACTGAAGCACACCAAGCGATGATGTCTTTGCCAATGGGCACAGGATTAGCGTTTCTATTTTCGCTCTAAGGAACATTCTGGTTCAGGGAGTGGCCCAGCTGGTGGACAGGTGAGAACAGTGGCCCAGGTGTCGCTTCTGTGCTTAAGCCAGGCCTGAGTTCAGTCCTCTGAAGGGTTCGGATCCAACATTGCACAATAGCCTTCCTGAGCCTGTGCATCTCCATCCTGACACGGGTTTTCTTTTTTTCTTTTTTTCTTTTTAAATGATATTTATTAAAGTTTCACAAAAAAAAGAATCACATTAATAAAAAAGAAGAATTTCAGAATAAAATAAATAAATAAAAATACACAATACCAAATACAAAAAGAAAAAAAGAAAAAACAGCTAAAAACAATTCCGTCTTTTCATTACTTCTTTTACATTTACTTGTTTCCCGGACCTCCTCATACCTCCCTCTTTTGTATTCCAGTTCAGTTTGTTAGTCCAGCAATTTCTTTCCCTCCTTTTTAATCCTGATCTTTAATCTTAATATATTATAACATTAAATTTTTACCTATTAAAAACCAATTTTTCCATTCTTTTAACCATTACTGCTAGAAACCGCTTAACTTCAATCCGTCATCATTCTAACATTCATTAATTTTACAATATTTCTGTAAGTAGTCTTTAAATTTCTTCCAGTCTTCTTCCACCGACTCTTCTCCCTGGTCTCGGATTCTGCCAGTCATTTCCGCCAATTCCATATAGTCCATCATTTTCATCTGCCATTCCTCCAGTGTGGGTAGATCTTGTGTCTTCCAATACTTTGCAATAAGTATTCTTGCTGCTGTTGTAACTGACGCGGGTTTTCTCTTCTTCCTCCCTCTCGCGCTGCAGGAGGCTATTACCTCACCACCTGGTTTGGCGCCCTTTTCCACATCGAGAACTTCCAGCCAGCGGCCACGGTAACGCGGCAAATCAGCATCGAGGCCCAGCGCTCCATCCATCAGTGGCATCGGCGCCGAACCATCCACCATCACCACGCCAACCGGCGCCATTCCCAGGTGAGGCTGGAGTCCGCGAAAGAAGTCCTGTGCTGAAGTGCTAAGGGCTAAGAAGTGGGAGAGAGCAAGGGATTCTGGGAGCCAAATTCCGGGATGGGGTGCGGAACTCAGTCAGGCCAGTGTAGTACCTCCCCCACACCTGTTCCTCACCTGTCAATCAAACTGACATCACAATGATGTCGGGTGACTTTTTTGGGGGGCTACAGAGTTTGAAATCAAAGGGACAACTTACAGGGTGCCTGGGTGCTTTTCCTGGTGTGGATGGAAACGGGGAATGACTGATATCTCTTGGGGTTGCAGGCTCACTCTTTGGTATCAGATCATCTTTACTGGCTGCCCATCCACTACCAGGCCGGGTTCAAGGTCCTTGCATTAATTAGCTGAGGTTCAGGTTGACCCAGGGACACCTTTATATCCCAGCCCAATCCCTGAGATCATCTGCAGGAGCGTCGCTGGTTGTTCCGCAAGTTCATAGTACAGTTGTACCTTGGTTTACGAACTTAATCCATGAATTTAGTCCATTCTTAAACCAAAGCGTTCTTAAACCAAGGTGTGCTTTCCCATAGCGGCGGGGGACTCAATTTACAAATGGAACACACTCAACAGGAAGCAAAACATGTTCTGCTTCCAAGGCAAAGTTCACAAACCAAAACACTGGGTTTGCAGCGTTCTTAATCCAAGTTGTTCATAGAATCATAGAATCATAGAATCATAGAGTTGGAAGAGACCACAAGGGCCATCGAGTCCAACCCCCTGCCAAGCAGGAAACACCATCAGAGCACTCCTGACATATGGTTGTCAAGCCTCTGCTTAAAGACCTCCAAAGAAGGAGACTCCACCACGCTCCTTGGCAGCAAATTCCACTGTCAAACAGCTCTTACTGTCAGGAAGTTCTTCCTAATGTTTAGGTGGAATCTTCTTTCTTGTAGTTTGGATCCATTGCTCCGTGTCCGCTTCTCTGGAGCAGCAGAAAACAACCTTTCTCCCTCCTCTATGTGACATCCTTTTATATATTTGAACATGGCTATCATATCACCCCTTAACCTCCTCTTCTCCAGGCTAAACATGCCCAGCTCTCTTAGCCGTTCCTCATAAGGCATCGTTTCCAGGCCTTTGACCATTTTGGTTGCCCTCCTCTGGACACGTTCCAGTTTGTCAGTGTCCTTCTTGAACTGTGGTGCCCAGAACTGGACACAGTACTCCAGGTGAGGTCTGACCAGAGCAGAATACAGTGGCACTATTACTTCCCTTGATCTAGATGCTATACTCCTATTGATGCAGCCCAGAATTGCATTGGCTTTTTTAGCTGCCGCGTCACACTGTTGGCTCATGTCAAGTTTGTGGTCAACCAAGACTCCTAGATCCTTTTCACATGTACTGCTCTCAAGCCAGGTGTCACCCATCTTGTATTTGTGCCTCTCATTTTTTTTGCCCAAGTGCAATACTTTACATTTCTCCCTGTTAAAATTCATCTTGTTTGTTTTGGCCCAGTTCTCTAATCTGTCAAGGTCGTTTTGAAGTGTGATCCTGTCCTCTGGGGTGTTAGCCACCCCTCCCAGTTTGTTCTTAAACCAAGGTACCACTATATCATAGAATTGTAGAGCCGGAAGGGACATGATCATGCAACATCCAGAAAGTGTAAGAGCTGCATAAGAACAGCAATCCTCCCCAAAATATTATTATAAATGAGCCTCTGACATACGTACCTTAAGTACATCTACAAACTCATTGAGAGGTGTGACCTTGCTTTTGCTGGGTAATCTTCTTGTATCAGGTCTCATATGAGACAAACCCAACTCTCATCAACGAAAAGACTCCTTTCTCTTTTCCAGTCTTTCATATCAGCCACAGTTGAAATTCACAACAATGTCCCGTGGAGAACCGTGGAAGACTAGCCAATTGCTCGTGAAAAGATCTCTCTCCATATTCTGCAAATAGAAATATTTTGATACTGTACTATACTACATTGAAATGTAGAAAGGTTTCTTTGATTGCCCTTGAATCTCCCCACCAGACTTGCCATCTAACATATAACACCGGTCCTGAAAGACCTACATTGGCTCCCAGTACGTTTCCGAGCACAATTCAAAGCGTTGGTGCTGACCTTGAAAGCCCTAAATGGCCTTGGCCCAGTATACCTGAAGGAGCGTCTCCACCCCCATCGTTCATGAGGTCCAGCTCCGAGAGCCTTTTGGCGACTCCCTCACTCTGAGAAGTGAGGTTACAGGGAACCAGGCGGAGGGCCTTTTTGGCAGTGGCACCCTCCCTGTGGAACGCCCTTCCATCTGATGTCAAGGAAATAAACAACTATCTGACTTTTAGAAGACATCTGAAGACAGCCCTGTTTAGGAAAGTTTTCAATGTCTGATGTTTTATTGTGTTTTTAGTCAGATGGGTGGGGTATCAATATAAAGGTAAAGGTAACAGGACCCCTGACCGTTAGGTCCAGTCGTGATGACTCTGGGGTTGCGGCGCTCATCTCGCTTTATTGGCCGAGGGAGCCGGCGTACAGCTTCCGGGTCATGTGGCCAGCATGACTAAGCTGCTTCTGGCGAACCAGAGCAGCACACGGAAACGGCGTTTACCTTCCCGCCGGAGCGGTACCTATTTATCTACTTGCACTTTGACATGCTTTCGAACTGCTAGGTTGACAGGAGCAGGGACTGAGCAACGGGAGCTCACCCTGTCACGGGGATTCGAACCGCCGACCTTCTGATCGGCAAGTCCTAGGCTCTGTGGTTTAGCCCACAGTGCCACCCGCGTCCGGGGTATCAATAATACATTATTATTATTATTATTATTATTATTATTATTATTATTATCTGCTCCTGCCACTCAAATATGTTGGAGAACCATTGCTTCAATGGCAGGCCTACTACCTCAAGGGCCTTGGCCACACGGTAACTTCTTGCTTCCCACCCCCCTTCAGAACATCCTCTATGTCTCCTTCTGCGAACCCTTCAACAACCAGAAGACCATCTCCGTGCCCCCTGACATGACAACAGCATCCGTGTGCGCCGTGTGCGCTGAGAAGTACGGCGTCTCCGATCCCGAGTCCCACGGCCTCTTCTTGGTGTCGCACGGCTCCTCTCTGCTCTTGGCCGGGGACAGCTGCCCGCAGAGACTCCGCTCAGAGACCCTCCAGACCCAAGGGGGGCTCGGGAGTTTTGTCTACAAGCCCAAAGACAAGGGGCTCCCTGCTACCGCCGCTCCCCCTTCCATTTCGAACCCTGACCGCTCGACTGAGGTCCAGGAGCCCCTCAAAAGCAAGGACACGGGGCAACCGGATTGAGCGTAGGCCTCGGAACCTTCCGGAAACTTCCCCAGAAGGTTGACCAAGCTTTTGGGTTTCTGACTGGGCGGAAACTTCAGGAAAAGCTGAGAGACTGGGCTATAAAACGTCCGCCAGGAAAAGTCTCGGGCAGAAGACCTCAGCCCTGAAGTACTGATAGCAGACAGGGTGATGAGCCTTTCTCCTTTGCATGGAAGCTTGTGAGGGAGCGGCCGCCATTTTGTTTTTTTACTACTCCTGTTGCCCTGCCAGAGTTCCCTCTTCCGTTTAGACCAGGGCTGACCAGACTAGTAAGGATAAGTGGGAAACTTAAGTGGCATTACAGTTGAAGTGGTATGAAACTGCTTTAAATGCCTAGAGCATATGGGGCCTTAAGGCAGGCTTAGCCATCTTGGACTACTCTAGATATTGTTGGACTACAACTCCCATCAACCCTGGCCATTGGCCTGGCTGGCTGAGGCTGCAGGTGGCAGGATCTGTTCAGTTCCAGTCCTCTCACTTTCTCATTTTCCCCCAATACCTTGGAAGTTGAACGGAATCCGTTCCGGAAGTCCGTTCGACTTCCAAAACGTTCGGAAACCAAATCGCAGCTTCTGATTGGCTCCAGGAAGCTCCTACAGCCAATCGGAAGCCCCGTCAGACGTTCGGCTTCCAAAAATAGTTCGCAAACTGGAACAGTCACTTCCGGGTTTGTGACGTTCGAGAGACGATTTGTTCAGGAGCCAAGCCGTTCGACTTCCAAGGTACCATTGTATTAAATCCAGCTCTCTACATTTCGAAGCGATTCACAATTTCCCAAAAACCGTGACATTTCATCAGCATCTTATTACTGATTTCTCCTAATAAACACTTCTTTACATTTTCGGGGGTGTGCACATTGCTGCAGCCTGTTTCCTCCCCACACCCAACGCTGTGTGTTTCTGAATGTCATTTTCACAAATACCTTCATTTTTATTCACATTGTGTTTTCCCCCGCATCTATGCACTTTTGTAAACCTTGACTGGAGAACTGCATGGCAACGTTTGCTGAAGGGGGAATGTCGACGGACGGCTGCATTTTGGTTTGTGCATTGTTTTGGAAAGTGAGGCAGATTTGGGCAGATTTGGCTTTGAGTGCATACAGAATCCTTCGTCCGTAGCTGGGGCTGATGGTGATCGGAGTCTAGAGCATATCTGTCAACCGTCCCTTTTTTGGCGGGAAACTCCCTTATCCCAGCAAGGTGTCCCGCCGCTGTCCCTTATTGATGATGTCCCTTAAATTTCCCGGGTTTCAAGGGAAGCAGCTCCTCTCCCTCCCTCCCTACCAGGGAGGAGGGAGGCTCCAACTGTGTTGCTTGGCTGCGTTGCTCACCCAATAAGGAGTCTAAGAACGACGGGGCGTGGAGCTTGCATGCCTTGTGCCGATCAAATCGGCCGCGTTGCCTGGGGACTCGCCTTTGCTCAGCGCTTCCCAGCGGAGAGGTGACGGTGGTTTTCCTTGCTGCATCCCCTTTGCCGGGTTGCTGCACTGTGGGAATCACCGCTTGAGGCTTCCTTTGGCTGCTGGCTGGGCTTTCTGTCTTTGGCTCGGAGGGGCTCAGAAGTTGAACATACCTGTGCTTGGAAAATCCCTTATTTGGGCTGCTGATCCCTTATTTTCAAATCTGTAAGTTGACAGCTATGGTCTAGAGTGTTGCGAGATGGGCTGCTGTGGTTCTACCATCTGAGAGTAGCTTAAGATAATGGAGAAGACAATGTTGTTGTTTTTTAAGCCAGGGAGGCAAGGAGCAACTACACCCACCCACCCTTATTCCATCTGTTGTTTTAATCCATCAATTCTCACGTCTACCCAGCAGAGGGCAGCATCTGTTTTCTATTATGGAAGCTCAAAACCATAACTAACTTAGAACCTTGGAATTGTAGAGGTGGAAGGGACCCCGGGGTCATCTAGTCCAACCCCCTGCAATGAAGGAATCTCCACTAAAGTATCCATGACAGATGGCCATCCAACCTCTGCTTAAAGGCCTCCAACAAAGGAGAGTCCACAACCTCCCGAGGAGACCGTTCCCCTGTCAAACAGCTCTTCCAGTCATATCTTACAATCTGAACACATTCCCAGCCACCCAAAGGATTGCGGGAACCATGTTGTTGTTGTTTAGTCGTTTAGTCGTGTCCGACTCTTCGTGACCCCCTGGACCAGAGCACGCCAGGCACTCCTGTCTTCCACTGCCGCCCGCAGTTTGGTCAAACTCATGCTGGCAGCTTCGAGAACACTGTCCCACCATCTCGTCCTCTGTCGCCCCCTTCTCCTTGTGCCCTCCATCTTTCCCAACATCAGAGTCTTTTCCAAGGAGTCTTCTCTTCTCATGAGGTGGCCAAAGTATTGGAGTCTCAGCTTCACAATCTGTCCTTCCAGTGAGCACTCAGGGCTGATTTCCTTCAGAATGGAGAGGTTTGATCTTCTTGCAGTCCATGGGACTCTCAAGAGTCTCCTCCAGCACCATAATTCAAAAGCATCAATTCTTTGGCGATCAGCCTTCTTTATGGTCCAGCTCTCACTTCCATACATCACTACTGGGAAAACCATAGCGGGAACCGTAGTTTACCCCTAACAGAGGTTGTAATTCCCAGCACCCATCAACTAGAGCTCCCAGGATTCTTTGGCCAGGGAAGGTTGTGTGGTGTGTACAGGCTTAATGTGCTAAGTACTGTTGGAAATGTAGAAGGGGATGGAAGATTTTAAGCACTTCATAGGAACACGGGAAGCTTCCTTATACTGAATCAGACCATGTGCCCATCTGATTCAATATTGTCTACACTGACCAACAGCAGCTTTCCAGGATTTCAGGCAGGAGTCTCTGTATCCGGAGCTGCCAGGGATTGAACCTGCAACCTTCTGCTTGCAAGAGAGTTTCTCTGCCACTCAGCTAATGGTCCTTCCTGACACCTCCAGGTGTTGTTGGGGTCCTATCAGCCTCAGCCAGCAGTAAATCCCACCGTTCAAGTTGGGAGTTAACTCTTTATTAGTAAGAACATGATCTGCACAAACTTGGTAGAAGATCACCTTAGCCCGGCCAGTGCTGGTGCAAGTTGTCCCACAACATTTATTGTGGCCAAGGGACAGGGAAGGCTGGAGGAGTCCGATACCCAGAAAACAAGACACATTCTTCATTTTAGGGGGCTGTGATTCACACAACAAGTTTTTGGGAGTCAGGAGCGAGCCAACAATAAATCACACTGTGCAAGTTGGAGTTAACTCTTCATTAGCAAGAACACGATCTGCACAGACTTGGTAGAGGTCAGGCCTAATGGGCAGCATTCCCTAGTAGGTCTCACCCCATGGATCAGTTGCCGAGAGTGAAAACCCCTGCCTCCCCGCAGCTTTCTAGGTCCCCTCCTCTCCGGTGCTTCCCCCAAGCAATCAGAGACGGTGTCTACCTGCAGCCAACCTCTCCTCTGCCCCTTTCACACCTCTTCTGGTTCTGGGAGATAAGTGGGGAGGGGAGACACCCTGGTTTCTTCACCTGCCGGACCGATCTCTGCCTTTTGCCACCTCTTCAGCCTCTGATTCTGCACTGCTCTCTGCCACAGACTCTCTCTGCTCACTAAACTGTTACCTATTCCACTTCCAACACCACCTTCTCCCAGTCAGCTCCCTCTTCTCCCTCTGACCACTCATCCTTGCCCCAGCTCCGAGCCTCCTTCCTTTGAGAGTTCTCCAGCTGGCTCCTCTCCCCATTCCTCTGCCGTGTCCAACCCGTCCGCGGCAGGGGACTTGCCAGGAGTTCAGCTCCCCAAAACGAACCCCCTCCCCAGAAAGACCCTGTACCTCCATTTTCCAAAGAGGGAGGTCACTATGAGTTCAGTCCCATAGGCCTCTCATTCCCTGCACAGGTGTGCTCCCCTGAGCCCAGGGGTGGGAGAAGATACAAGAGCAATGGAAATGGAGAGCGGGACACAGTGGTGGGGAGAAGTTCCCCCCCTCCTTTTTTTGTCTATTTCCAAGAAACCATTTCCTGGCACCAGGTCCTCCCAACCTGCAGATTCCTGCACAGGCAGGCCTGTTGTCTTGAACCGACGCCCCGATGTTGCAACAAACCCCTGGGCCTGGCTTTTGTGTTTTGCACAGCTAACCGGGAACAGGTGTAAGGTTGCCGGAGGGAGGGGAGGGGGGGAAGGTTTGCAGCCAGATGTTTCCTCACCTGCCTCTGCCGTTCCCCACCAACCACGTGGAACGCCGAGTGAGATATCGGAAGCAACTTGCGGGTGGAAATTGCAAATGGGAGCCAACACGGGGCGCCACTCCAGGCTGGTATTTGTGGAAGGGTTTCAGTGGACGTGTTCTGCAACAGGTCGTGGGTGCAATTATTGTTTTCTAGTCAAACTCCCTGCAATGCAGGAATCTTTTTGCCTAACATGGGTTTCGAACCCGCAACCCTGAGATTAAGGAGTCTCGTGCTCTACCGACTGAGCTGTCATATACACTAAAGGTAAAGGGACCTCTGACCATTAGGTCCAGTCGTGGCCGACTCTGGGGTTGCGGCACTCATCTCACTTTATTGGCCGAGGGAGCCGGCATACAGCTTCCGGGTCATGTGGCCAGCGTGACTAAGCCGCTTCTGGCGAACCAGAGCAGCGCACGGAAACACTGTTAACCTTCCTGCCGGAGCGGTACCTATTTATCTACTTGCACTTTGATGTGCTTTTGAACTGCTAGGTTGGCAGGAGCAGGGACCGAGCAACGGGAGCTCACCCCGTTGCGGGGATTCGAACCACCGACCTTCTGAGTGGCAAGTCCGAGGCTCTGTGGTTTAACCCACAGCGCCATCCAGTAAGCAGCTAAACCCTAGAAGAATACTAGAAAAAGTGCCAGAGTTTCTGCAGGGCGTTACGGGACACGTACCAATGGGAAATGGAGACCAAGTCCACTCTGAAGGTTTTGCGGGTACAAACGGTATTTAAAGAAGACTTGCGTATAATCACACCAGGAGTGCAAATTGTGATGAATGCACAGTGAAAAA